TTAAGTTACATAGGGGTGACTTACTTGTGTGTGGTGTTGGAGACGGTGTGTTTATATGACATTAGTGTGGTGTACAACCATTATGACATCATGTCTGTTAGAAATTGTCTAAAGACTTAGTTTAATCTCACTCCTACATATGGATTATAAGATCATTCTGGATATTGGATAAATTGCCGTTTGGATGGAACAACCGTTTAGATATCGTGTATAACTCTAATTTATAATCTTATTATTATGTATAATGTTTTGGGTATAAGACCAGGTGTACTATAATGCACTAAAGGGAGACCACTGTAGCTGCTAACATTAGACGATAAAAAGCCATTTAAGCCTAATTAAAGCTGTGGCTTTTGGATTACGATATAAACAGTGACCCTTAGATCAGTTAATAAGTTTGATCATTTTAACAACTGAACCCAGTTAGGAAGTACATGTACTGTTATATTAAGAAGTACATGTACTGCTATATTAAGAAGTACATGTACTGCTATATTAAGAAGTACATATACTGCTATATTAAGAAGTACATGTACTGCTATATTTGTATTGTTACATTACTGACAATATTCACTGTTTACTATTCTGGTCCATTGGAGTTCCCACTTCTGTACAGTTTTCTGTCGGCTGACAATACATGTGGGGACTTTTATGTAAATTTGTTGATATTGGCTTGGCTTTTGTGACATCTTCAACAATACATATGGACAGTATAACAGTTATTGCAATAATACAAACTAAAGGTGATTTTTTTTCAATACACATCCTTCTTTTTTAAAAGAAAATTACAGATCACTTATGAGGATGAATACAGTGGGGAAATCAACAAAAATACACTGGGGGTAATTTATATACATGCATTGGGGTAATAAGGGGACGAATACAGTGGGGACATCAACAAAATACAGTAGGGTTAATTTATACACATGCATTGGGGTAATAAGGGGACGAATACAGTGGGGTTATAGGACAAATACAGTGGGGTAATAAGGAGACAAATACAGTGGGGTAATAGGACAAATATAGTGGGGTAATAGTAACGAATACAGTGGGGTAATAGGAACGAATACAGTGGGGTAATAGGACAAATACAGTGGGGTAATAGTACAAATACAGTGGGGTAATAGGGACAAATACAGTGGGGTAATTGGGACAAATACAGTGGGGTAATTGGGACAAATACAGTGGGGGAATAGGACAAATACAGTGGGGTAATTAGGTCAATTATAGTGGGGTAATTGGGACAAATACAGTGGGGTAATTGGGACAAATACAGTGGGGGAATAGGACAAATACAGTGGGGTAATTAGGTCAATTATAGTGGGGTAATTGGGACAAATACAGTGGGGTAATTGGGACAAATACAGTGGGGTAAGAGGACAAATACAGTGGGGTAATAGGGACAAATACAGTGGGGAAATAAGGAGACAAATACAGTGGGGTAATAGGACAAATACAGTTGGGTAATAGGGACAAATACAGTGGGGTAATAGGACAAATACAGTGGGGTAATTAGGTCAATTATAGTGGGGTAATTGGGACAAATACAGTGAGGAAATTAAGACAGATACAGTTTGGTAATAAAGACAAATACAGTTGGGTAAGTAAGACAAATACAGTTGGGTAATTGGGAAAAAACAGTTGGATAATTAGGGCAAATAAAGTTTGGTAATTAAGACAAATACAGTTGGTTTATTAGGACAAACCCAGTGGGGTAATTAAGACAAATACAGTTGGGTAATAAGGACAAATACAGTTAGGAAATTAAGACAAATACAGTTTGGTAATAAAGACAGACACAGTTGGGTAAGTTAGACAAATATAGTTGGGTAATCGGGACAAAAACAGCTGGGTTATTAGGGCAAATACAGTTGGGTAAGTAAGACAAATGCAGTTAGAAAATTAAAACAAACCCAGTGGAGTAATAAGATAAATACAGTTGGGTAATTAGGACAAATACAGTAGTGCAATTAAGACATGAATAAACATAGTTGTTTTTTATACCCTTTTAAGATTTTTAATCCCATTACAGATTACCACAAATTAAATATGGTAAGTTGATTTTGTAAGGTTTTGTAAGGTATCCATTTGATATTAGTAGCTGATTGGTATATTAAACACAGTATAACAAGTGTCACGGATAAATATGGTAACAGTGTGGGCCGGGTTCTATTCTGTAAATTGTTATCTTACTTGTTTGGTTGATTCGGTAGTCAACAACTAATGCCACTTAATACAAAGACCTTAGCTTTTAAATGTGTATTCAACAAACTACACAGTAGAAAGTAATATTTGACAAGGTGGAGCTTGTCAGTCCTGGAGACAGACAGTCAATAGAATCAAGTGTCTTTGTGGCATTTGTACAAAGAAATATTTAAATGCTGTAAAAGGCCTGGTAGATTTGATCGTCATGCGACTTCTGTATAAAATATAGGCATATATTATGTAATGAATATGTAATTTTAACCCTGTTTTCAATGAGTTATCCTCCAAATTACCGGTACTTCCTTGTCCCACTCAGAGTAAAACACTCTGCATGTTTTCTGTAACGTCTTTATGAAAACAAAAAATATTTTTTAACAATCCGAGAATGTCACTGCTTTGCATCACTTTGATACGGGTTTGAGTCTTATCACGTCACAACACTGTGTTGTATCTTTGAGCAAGATACTTTACTCTGCTTGTTCCAGTCTACTCAGCTGTAAATGAGTATGTGGTTGGGCAGTGCTATAATTGCTGAATGCTAGCTGTGAGCGCTGAAATGGCAGCACCGGCTGTATGCTCCCCGGCCCAGGGAGTTGAGAAAGATGTTGGCTGGTTGCTAAGGCCCTATAACAAACGAATAATAATTTGTGAACCGATTTGAGACGACCTACGAACTTGGTTGTGATAAAGCGGTATATAAGAACCTCAAATTATTATTATTATTATTATTATTGTTATTATTTACAAAGTTATGTGACGTCAACAATACAATTGATTTATGCTGATTTGTCAGTGTTGGTACAGAGTTTATCATGTTATGTGAGGCCTAGGAGACAGTATTTTTCACCCATAGTGTGTTTGGAGGTACTTGGACATTTAAATTTCCACATCTGAGAGATGGATGTCATTTAGAATTATTATATTACTACATTCCGACGCTTTATGTCTGTCCCTTTATTGTAAGGGTCTGTTTGTTTAGTAAGACTGGTGATTAATATTTGGCCCTGTACACAGGTAAATTAAACATTGGCGAGAATCAATTTTCATCGTTATAATGGACTGCCCATAATAACCTTGTCATTTTAGAAACCTCAATAAGGGACCATTATAACCCAAAATATTTAAATCGTGTTTTTAAGTGTGTGTTTTATTGCCACTTTATTGAGGCGATTGTGCTATATTCACCAGCACATGCAGGTATTATTGGCTGACTGTCATTATATATAGCTATAAAGAATTTAGATTGATATATTCTCTATCTCAATATCAATATCAGCGGCATTGAAATCAATGAAATTTGAATCAGAAAATCGACTGATATTGACCTGTTTCTATGGACAACATAACCTTGTTGGTAATAAACCATTAGTTGTTTACCAGACAGATAGCATGCACAGTCTTGTGATCTATGTAAAATGTATAATGCATATGTATTGTCAGAAAATGAAAAATCGACATATTGATTTTGATCAACTGATATCATTTTAGCTGCTGCTCACATGATTTCCCATTTGATTTATAGCCATTTGCCTTCTTCTGATGTGCATTGTGCGTAAACAATCTACATTTTCAACTGGGTTTTGAACTGGTTCACTTAAAATTTGGCAGAAATTAATATGATCCTTATGAATATTTGTCCCTACCAAGCGATTTATTGTTCATGTTACTCAGAAGCTAAGATGTTTTCAACTACCTCTCAATAATGGTTGTAATCCATTTGACTCCCAACTTTTCATAGGATGTTCTTGCTTTTTGTGCAAATCTGAAAATTCAAGATGGCCACCCTATTCTTTGATTGGCTGAGACATATTTTACTTCTCCTTCAGAACAGCTGAATCAAAATTTAGTAAAAATGCTATTTATGAAATCCCCAACAAGTGTTGTAGCATTTTGTGCTAATCTGAAAATCCAAGCTGGTCATTTAGCCACTGATTAGTCGAGACATTTTAAGTTTGAACTCATGTGAGCATTCAGTTCTTTGGGCTTCTTGCAGATATTTTCTGCCGTTGCTATAAATACTTTACGATGTTCTCTATATTGAAGTATTTATTGCTCTGAGTTGGCAATTTAATAAGTAAAGGCAATGTGAATACCTGAACTGTGCAACTAAAATTGTATTAATTAGTAATAATTACTACATAATTTATTGAGGCCAGCTGGCAGTCACATTGCCTATAACTGTGATGAGAAAGAAGTTCATTACATAAAAAGTATTAATATTCTGATTTCAATTTAAATCCTTTTACCATAAAAACACAAAAGACTTTAAAATTTAAAATGTAATATAAGTATTTTGTGTTTTCAAATAAATAGCCATCTGTTAGTGGTATCGGTATTATTATGGCAAACAAACTGATATCAATAGACATATATAGCGCTACGTCTTCCATTATGATTAGGTTGGTTAAATATATATAGTGCTAATGCTGTTGATATATGAATTTTCTGCTGCTACGCTAAATATTATTAAAAATCGTCCATAGGCGTTTTTGCTACCTATTATCATTGTTCTGTTGAAATTTTATAACAAACGAAAACAGCAATCTTCAATTTATTTCTAGTATATTTTTCATGAAAGATTAAACGATAGGAAATAAAATTAATTAAAAGGGAGATATAAGAAATTGTATGGATAATATCATATACATGTACTCCGAATATCTATTTGATGTACTTTTCTATATTGGTTAATAAGTGATGGATTTAGATTAAAATGATAGGAAAATGTAAAAATTAAAAACTGTGGAAATGTTTGTGACTTTTGATCAGTATGATTAATCCTTTTTCTGTTGTAGGTCTGGTACCGCCACACCAAGATCCATCTTGTCCGCACGAAAACTGACGGCTTCGTTAAAATCACTCAACCCCTACAGACAACCCTCCATAGGTAACAAGACTGACTTGTCTGATTATTGTACCTCACTTGACCTTATTCTAACCCCAACCACCCATTGATTAACTTTTTCACCTAAATAAATATAAACCAAAGCTGAATATTGATGATGTAGAGGTGGACCGAAGGTGAACAGAATAGATAAGATGGTAGCACACTGCACCACAAAGTTACTGTGAATTGTAAAACATGCCACTTACTGATAAGTAATGATCTGAAGTATAACTACCCCTGTGATGTTTGTGAAATGTGTTTATGAACACTAAGAGTCAATACTAATAGAATCCATCCCTGATATGAGGTTTCTTGACTAATAAAAATATTGAGTAGGCTTTGCCGAGGGTCTTCCGCTCAATATTTTATCCAGAGGGTTTGAATTACCTTGTCCATACCTCACATCAGGGATGGGTTCTATTTCTTGCTTATTATAATTACCTAAAACCCGTAAAAACTGCTGCTCTTCTAGTAAAGTTGTAAACTGTCAACGCATTTCTCATTTCCATATGAAGCCCGGCAATTGTTAATGACGTCAATGACCCTGACTGACCCCAAAACGTCATAAAATGACGTCATGAACAATAGTGTAACCCTGAAAGGTCCCTGTTATGACCCCTGCCAGTCTGCTCGTGTAAGCGATCCAGACCTGTGGGTCTGATAGAATTTTCCAACACCGCCGGAAATGCGGATATCTCGGTCTAGTATGCAAGAAACTGTAATACAGTATGTAGAATATGGTATTGTTAATATACTGATCTGATACAGTATATATACATAATAATACACTGAGACATTATGCATCAGAATACACTGTGATAGGGTATTATTTATCTATTATAGATTTTATTGAGGTGAATATATGTGTGGTTATATGGTTACTTCGTCTTGGTCAATATTACTTTCTCATGTCCATATAACCTGTAGTATTAACCACGTTATTTACCAAAGTCAGTTTGTTATTGATCGATTAGATCGCTATATGATGTTTAAGTCATTCAACAAGACGGAATGTATAAACAGAATTGTCAGGAGAAATGCACTGCATTTTGTAGAGAGCATTGCGTCGTTATAATTGAAATGACGTCATGAAGTTTTTTGGGTTTTTTTTTTTTTGAATTGTAAACGATTGTTCTGAAGACGGCTTATCTAATAAGCTGAAACTAGTAAACTGCAATAAATTTGCCAAGTAACTTCAAGTGGATGTTGTCCAGTCATCTTTTTACTTTGTTTCTAAAAATAGTTAGACTGAATCAATATCACAAATCACCGGCCTCCACCGGATTGTTATATATCCAACCAATGAGGATGTAAAAAAAACTATGTGTCATTTGATATATATCAATACATGTACACTGATATGATACGTATAACGATACACTGATATGATACGTATAGCGATACACTGATATGATACGTATAACGATACGCTGATATGATACGTATAACGATACGCTGATATGATACGTATAAATTGACAGTCAGGTATTTAACTTTCCAGAGAACCCCTGATATAAATTACCCATGATTTTCATACAAACTGTTGCACATGTTTTATGTTGAGATGTTGTAGTGTTGCAATGATTCGTTATTATAACTTCTTGTTTCCAGTTGATGATAGTGAGTTAGATGATGAGCAAAGCACCAGTACACACCCAACCATAAGTGCCAAGGTCACACGAAAGTCACCACTTCAAGATGACCTTGTCCGATCAGGATCAGCATCGCCTCAGAGGTCATGGACACAGCGCTTGGGGCCAACCTCAATCACAGGAAGTATTGAGGAGGAGCAGCCAAGTGACGGTAATCAGGGTTGGAGAGGTAGCTCCCTGGGGACATACCTCACAGATAATACGCCCAAGGCTCCAGGGGTCACCGACCCATCTCACAATGACGAGGGCAGGAACAGTTACTCACCAAAGGAGCTGGGAGATGGTCACTTACTGATGGAACAAGGTGACCGTCACTTAGAGGCGGAGGAAGGTGATGGGCATGGTGAAAAGGGTGTTGGGTTAGACCATCTGTCAGAGGGTAGTGATGGCTCTGACGTAGAAATGTTGTATACAGCTGGTAATGGTTGTGTGGATGGTAGTGTAGATATTGTGGATGGTGATGGTATTGTATCCGCCTCTGTTGTCTCCCCTTCCCCAAACATGCAGCATGATAAATCTGCACTGCTCCAGCAGCATGACAATTCCTCTCCCTCCCCTCATCCTGAACAATCTCTCTCGTGTGATCTCCAGGTGGTGGTGGACCATACTTCTCCTCTAACGCATCCTCAACTCTCTGAGGACAACAAGCTTTCCTCTCAGGTGACAGACCCTGGTGTAGACAGGCTGTCAGTCGCTGACGATGGGGGTGATGTGGTGTCCAGTATCACTGGGGTCAGTGAGGACACCACAGAACCTGTTACCATCAAAGTTGACATCAATACCCTTATTACAGGCCCCATACCAGAGGAGAATCAGGAAATGGCAGAATTCTCTGGGTCAGAGGTCAAATCCAACCATGACATGGACAGAAATAATGTAAACTTAGATGTTGAAAATTCTCAACTTGTAAAAACGCCAACTGGAACTGAATCTGAGTTAAATGATGTCACTGGAGAAAAAGGTTATGTAAATGACCTGAAATCACCAGATGGATCAATGTCTCGAGTATCTCCCTCCCAAAAGAGGGATTCAAGCGGAGGAAAGGGTTCTCCTACAGCTGCCATCACAACAACCAAGGGAGGCAGTAGGCAGTCCTCAGCCAAGAGGGTGTTATCAGGCAGGAAGTCTCCAAGAAGAGAGGCTACCCCAGTCAAACAATCGTCCAGACAGTCATCAGCGAAAAGTAATGCTGACAGGTCTGTGTCTCAACATGAGACAGAGGCCACCGAGACTTTGGTTGCCATGGAAGCAAAGACAGAAGCAGTAGATTTAGAGGATGTAGCCAGTGTAGCCTCATCTGTTCTGGTAGAACAAGACATTGTGTTGCCAGCCCAAGGTAGGTCTTCATATCATTTTTAGGCTTTCTAGTACTGTGTATAGTTCAGTAGTATTTGCAGGTGATCGCCAAAGATACCGCAAAAATTAAATTTGAAAAAAAAAAAGATATGATTACCGGTACATGTACCATGAACTTTCATCTCAGGAAATATGTATTATTAGACCCAACAAAAAATGATGAAAATATGTTTCTGCACCCGTTTAATCCAAATAATGAAGATAAAACAATAATTCAATATTGCATTTTTCTTTTTCACAAGACACTTTTAAAATAAATCCCAACACCCAAATGCAAAAGTGCCTTTGTGAGCATGATATTTTTACCTAGCCATGTTGGGCTAATTCCTGCAAACAAGTTCTGAATTCAAAAACCACAAAATATCAGCCCTGTGAAATTTAACAACTTTACAGTATGTATCGTGGAAAACGTCACACAACACATCCATTGTATTCTGACAAAGTTGTTAAACCTCAACCATGAAACACATCAGTTCAGGAAAACCACATCATTCCAGGAAATGTTTTCTGTCTACTTTAGTCTGTAGAAAAACTGTAACATCATGATTGATTGCACAAAATGCAAATTAATTCGTAACTTTCCAGCTAATGTGGGGAAACGTAACATGGGAACATGGTTTAAGAACTAATTGAGGTTTGGTCTTTAAATCTTTTACCTTCAAATGATGGTAGTGGTGTTATATATATATATATGTTCAGGTATTTTTCATGAAAATGATAAAAAAAAAATATATATATATTTTAAGTAACATGGTTCTTTTAAAAGTTAACTCATTCACCCCTGAAGACACATTTGAACTCTTCCAATTCAAAGGTTGGAATGGTTCATTATGCAATTTCACGGGTGAATGAGTTCAGCTTCTAAGACCCTACATTCTGTACTGAGGTATGTGGTGAAAAGAGTTAAGATATTTTCTGTTGACCAAGAATAAAAAAAAATCCTTCGGTGCCCAATGGATCTACACAAGTTCCCAGTCTGCATGAACGTATTTTTAGCATGATTGAATTTCATTCTGCTTGTCTGTGCAAAGGTGCTGTAAGTGTAGGAGTTTCCCCGAGCATAGCACCTCCCCAGCTTATAACAAAATCCTTTGTTCAAATCACCTAAACAAAATTGTTGCAAGAAATCCAATAAACCATGTATTGTGTTTGTGTACAGGCATGGATGCATGTTAATTTGTTTGTGTATTGCAAGAGTTAAGATTTATTTCTTTTTGATTGGAATTATTCATGGGGTAGATTTAATGTGTTAAGTGACGGGGCTGAGGGAGATGCTGTCGGCGAAGGTTTGTATTATGGTTTTGTGATTTGTTTCTGGTACATTAGCTGTTTACTACAAATGGAAATAACAATGATTACCATCACAATTTAAACCCAAATTTGAAATTGATACATGGTGAATTTCCCATTTGGATTCAATCATGCGTTTCTAATATCAGCACGCCACGCACGTCTGGAAGTAAAATCTAAGTATTAATAATCCCATCAATACATTAAAAATGACATCAATCCAGGAATTTTTTTGTAAATTTTGTCTCTAAATTCACGATTAAATTGTGAATTGAATGTAATTTTAAAAAAGAAAAATTGAAATCTTAATATTAAATCAAATAAAAAGTTTTTTGCTGCACATTTATCTTATGTCTGGAAGTAAACTTTCAAGTTATATTCCATCCTTATCCATACATTAAAATGTTCTTGGGTAAATTTTGTCACTAAATTCATGATTGGTAAATTCTTGTCATTAATTCACCCCTGAAGACACATTTGAACTCATCCAAATCAAAGGTTGGAATAGTTCATTATGAAATTTCAGGGGTGAATGAGTTAAAAAAATAAAATGAAATAAAAATAAAAGGTTTCCAATGCACAGATATCTGATGTTTGTGAGTTGGAATTGCCTGTATTGATAAAGACTTATACTGTCTTATGTTGATTACTATCCATATGAGTAGTGATGTTCATTCTCTTTATACTTATAAAGATATATATATATTATCTTCTGTAATTCTGTAAGTACATATAACAAATTATATTCTTTTTTTTTTCATCACTTGATCCTCCTATAATTAGATGACACTGGAGATGTAAGCAATGGTGAGGAAATTACTATATTCAAACTTTATGCATTCATGTATTCTGAATCAAATCATCAAATGCACTATAAAGTCAGGAGGTAATGCACCGTAAAGGAATTTATTACATGTATTCATAAATGTGCAAATAAAATTGAAAATATTTAATGAATTTCAATTAAAACATGTATTTTCTCCCTATCTTTGGTAGTTATGTCAATCTGACGAATTGTAATAAAATCTAAGGATATATAATCAACAAAATTTCTCTTCATAAGTGAGATTTAATTGTTATGTGCGAATAAGCAGAATGTATGTTGGTCACACGATATAGGTGATAAAACTTGGAGTGACCCTGTTTGTAGTGGTAAGGTCTTGATATTGAATGGCCTTTACTATGAGTGAGGTCACAGGTAAATATATACATTAGTCTAATTAACCTTCATTTATTTATCCACAGGTGAGACAGCAAGGTAAGTCACGCAAACATGAAGTATAAAACAGAAAAGATAATTCAATAAAATGTTTAACTCAATCACCCCTAAAATTTCACAATGAACTATTCCAACCTTTGAACTGGAAGAGTTCAAGTGTGTCTTCAGGGGTGAATGAGTTAATATTGGATTTCTAGGAACACCCTACTAGAAACATAGCAAACTAATTAGATGTTTTTTCTGGTATACCACACTCAATGCTGAAAGACAAATTCCTGCTAATTAGAGTCTACCTTTGGCTCAAATTTTCTGTCAAAACAAGAATCAATGGCGATCAGGATTTTTGATATGGAGGATATTCAATTGCTTCATTTGAAGTTTTTATCATATTGATAATTTCTGATACCTCTCTGTTAAAAACATTAAAATTAATAGGAACACATATGTCTTGGTTTGGAAAAAAATAGTCAAATACACAAAGCATAAAAACAGATATGAAAGAGTTACTGCCCTTGATAATATAAAATGTACTATTACCACAGACTATTAATTACACAAGAAATAATTTATCATTTTATGGAGAAAGAGTTTTTTCTCTATACATAAATAGTCAACATGTCGTAGATTTAAGTTTAAATTTGGAATTAGGCATGTGGGAAATGAATTTAAATTTAAAGTTGTATTTAATTTTTGTGAACTGACCACCATGAGTTTTTTTTATAATGATTAACTATGACCATTTCAGTTTACCTGTGGATGGTGTAGCACAGCCACTTGTACCCCAATACACAGGTAGGTTACAACCTTTAATCTCATGAGATCACCAGTCATACAATGTAAAACATTTACAATGGAACATCCTCACTAATACTATTTTTTGTCTGTAACAATTTTGTATCTATCGTTTTTAATTAATTAATTTCTAAGATATTTTTTTAAGTCTGAATGTGCAAAAAGAAACATGTAGGCATATGTTTACATAAAATTTTGTATTAAAACCTGTATTAGTCCTTTTTTTGTTGCTGTGTGTTTGGTTTGTATTTTCGTTCTGTGTATCACCTTATTTCTGTAATTAAGCTACAGGCTGTATCACAATCGACCAGGTGATGTTTAGCATCAAAATTAATTGCAGACATCAGATATAACTGATTGATTAAAAAAAAAAAAAAAAATGTTCTCATATCTCCAAACACAAAAATACTCACTAGTAGGTCTTTTAAACAGAAGAAACAACAACAGAAGAAACAATGATTATTCATTTTCCCAATGCATGTGTTTGCAGGTTCCATGGCCAATGGAGGAGGATTGATGATTCTTGACAGTGTACCCTCAGTTCCTGGTATGTTCAATCTGTTCTGGAGGAATAGGTGATGGTAGTGAAATTCCTAGTCTTCGATGGTGCTGTTATGATTATTGTGAATAATAAGGGATAGACCTCTATATATATATATAGACTGTTTTAGGTTTATAAGGGGCTGTGAACAAGAATTACATAATTATGCACATGTGAAATATATCTAACGATGTTGTTGACAGGGGAGGTCACTCTAGGATATATAGATAGAAAATTATGGGTGATCACTCTTAAAAGGGAATTAACTCATTCACCCCTGAAGACACATTTTAACTCTTCTTATTCAAAGGTTGGAATAGTTCATTACAAAATTCCAGGGGTGAATGCGTTAACTAAGGTGAGATCACTCAAGAGCGGAGTTACTTGAATGGGTGTCTCTGTTGACACGATGACAGGTCGGAGGTTACTACTGCTTGGCAGGATAGATGAAGTAAATGTAGTCAAAATTGTCAGAGGAGGTCCCACACAGGACACTGGATTGTCTTTGGGTCACTGCAGGTCTTACCACAGCATGGACAGGAAGATCTCCTAAGTCACCACTGAAAAGAGGTTTCTATATATAGACACGATTGACCAGGTGGGTCAGTCCCTGTACATGTATTTAACAACATAGTTGTATGCAGCATTATATAATATAAAGTTTTTCACTCAAAAGCATTTGTCTGATTGTTACTACATGGTGATATGTATTTTGGATTTGTAGTAGTGAGTCCCCACTCGTCCAGACCTGTCTCCAGGACCAGCTCCAGGCCAGCCTCTTACAAAACTGGCCAGCTGCCTCTGGGTATGTTCACATATAGTTCCTTATAGTTACAGTTGTTCCTGGCAATATTTGTGCAGGATTCTTTATATGTTTGTTTATTGTTTATCTTATAATTCCCTGACTATTTTTGCATTTCTGATAAAAAGTTAATTAGGATTATTAATAGTGTTTCATGAATAATCAAACCCTGAAATCCATTCCCAACTTTGAAATCTTGACTACTATGGAGTGTTTGGATCTGCAGTACTGATGCATGTTAACACTTTCACCACTGTGGACCATAATGGACTCCTCAAGATAACTGTATGGTAGAGTCTACTAAAGTTACCTAGGGGTGAAAGGGTTAATGCAGTATCTGGTTTCCACAGGTACTAGTGCCTTTGGTCTAAAATGTTCAGAAAGATGATATATTATGGTTATAGGTTACATGAGATATTTTTTGATAACTTTTTCATGCATAAAATAATATCAATACGCTATGCATTTTCAAGTATCTTAATTAATCTATGACCATGAAGTATAGAGGGTTCGCTTAATTATCACAGGACAATTGAAATAGCATTTATTAGCATTTCTAACGAGCTGCAATACATATGGATGGGCTTATCACCAGGCATAGGCTTATTGTCAGATAAATATAGTACTCAAAGTATAAGTACTTAACAAAAGAAATTACCAGAACTAACTATAATGAAAGGTTCTTTTTACACAACCAATAAAACTTTCTATGTGACGTTTCGATGACTAGTAAGATATGTACACTGTCACCTTCATCAGACAAATGACCAGTGAATGACCAAGTATTAAACAAAGCGTAGCTGAATCGAGTCATTTGGGTACATACAGTATATAATAACTATTGTACATACTCTTACAGCGTAGCCGAAATCGACATTGATTTTGTGGACAACTTGTACACATTTTACACCTTTGTGTGCATATACGCATCACTGGTCATTTGTCTGATGAAGGTGACAGTGTACATATCGTACTAGTCATCGGCACATCACATAAAAAATTGTATTGGTTGTGTAAAAAGAACTTTTCATAATCCATACTTACCCACCTGAAGAAAATGTTGAGAAATACCAGAACTAACACTACAAATAAATTATGGTTCTAACAGAAGAGGAACCGCCAATAGCGACACCAAAGTCTGCTGAACCACCGGAACAAAGAGTAGAAGAAAAACAGGACAAGAAAATAGAACTTAAAGAACAGAAAAATGAACAAAAAGATGACCACAAGATGTCTGACACTGCTAGCTTATCTGTGGGGAAAACAGAGGAGACCACCCCCAAACCCCCTGAAGGGGGAAAGAAAGGAGTAAGTAGTTACGTGGCAGTATTAATTCATTCACCCCTGGAATTTCTTAATGAGCTATTCCAACCTTTGAATTTGAGGAGTTCAAATGTGTCTTCAGGGGTGAATGAGTTAAACCCTTGTGTTTTAAGCATTATAAAGAAATAACAGATTTTTTAACCTGGATATAATATAAAGATACCAGTTGCTTTAAAATTATTTTTTGTGAAAAACGTAGATTCTTATATTAATTTGCAGTTGTTGGTATTTTTATTATTCGATATGGAACAGTAATATTTTATATCCACATAAATACCAGTTTTGTAATTCTGCTATTTGCTTTTTCAAACTTACTTGAATCACTTGGAATTAAATAAAGATAAATAACTGGAATCTAACACAATTTTGTCCTTTGCTCACAGCAACAACGTAGGGGGCACTTACCCCGAGGTAAGAAGGCCAAGAAGGATGTGACCAAGGCAATAGACATCTCTTCTGTACAGCCTGACGAGGAGGAGAAACCAAAGGTAGGCTTCTTACATCCAAGTGACCACAATATACTCTGTGTAGACCCCTAAATCCATCAGAGGTACAACATTATACCAGTGATATGTCCTGTGTAGACCCCTTCCATCAGAGGTACAACAATATACCAGTGATATACTCTGTGTAGACCCCCTTCTATCAGAAGTACAACAATATACCAGTGATATGTCCTGTGTAGACCCCTTCCATCAGAGGTACAACAATATACCAGTGATATGTCCTGTGTAGACCCCCTTACATCTAAGTTACAACAATATTCCAGCAATATGTTCAGTGTAGGCTCATCCATTGAAGTTACCATAGTAACATGGTTATTCTCCTTTCATACATTTTGCCACAATTAATAAATAGTCCCACAGCAAGTCCTACTATGATCATAAAATGGGGACTTTTTTTACCTAACATAGCGATGTATCTAAAACTGATCAAATTTCCAACTTAGAATATCATCTCTTTAATTTGTTTAAACCAACGTCGGCTTACAGTCCCAAGCATGTTCTTATTCAGGGAATTCAAAGTTATAGTATCTATAGGTATATTCATTTTTATTTTTTTTTTGTATGTAGAAATAGTAAGATTACAGTAACATTACAACATGAATGAGAATTCGTAAATACAGTTTTCATTGTGTACACCAGGAGCATGAGATCACTGTGTATAAGACTGTCAAGGTCGCAGCTCAGAAGGAAGAGACCATCATCCCAGACTTCATCACTGAGGAGTCGGCGCGACACAAGGAAGAGTCCAAGGAAGCCCTGGAGCAACAGATGGTGGAGAGTAAGTGGTGCTACGTTACTCTGTATATTAAACCTTTCACCCCTTTGTAACTCTAGTAGACTCTACCATGCATCGATCTGGTTGAGTCCATTATGGTCTACAGTGGTGAAAAGGTTAACAGACTAAGGATAATAGAATATGCATTGGTAGAACATGTATAATCAACAACAGAATTTTCATCAGCTAGATCAGCTTGTCTGCATGTATATTGTGATCATCATGATATCCATATAATATTAATTTCATATTCTATGACCAATGTAAAAATATTGCCAGAGATTGAAAGTTCCATTTTAATCCAATAAGAAGTATGTGCTATATATCATTATATCCAATCAATGCTATAGTATGTATGATTGGATGAATCACAAAACGTCAAAATAAAACATTATATCAATGCTTTGAGTGTTCTGATTTCCTCTTAAAATGGTTTATACTGATTTAATATACACTATTATAAGATATCATATAAAGCATTCACTTAGAGTACTTCAAATGATGTGAAAAAATAACTGTCTCTCCTCTCAGAGAAATTTGAATCCTCATTGCCTTTTCTAAAAAAAATGTCTTTTTGCCCCTCAGAATTGATATATTTAATGTGGCAATGTCAATTATCATCTGAGGGGATCATGTCACTATGTCACACACAATTTGTCCATAAGAATGTAGTCTAGTGGCAGGACGCTGGGCTCGTGACCTATGGGTTGCGAGTTCGAGTCACAGCACGCCATTGTGTTGTATCTTTGAGCAAGATACTTTACTCCGCTTGTTCCAGTCTACTCAGCTGTAAATGAGTATGTGGTTGGGCAGGGCTAGAAATGTAGAATGATAGCTGTTTGCGCCAAATGGCAGCTCCGGCTGTATGCTCCTCAGGCAGTTGAGAAAGATATTGGCTGGTTGCAAAGGCCCTATAACCATGGATAATAATTTGTGAACCGCTTTGAGACGACCTACCAACTAGGTTGTGATAAAGCGGTATATAAGAACCTCAAATTATTATTATTAATTGACATGTTTCGGCCTGCTATGCATACTTCATCTGCTATTATTCACACATGTTTTCTGAGATTGCCCTGTTGAGTATCCTTCGGTATTCTTTGTTATTGGATCAGTAGTTGTACAATAAATATGTTTAGTATCCTTTTTGGTGTTTTTTTTAAAAGAAAAGAGAATCAGTCTTGTTCCTATGGCCCTGACACTCTGGGAACATAATTAATCTCAAGGCATGACTTTTAAAGTACCGGTACTTTTTGAAGTTCAGAACACTCTGAAAACTCCTTAGATAGGTATAACTGACCTTCTCATTTGTTCCAGTGTCTAAGATAGTTGACAACGCCATGTCAGGGACTGTACTGGAAGAGGACGAGGGCGGCCTTACAGACATGGAGCTTGCACTGGCACAAAAACAAGTCTTGGTAAATATTGCAAAGAAGTACAGTATGTACAAAAACTATCATATAATAAGATGTGTCTGGAAAAAAAAAATCAATGGAAGTTGATATCACGCCTCAGTTTTGGAAAATTTAATGTAATGGTGCTGTGCGTCTGCAATGTCGCTTCCATGCCATAATTTCTTTAGATGGAGCAGGGACATCTAAAATGAGTGTCTGGGCTATAACCCTGTATCCTATTGCTGGTTGATGGGTTTTACCTATACAATCACTGACGAAGTCAGTGTTCATTCGATGTGAGGAGGTAAGTTGGCGCTTACCGGGCCCTCGGTGATTCAAAGCCCTGCCCATCCAGGTCGTGCTCTGAGGTCGGACAGCTCCTCAGATGCAGACGGACTGTCGCAGCGGCTGTGGTCCACGGATCGATGTCCTTCTAGTAGTCCCCGCTGCTCTCCTACGTCCCCTGTTGCTGGATCTTGATAGGACTTTATAGCCCTTTTACCCATGGCCCAGCTATGTCACAATCTTCACCCAAGGTCAAGGTCATGGAGCGTTTAATTTTTACCCATGGCCTAGCTATGTCACAATCTTCACCCAAGGTCAAGGTCATGGAGCGTTTAATTTTTACCCATGGCCCAGCTATGTCCCAATCTTCACCCAAGGTCAAGGTCATAGAGCGTTTAATTTTATTTGATGTATCATATTCCCATTCTATATTGAGCGCCAAAAATGAAACCTAAACAGTATCAAATGCTTTAAAACAGGAGCTCTTTTTTATGTCTGTTAAGTTTTCATTAACAGTGTGTTGTGACCATGGTCCAAAACCATATACTGCTGCCGTAGAGTGGTGAAGGTATATTTTTCATCCATTTCCCAATACATACATATTTTTCTCATATCCAGGTAATTTTTACTAAATCTTTCATGATTTTATTATTGGAATTAGGAGAGAATGGCAGAGGCAAAGGAGAAAATGGGTCAAGTAGACAACCCTCAGCCACCCAAAGTGGAGAAACCTGTAAAAGGAACAACTGGGAAGAAAGGAGGGAAGAAAAATATAGAGAAAAAAGTGGTGGACACTGAGAAAGAAAAGCTCAAAGAAATGAGAAGAGTAGAGAAAGAGGTGATTTTTCATACTGTTAACTCAATCACCCCTTAAGACACATTTGAACTCTTCCAATTCAAAGGTTGGAATAGTTCATTATGAAATTTCAGGGGTGAATGAGTCAACTTAGTAGTTTTAGCATCCACGACGTCTAAAGCAGGTGTATCAGTATTGTAACCAATGGACACATCAAGGTTCATAACATTACCTTTAGTAAACTCCCGACCTCCATCGGGTGTCATTTCAGTGTACATCACACTACCCTGTATATGTAGTTGTTTCCAGTGCAAGCAACATGGTGGCAAGACATTGAAATGGGTTCTGCCTCCTCTTTGTCCTGTATTCCTGACATCTTTTGACCAATTGCTTTAAACATTTATACACTCTATAACTGTCCTCATATCTGTAACAAAGACCATTGGCTAGTTATATATTGTTGATGTGGTATGAAAGGGTGCATGTTAGATTGATGTTCAAATACATACACTGATTTTTTTGTGCATGTTTATATCTTTTTGGTCCTGGTGATCAGCCACCTCCAGTGGGGTGTGTGTTTGTATCTTAATTATGAATGCTTCCATTGGAAGCTTACAGCCTGCTTTTATGTTGTTGTGTGTAAGAATCATTACCTCATTACTCTAGCTGTCATAAATATATGTATCTATATACAAATATATTATCCTGTTATTATATAATATTGTGTTATTTTTAAAAACAGAAACGATTGGAAGAAGCTAAGACCTTGCAATCAAAGATAGATAAACAACAAGCACTGCGAAAGGCAAAGGAAAAAGAAGCACGGGACAGGGGAAAGGTAGGTAGTCTTTACTGTCTACAGAGGTCTGTCATAGAGGAAAAGTGGGTAGTCTTTACTTACTGTCTACAGAGGTCTGTCATAGAGGAATTGTGGGTTGTCTTTACTGTCTACAAAGGTCTGTCATAGAGGAATGGTGGGTAGTCTTTACTGTCTACAGAGGCCTGTCATAAAGGAATGGTGGGTAATCTTTACTGTCTACAGAGGTCTGTCATCGAGGAATGGTGGATAGTCTTAACTCTCTGTCTACAAAGGTCTCATAGAGGAATGGTGGGTAGTCTTTACTCACTGTCTACAGAGGTATGTCATAGAGGAATGGTGAGCAGTCTTTACTTACTGTCTACAGAGGTCTGTCATAGAGGGATGGTGGGTAGTCTTTACTGTCTACAGAGGCCTGTCATAAAGGAATGGTGGGTAATCTTTACTGTCTACAGAGGTCTGTCATAGAGGGATGGTGGGTAGTCTTTACTGTCTACAGAGGTCTGTCATAGAGGGATGGTGGGTAGTCTTTACTGTCTACAGAGGCCTGTCATAAAGGAATGGTGGGTAATCTTTACTGTCTACAGAGGTCTGTCATAGAGGGATGGTGGGTAGTCTTTACTGTCTACAGAGGCCTGTCATAAAGGAATGGTGGGTAATCTTTACTGTCTACAGAGGTCTGTCATAGAGGAATGGGGGGTAGTCTTTACTCACTGTCTACAGAGGTATGTCATAGAGGAATGGTGGGTAGTCTTTACTGTCTACAGAGGTCTGTCATAAAGGAATGGTGGGTAATCTTTACTGTCTACAGAGGTCTGTCATAGAGGAATGGTGGATAGTCTTAACTCTCTGTCTACAAAGGTCTCATAGAGGAATGGTGGGTAGTCTTTACTGTCTACAGAGGTCTGCCATAGAGGAATGGTGGGTAGTCTTTACTGTCTACAGAGGTCTGCCATAGAGGAATGGTGGGTAGTCTTTACTGTCTACAGAGGTCTGCCATAGAGGAATGGTGGGTAGTCTTTACTGTCTACAGAGGTCTGCCATAGAGGAATGGTGGGTAGTCTTTACTGTCTACAGAGGTCTGCCATAGAGGAATGGTGGGTAGTCTTTACTGTCTACAGAGGTCTGTCATAGAGGAACGGGGGGTAGTCTTTACTCACTGTCTACAGAGGTATGTCATAGAGGAATGGTGAGCAGTCTTTACTCACTGTCTACAGAGGTCTGTCATAGTGGAATAGTGGGTTGTCTTTACTGTCTACAGAGGTCTGTCATAGAGGAATAGTGGGTTGTCTTTACTGTCTACAGAGGTCTGTCATAGAGGAATAGTGGGCTGTCTTTACTGTCTACAGAGGTCTGTCATAGTGGAATAGTGGGTTGTCTTTACTGTCTACAGAGGTCTGTCATAGTGGAAGAGTGGGGTGTCTTTACTGTCTACAGAGGTCTGTCATAGTGGAATGGTGGGTAGTCTTTACTCACTGTCTACAGAGGTCTGTCATAGAGGAATTGTGGGTAGTCTTTCTTTTGTCTACAGAGGTCTGTCTTAGGGGAATATTATTATAATGTCTCTTAAGTTTTGACCAAGGATACTAGTTTGGGGGGGGGTAAACCTTAGTATTCAGTATTCATGTTTGCTTGTAGGCAATGTAAAAAGGAGCATGATATATTTATACATCAATAAATGTTGGCGTGGAAAAATCTTAATAATTATATAAAAAAATAAGCATATTGTGGACATATTTTGACAAAATATATATAATCTGACATAACTCTTATTGGAATAAAATACATTTATAGTCATTTCAAAATTTCAAAAAGTTATTTGCATAATTGAACTTCAAAGCATTGGAGTTGAATTTTGAATATGATGAAGTCAAAATTACTGTATTTATAAAATGTCTGTTGTAACTATTGTAGTAAATGTAAAGCTCCATGTGTGAGCGTTAGGTATGTACTATATTGATCCTCTCAGGATTTTGCTTTACCAATGAAAATGTTGCTGTTGCTATGACTAATTTATCTTTATTAATGATGTACAAATATTTGTTCTGTATTTGGCTGAAATTTTATGTGTGGTTTATCAAGCTTTTGAAAGCTTTTCTCATTAATCAAACTTGCAACTGAGATTAACTTCAAGTGAAAACTGTGTCAAATTTCACTTGCAAGAAAAGCAGGTTTTTAAATTTAGTGCAATCGTTCTTGGGGGAAAAAATGTGTTTTATGGAGTCTTGTCCCCAAAAAAACCACCAGAATTGTTCTCAAATATCAGTGGTGGATTTAGAGATTGATTAGAATTGTTATTTTGATGAGGTCAGGTGGGTTGCAAAGAGAGAAAAAATGGGGCTAACACATGTTTTTTTTTAGTATGACTTACAACTGGAGGATGTCTTGAAACCTCGTTGATAAGTCACTGATGCCCCAGCTGCAAACAGGGTTTTAACCCTGACCATCCACTGTCTGTGTCTCAGTTACACATTTACTTTAGAATATTAATATCTCTCAAAGTTTGGGTGGTCAGGAGGTACAGTGGATAATGCAATTAACTTTCATCAACACAGCTGGGGTTTGATTCCCTGAACAGACATGAAGAGGTTTTTCTCTAGGTACTCTAGGTTTCCTCCCTCCCACATAAAGACTCTCTGTCTATCCTGCAAAGAACAGTAATTAAGATGGAAAAATTTGTTTCGTAATTGTTGTAATATACAGTTTATGTTTACACATTCTCAAAGAAATGAACGAAAAGTACATAGCTTAAGATGTGATGGTTGTCCATGGCAAAAAAGGTAACAGATGTTAAGACGTAGATAGGATGGAGGTCAAGGTCATTTGGTCAAAACTGTCGAAACCTTAATTACTTTTGAAGGAATTATCAGAATATCACGACATTATAATGCCGTTGTTTTAATTTGCTGCAGTCAAATGTCAAGGTCACAAGGTCAGGTGATGAAAGTGTGGGGGGGGGGGAGGTTTCAAACATCTTTATGCTAATTAATCCATTAGTTAATAAGATATCACCTGTATTTACCTGACATAGATAAGAAAGCTGTAAACAGAACACATAAAAGAATGACTGTTACGGGGTATGTCTATAACATGGACATTATAACTACAGTGTAATCGAAGATGAAGATGTTAAATTAGAATATTGTTAAAACAATAAAAATTGATTTAATTTGTGTGAATCAGCTGACTACTGATAATGTGGTATGTATACACATGTGTGTTGTTTGTGACATGTCCAAGCTCATTAATGTTTGATTGTTTGTCATTAACCCTTGTGTTATTAATAACATCTACATTGATTCACTTACCATGTTATTGATTGATGCATGTGTTCACTTAATTATATATAAGTTGATTTGTATGTTGGTGCATGATACCACCACCACCTGACATGATTACAGGGTTACACCTGACATGATTACAGGATTACACCTGACATGATATCACCACCACCTGACATGGTTACTTGATTACACCTGACATGATTACAGGATTACACCTGACATGATTCCAGGATTACAACTGACATGATTACAGGATTCCACCTGACATGATTACAGGATTACACCTGACATAATAACAGGATTATACCTGACATGATATCACCACCAACTGACATGATTACAGGATTACACCTTACATGATTACAGGATTACACCTGACATGATAACAGGAGTAAACCTGACATGATCACAGGAGTACACCTGACATGATTACAGGATTACAGCTGACATGATAACAGGAGTAAACCTGACATGATCACAGGAGTACACCTGACATGATTACAGGATTACAGCTGACATGATAACAGGAGTAAACCTGACATGATCACAGGAGTACACCTGACATGATTACAGGATTACAGCTGACATGATAACAGGAGTAAACCTGACATGATCACAGGAGTACACCTGACATGATTACAGGATTACACCTAACATGATTACAGGATTACACCTGACATGATTACAGGATTACAACTGACATTATTACAGGATTACACCTGACATGATATCACCACCACCTGACATGATTACAGGATTAAACCTAACATGATTACAGGATTACACCTGACATGATTACAGGATTACAACTGATATTATTACAGGATTACAGCTGACATGATATCACCACCACCTGACATGATGACAGGATTAAACCTGACATGATTACAGGATTACACCTGACATGATAACAGGAGTAAACCTGACATGATCACAGGAGTACACCTGACATGATTACAGGATTACACCTGACATAATAACAGGATTATACCTGACATGATATCACCACCACCTGACATGATTACAGGATTGCAACTGACATGATTACAGGATTGCAACTGACATGATTACATGATTACAGCTGACATGATTACAGGATTACAGCTGACTTGATATCACCACCACCTGACATGATTACAGGATTACACCTGACATGATTACTGGATTAATGAATACAGTTTGATTAAGAAAGTTGTGCACGTATATTTGATTTACAGAACTTCATTTGTTGCATGAGCTTCAGTAGATATGATAATAATAATCCCTCTCCTTGTAACTAGCTATAGAATACAGTTCAATGATACAGTTTCAGATAATGATAAATTGACATTGTACACTTTTAATGGTATGCATAACTATTAAAACCAACATCAGCTGCCGACATGGTACTTTGACCTGGTACTATACCCTACCAAGTGTTAACATTACAGTTAATCCTTTCACCACTGTAGACCATAATGGACTCATCCAAATCAATGCATGGAAGAGTTTACTGAAGTTACATAGGGGTGAAAGGGTTAATTCTATTGTTCCTGGTTTATACGGTACATGTAATGATGTCAGGAGTCATTTCAGTTTCTTGTTATAAGTTTATGAGAATGTGAATAGTGAAACTTCTGCTTCATATATACCTTGCATGAATGCTGTTCTATTGACATGTATAACCCTTTCACCCCTATGTAACTTTAGTAGACTCTACCATGTATTGATCTGGACGAGTCCATTATGGTCTACAGTGGTGAAAGGGATAAAGTGTTTTGAGTTACAAATGATCTAATGGCCATTTTACTGACAGTTATATTAAATATTGTGTGATGATAATAATAATGATTTGAGGTTCTTATATAACCCTTTATCACAGCTAAGTTCATGGAGGTCGTCTCAAACGGTTCACAAATTATCTTCGATATGAAGATTAATGTTCAGAAATTTTAAAAAGTGTGCACTTTTAAAACTGAGTAAACACCTAAATCACCTTTAAACTGTACTAACATTATTGAGATTGGAATTCTCCAAAAAACCTGACTAAGTGTTTCACCAAATCATTGATTTCACGGAGTGATAAACCACAAAAAAATGTTATATATCAATACACTCGTTCGTAATGTACGTGTCTCACATTTAATTACACCAATTATAATTAAAAAACAGTTATGCTTCACTGGTAAAAACCAATTTACTGTAGATTTGAGATAAAAGAAAACGTATAAGTTTAAACCAATAATATTTCTTTACCACAATATTTGAGCTAATAAGTCTGGATATGAGTTTATAAATAATTTTATCGAGTAATTTTATTACTGTTTTTCATTTGTGTAATTGTTAATGGTGAAGAATTCGTATTAACTTCAATTCATTTTTTTTTTAAATGTATCACACCTGTATTGGTACCCTTTATTAGTGAAGGCCTTTATATACCATACTTCGTGTAAATTCAAATTTGAATAATATACTGTATATATATAAAAACAAAAATGTTCTGTTAATAATATAGTGTCATGCATAGAATATTTAGGTGAATATTTCCAGAGAAAATTTTGATTTAGTTACATGTTACAGGATATGAAATTCACTTTTAAGTTAGAGTTCAAATAATGTAAAATTTGAATTGACATGTGTAATTCTAATTTTCTAACAGGAGCTTGAGCTAGAGATGGAGAGACTGGAAAGGGAGGCAGAGGAGATACAACAAGCCGAGGACGACGTGCGACAAGCGCTTGCTGAATCAAGGAAAAAACAAAGGGACGAGCGTGATACGCGGAGAAAGGCTGATCTCGAACGAAAAAAACAGCTGGCCATAGAACGGCGGGATAAAGAGAAGAAAATTATGGAGAAGGCCAAAAACAAGGAGCTGGAAATGTTGGAGAAAATTGAGGATGCCAATGTTAGGAAACGTCAACGCGAGGAGGAGGAACTTAAGGAGGAGGAAGAAGAGAGACTGGCTCAGGAACGACTGGAGGTGAGAGTGGAGATTATACGATAACACACTGATTTAACATAACCAGAACATTGGGGGGGGGGGGGGGGGGGGGGTCAGGAATAGTGTTGACCTAGCGTTTGTTTAACTGTGTAAATATCAACTTGCAACCCATGCAAAGCAATCATTATATTTCTGTTCTATGTATGTGAAAATCTCAGCCTGAAGTTTATAATTTATTTTAACAACACTTCTGTGCATATTTCACACCTGTTTATTGCTATATTGGTATAGTGATGAACTTGATCTGTCAAATTGTGGGCTAGTCCTTTAAGACAAACACATTTATCTGTCCATGGCCCATCTACTGGCTGGAGGGCTGTGTGTTTGATGCGACTCAGTATTGATATTTTCTAGTGACAGACAATTATTGTATACATAGTGTAGCTGCTGTTAATGTTTGTGACAACCGTGCATGATATTGGTACATCAATACGTCTACACCAAGATGTGTTTCTAGGACCAAGATCCGGCTTTGTATTGACCATAAAATTGATGCGCCATCGGTCGTTTGGTGTTGAACATGACTCCCCTCCCATATATGAAATCAGATGGTTAACATCTGTTGTGGACTCGAGTGTCTTAAAAATTTGTTGTATTGTGTGATAAAATTTGTTTTAAATGTTACATACATATAGGATCTTACATGAGTTTCCACTTCATATGCGATTTATGAAACGAATCTTAGAGTTGTTCAATTTAGCGAGCATCTGGCAAGCTAAAATGAAAAATTTGTGATGAATTTCATAAATTTCATCTGATATGAAAATGAGATTAAGATCCTTTTAATCACATATTCAAGATTTGTGGCATTTATTCGTGTAAAACGACACTGGATAACACATGTACATTATATATGTGATAAATGATCAATATTGTAGTTAGCTTGCCAGTGGAATGACTCTGATGATCCAGATATATCATCTAAAAGTAAAAATTCAGAGAAACATATACTTATTACAAACCCTGGTGCAGGGGATGTAACCCAAGGAGAACATCACCCCTAGGGACCTACCTTAAAACAGGTTTATAACAAATACCAGGGGACAGAACAAATCAATTTTCTTTAGTAAAAGATGTTTAAGATGAACTTCAGGGAACATCAACAAAAAGTGTAGGGCTATTATATATGGAGCAGGAAGGGAGTAGGGGACAGTATAGGGATAGTGTAGGGAACAGCATAGGGACAATGAAAGGGACAGTGTAGGGAACTGTAGGGAACAGCATAGGGACAGTGTAGGGGACAGTGTAGGGGACTGTGTAGGGGACAGTGTAAGGGACTGTGTAGGGGACTGTAGGGGACAGTGTAGGGGACTGTGTAGGGGACTGTAGGGGAAAGTGTAGGGGACTGTGTAGGGACAGTGTAGGGGACTGTGTAGGGGACTGTGTAGAGAACAGTGTAGGGACAGTGTAGGGACAGTGTAAGGGACTGTAGGGGACAGTGTAGGGGACTGTGTAGTGGACAGTGTAGAGAACTGTAGGGAACAGCATAGGGACAGTGTAGGGGACAGTGTAGGGGACCGTAGGGAACAGTGTAGGGGACTGCATGGACAGTGTAGGGGACTGTGTAGGGGACAGTGTAAGGGACTGTGTAGGGGACTGTGTAAGGGACTGTGTAGGGTACAGTGTAGGGAACAGTGTAAGGGACAGTGTAGGGGACAGTGTAAGGGACTGTGTAGGGGACAGTGTAGGGACAGTGTAGGGAACTGTGTAGGGGACTGTAAGGGACAGTGTAGGGTACAGTGTAGGGGACTGTGTAGGGAACAGTGTAGGGACAGTGTAGGGGACAGTGTAAGGGACTGTGTAGGGGACTGTGTAGGGGACTGGGTAGGGGGCAGTGTAGGGGACTGTGTAGGGGACTGTGTAGGGGACTGGGTAGGGGGCAGTGTAGGGGACTGTGTAGGGGACTGTGTAGGGGACAGTGTAAGGGACAGTGTAGGGGACTGTGTAGGGGACTGTGTAGGGAACAGTGTAGGGGACTGTGTAGGGGACTGTAGGGGACAGTGTAGGGGACTGTGTAGGGGACAGTGTATGGGGACAGTGTAGGGGACTGTGTAAGGGACTGTGTAGGGGACTGTGTAGGGGACTGTGTAGGGGACAGTGCAGGGGACTGTGTTGGGGACTGTGTAGGGAACAGTGTATGGGGACAGTGTAGGGGACAATGTAGGGGACAGTGTAGGGGACTGTGTAGGGGACAGTGTAGGGAACTGTGTGGGGGACAGTGTAAGGGACAGTGTAGGGGCAGTGTATGGGGACAGTGTAGGGGACTGTGTAAGGGACTGTGTAGGGGACTGTGTAGGGGACAGGGTAGGGAACTGTGTAGGGGACAGTGTAGGGGACAGTGTAGGGGACTGTGTAGGGGACAGTGTAAGGGACAGTGTAGGGACAGTGTATGGGGACAGTGTAGGGGAAAATGTAGGGGACAGTGTAGGGGACAATGTAGGGGACTGTGTAGGGGACTGTGTAGGGGACTGTGTAGGGGACAGTGTATGGGACAGTGTAGGGGACAGTGTAAGGGACTGTGTAGGGGACTGTGTAGGGGACAGTGTATGGGACAGTGTAGGGGACAGTGTAAGGGACTGTGTAGGGAACTGTGTAGGGGACAGTGTAGGGGACAGTGTAAGGGACCGTGTAGGGGACAGTGTAGGGGACAGTGTAGGGGACAGTGGGGGGACAGTGTAGGGGACTGTGTAGGGGACAGTGTAGGGAACTGTGGAGGGGACAGTGGAAGGGACAGTGTAGGGGACAGTGTAGGGGACTGTGTAGGGGACTGTGTAGGGAACAGTGTAGGGGACTGTGTAGGGAACTGTGTAGGGAACTGTGTAGGGAGTGTAAGGGACAGTGTAGGGGACTGTGTAGGGGACTGTGTTGGGGACAGTGTAAGGGACCGTGTAGGGGACAGTGTAGGGGACAGTGTAGGGGACAGTGGGGGGACAGTGTAGGGGACTGTGTAGGGGACAGTGTAAGGGGCAGTGTAGGGACAGTGTATGGGGACAGTGTAGGGGAAAATTTAGGGGACAGTGTAGGGGACAATGTAGGGGACTGTGTAGGGGACTGTGTAGGGGACAGTGTAGGGAACTGTGTAGGGGACTGTGTAGGGGACAGTGTAAGGGGCAGTGTAGGGGACAGTGTAAGGGACAGTGTAGGAGACAATGTAGGGGACAGTGTAGGGGACGGTGTAGGGGACTGTGTAGGGGACAGTGTAAGGGGCAGTGTAGGGACAGTGTATGGGGACAGTGTAGGGGAAAATGTAGGGGACAGTGTGGGGGACAATGTAGGGGACTGTGTAGGGGACTGTGTAGGGGACTGGGTAGGGGACAGTGTAGGGGAAAGTGAAGGGACAGTGTAAGGGACAGTGTAGGGGACAGTGTAGGGACAGTGTAGGGGACTGTGTAGGGGACAGTGTAGGGAACTGTGGAGGGGACAGTGGAAGGGACAGTGTAGGGGACAGTGTAGGGGACTGTGTAGGGGACAGTGTAAGGGACAGTGTAGTGACAGTGTAAGGGACTGTAGGGGACAGTGTAGGGGACTGTGTAGGGGACAGTGTAAGGGGCAGTGTAGGGGACAGTGTAAGGGACAGTGTAGGGACAGGGTAAGGGACAGTGTATGGGACAGTGTAAGGGACAGTGTAGGGGACAGTGTAGGGGACAGTGTAAGGGACCGTGTAGGGGACAGTGTAAGGGACTGTGTAGGGGACAGTGTAGGGGACTGTGTAGGGAACAGTGTAGGGGACTGTGTAGGGAACTGTGTAGGGAACTGTGTAGGGAGTGTAAGGGACAGTGTAGGGGACTGTGTAGGGAACTGTGTAGGGGACAGTGTAGGGGACAGTGTAAGGGACTGTGTAGGGAACTGTGTAGGGAACTGTAGGGAACAGCATAGGGAGTGTAGGGGACTGTGTAGGGGACAGTGTAAGGGACTGTGTAGGGGGCTGTGTAGGGCACTGGGTAGGGGACAGTGTAAGGGACTGTGTAGGGGACTGTGTAAGGGACTGTGTAGGGGACTGTGTAGGGGACTGTGTAAGGGACTGTGTAGGGGACTGTGTAGGGGACCGTGTAGGGGACTGTAGGGAACTGTGTAGGGGACAGTGTAAGGGACAGTGTAGGGGACTGTATAGGGGACTGTGAAGGGGACAGTGTAGGGGACAGTGTAGGGGACTGTGTAGGGGACAGTGTAGGGGACAGTGTAGGGGACAGTGTAGGGGACAGTGTAAGGGACTGTGTAGGGGACTGTGTAGGGGACTGTGTAGGGGACTGTAGGGAACTGTGTAGGGGACAGTGTAGGGGACAGTGTAAGGAACTGTAGGGAACAGCATAGGGAGTGTAGGGGACGGTGTAGGGGACAGTGTAAGGGACTGTGTAGGGGACAGTGTAAGGGACTGTGTAGGGGACTGTAGGGAACTGTGTAGGGGACAGTGTAAGGGACTGTAGGGGACAGTGTAAGGGACAGTGTAGGGGACTGTATAGGGGACTGTGAAGGGGACAGTGTAGGGGACAGTGTAGGGGACTGTGTAGGGGACAGTGCAGGGGCCAGTGTAAGGGACTGTGTAAGGGACTGTGTAGGGGACTGTGTAGGGGACTGTGTAGGGGCCTGTAGGGAACTGTGTAGGGGACAGTGTAGGGGACAGGGTAGGGGACTGCGTAGGGGACAGTGTAGGGGACAGTGTAGGGACAGTGTAGGGGACAGTGTAAGGGACTGTGTAAGGGACTGTGTAGGGGACAGAGTAGGAAATATTGACTGGCTTTGAAGTCAGGTTTTGCTCCTCTGTAATCTTCAAAGGACAGGTATCAGCCTAGATATCGGTCACGTTGCTGTTTTACCTGAGACCAATCAAATAAATAGGTGTGTACCTTGAATTTTGCTGTGACATATCCAACGGGTGCAGAGAGCGAAAGTAAGCGCTGTTCCTAGAGTACCGAGGATGTTGCCAGTGTATCATGCACTACATTTTTCAAGCGTTTTTAAAAATTGTCGGGATATCGTAGTACAATGTATTTTTGTCACTGTCTTTTCATATCTTGTATCTCTAATATCCCTTCATATTAAATCTTTAATTTTCACGATAACTAAGTCCTGCGATAAAATAAAGGAGAAAGACGCCTGCAAATTTTCTGAAAACATTAAATTGCAGTTAGTGTCTGAGAATCTACATTATACTAGTAAATTGTACAAGTCAATGTTTAATAAGAACCTTTTGATGTGACCTATTAAATGGTCCAAACTACATCTTACGATTACTAACTCATAAATTGTTCTCTTAGAAATTCATATCAATAACATTTATGGGCCAAGAGAGATTCCCATTTAGTACTGATCACAGGCTAGATGATGGCCGACCTTCTGTCTTCTGTAATCCATTATCTTTATAAACGTTGAATCCTGTTAAAAGACGAGAGATAATTATTGAGGAATTGATTTTATCATCTTCTTGTATAAGAAGAACACAGTTATACCTGTTTCCCCTATTGTGCACCTTTGGTTATGTCTGGTTCTATTGGCAGGAGGTGAAATTTTACTACCTATAGGATGATAGGGCGGTTGAATATTGATTTGATACATTATGTTTAATTACAGGAGGAGATGAGAGAGGCTGAGAGGCTAGCTGAAGAGGAGGAAGATAAACTCAGGGAGCTGGAGAGACAGGTATATTACGTACATGTGAAGGACTGACACAAAAAAAAATATTTTTCTTTATAGGATGCAAGAATATGTAATCAATATTTGTTAGGATTTTTCTATAAAAACTTTTTGCAATATAACAGTTTACATTTTGTTTTTTTACAAATGATCAGATAGAATAAAAAATGTTGGAATACAACATGATTAATAATGGAACATAAAGAGATTTGACGTTCATTACCAGTATGTTCAGTTCCTATGATCCCTGAAGAATTTTTCGTCCTAGAATCTGTATATCTAGATCTCCCCATTCTAATTCTAATTACCTTCCAATTAACAGGCAGAGGAGGAAGCAATGCAACGCCTCATTGATGAGAGAGAGGAGGCTACACGAAAGAAGAGACAAATAGAGGAACAGAAACGATTAGTCGAGGAAGAGGAGGACAGGAAAAGGTAACACACATTGAATGCTCACAGTGTTCGCAGAGTCCAGGAACACTGGATCAGAGATATTCCACAGATTCAGAGAAGGAAGCCTTTTCTAGAGTATGGTATTGTAAGAAGTTCATGTGGAGGAGGGGAGGTTCAGAAAGGAGAGAGAGTTGTAATTAATCGATAATTGCCCAGTATTCTGACTGTAGAAATTATACTGTAATATAGAGTGTGTGGCCAGGAAACCTTGTGACAACAAATATTTCTTTCTTCTGACTGCACGGTAGTCTCGCCATGAATGGACTTGTTTTGATATTGTTAGTACCAAAATTCAGGACTGTAGAATTAGATATCAGAAGAAACCTATGAAGGTCACAAGGTCAAGTAATTAACAGACAAATAATTAATGATATCTTCAAACCATGTATCTTTGATTTTTGGTTATTTAAATTAATCTTTATATGAAACAGCTGCAAGACTGGCCTATCATGTTCTTATAGTAATTGTGTAAAAGATGTAGATTAATTAAGTTACTTTACAAGCCTTAGCTGTAGGGAATTTCCCTTTAGCTCAGCGGTAGAGCATTGAGCTGGAGAGCCAAGGGTCGCGGGTTCGAGCCCCAGCGACGGCACTACCTTTATCACTATTCCTCGTCCTATTACAATTGTCTTTGTGTTCTTGTCAACGGAACCAAAAACTGGGTGTTGTGTTCTTGTCAACGAAACCAAGAATTGGGTGTATGTAGTTTATCAAGTGTGTGTGTGTCCCATGCATCGCCTACAAAATTAAACCCAGAAATAAGCCGTGTATGTCTATGCTGTTTTTCAGAGAAATCATTATTAAAGAAGAGAGGCGATTGGAAGAGGAAAGATCTAGGAGGGCAGAAGAAGAGGATAGGAAATTACAGGAGGAGAAAAGGAGACTGGCCGAGGTAAGACATGATAAAAAATACGGCAAAAAATAAAATCACTGGAAAAAGGTATAGTTTAATCGTTAACAAAATCAATAAATATTATTGTAACAGGAGAGGAAAATGCATGGCCAGACCAGGGGTTCGAATTGGGGACCTTCCGAACTCTAGACGGATGCTCAACCAATTGACCTCACTGAGTCATGCTAGGTTATACATATATTGACCGTGTGGAAGGGAAACACGATTCTTTGCTCCTCCCATAGTAATCATGTTTCACCAGGGTGAAGCTTTTTCAGAGTTTTAGATGACAATATATATTAATTACTCCATAAGTTTTAAAGTAGTGGGCAAGGACACCACCATGTTGCTTTCTATTGCGATATTAACCCTGTGTATATAATTACCATGTGACTGCTCTATACAGATTTTTACCTGATATACTTACCGTACAGCGGGATATATTTCCACAGTCAATAAAGTGATTGCGAAAATATGATCTTCAGAATAATATGACAAGGGTAAAGATGAGCCGCAGTAATAAAATTCATAACTGTAATGTTGTCATGAAATAGCGAGTCTGTGGTTGTAATGGTTCGTATTCATAACAAGTATTACAAGTTGTTTGATTATAGATTATATAATATTTCTAAACATAATCGAGACGAGGGGGCTCAAAGACTCTCGCACATCTATGACCAAGTATTAAACAAAACGTAGCTGAATCGAGTCATTTCGGTACATATATAACAACTATTGTACATAGGCTTATAGCGTAGCCGAAATCAACATTGATTTTGTGGACAACTCATACACATTTTACATCTCTGTGTGCATACGCTTCACTGGTCATTTGTCTGATGAAGGTGACAGTGTACATATCGTACTAGTCATCGAAACGTCAAATAGAAAATGTTATTGATTGTGTAAAAAAGATCTTTATAATAGATCATATAATAGTTTTGTTGGTAATTTGTTTAACACAATACACCTGTTGTTGCTCAGTATGCTGTAGTAAAGCCTATTCATTAGACTATTTGACACTTTATATGCCATGTGTCCTGTCTCTGTGACACTTAATTGTCGTGTGTCCTGTCTCTGTGACACTTTATATGCCACTTGTCCTGTCTCTGTGACACTTTATATGCCATGTGTCATGTCTCTGTGACACTTTATATGCCATGTGTCATGTCTCTGTGACACTTTATATGCCATGTGTCATGTCTCTGTGACACTTTATATGCCATGTGTCATGTCTCTGTGACACTTTATATGCCATGTGTCATGTCTCTGTGACACTTTATATGCCATGTGTCATGTCTCTGTGACACTTTATATGCCATGTGTCATGTCTCTGTGACACTTTATATGCCATGTGTCCTGGCTCTGTGATACTTAATTGTCTTGTGTCCTGTCTCTGTGACACTTAATTGTCTTTTGTCCTGTCTCTGTGACACTTAATTGTCTTGTGTCCTATCTCTGTGACACTTTATATGCCATGTGTCCTGGCTCTGTGATACTTAATTGTCTTGTGTCCTGTCTCTGTGACTCTTAATTGTCTTGTGTCCTGTCTCTGTGACACTTTCTATGCCATGTGTCCTGTCTCTGTGACACTTAATTGTCTTGAGTCCTGTCTCTGTGACACATTATATGCCATGTGTCCTGTCTCTGTGATACTTAATTGTCTTGTGTCCTGTCTCTGTGACTCTTAATTGTCTTGTGTCCTGTCTCTGTGACACTTTATATGCCACTTGTCCTGTCTCTGTGACACTTTATTTGCCATGTGTCCTGTCTCTGTGACACTTAATTGTCGTGTGTCCTGTCTCTGTGACACTTTATATGCCACTTGTCCTGTCTCTGTGACACTTTATTTGCCATGTGTCCTGTCTCTGTGACACTTAATTGTCGTGTGTCCTGTCTCTGTGACACTTTATATGCCACTTGTCCTGTCTCTGTGACACTTTATATGCCATGGGTCCTGTCTCTGGGACACTTTATATGCCATGTGTCCTGTCTCTGTGACGCTTTATATGCCATGTGTCCTGTCTCTGTGACACTCAATTGTCTTGTGTCCTGTCTCTGTGACACTTTCTATGCCATGTGTCCTGTCTCTGTGACACTTAATTGTCTTTTGTCCTGTCTCTGTGACACTTAATTGTCTTGAGTCCTGTCTCTGTGACACATTATATGCCATGTGTCCTGTCTCTGTGATACTTAATTGTCTTGTGTCCTGTCTCTGTGACTCTTAATTGTCTTGTGTCCTGTCTCTGTGACACTTAATTGTCTTGTGTCCTGTCTCTGTGACACTTTATATGCCATGTGTCCTGTCTCTGTGCTAAAACACTGCAAAAATAGTTCCTTCACATGTCTAGATCCCCAAACTATAATGATTGTAAATTTATTTTTCTCATATCAGGTAGGTCATAATCACGAAAAAATTTAAGCCCATGTAAATAATTGTTTATGCGGTATCTGAGGTGCAGTTACAACAATGAGATAAATAAATTACGGAACATGACAACAACGATGTTGTTTTAGAGAACTTTGTGTAAACAAATACCATACATTGATAAAAACTAGAATTTTGTCGTGAGACTTAATGGAAGTATGGTTGGTTTCTGTACCAACAGTTACAAAGAATTGAGAGTGAGGCCAGGGAACAGATGCAGAAGGAGCTTGCTCACCGCCGCGAGATGGCCCTTTCAAGACGGGATCGAAATCTTGAGGCCCGCTCCAACATGACACGACTCAAACATTCACAAGGGATCACACAGCCCTGGGTCTGGTCCTACTTCATACAGTGGCCCATGGAGACCTATAACATGTAAGTACTGGTTACTTTGAAAGTCGGGAGATATATTTTTGGGGGGTCAGAGGTCAGGAGATATATATTTTGTAGAGGTCAGAAGTCGGGAGAATCATAGGTCATTAAAAGTGCCTGTAGAAATGACCAGATGTCAGGAAATAAAAACAGATCAGGAGGAATAAAATAGAGATATAAATCCCTCACTACAGACTATGATAGAGATATAAATCCCTCACTACAGAGATATAAATCCCTCGATCACTACAGACTATGGGTTTGTACTTTGTGCATCAATTAATATGTTATCATATTGTCTGGGACATATCTCAATGCACTCTTTCAGCTACAATTGACAAATTTTGTATGCAAGTACATCTTTTGATCGCAAAGTATCTTGTGCTAAAATACGGTCACACACGTGTATAAAAAAATTATGACCTTCTTTTTTTAAATGAGGTATCTTTCGGAATGGTTGAGTGTCACATGTCGAAGTTTGATTTTGTGTCTGTCTGAAACTATGTTCACAGAGTTACATTCCTTTGTTCATGTTTATATAGGGATTAAATGGCGTTTAATCCATATATTTACATTTCTATTATAGAAAAATTGTTTCATTTTAGTTCAATAGTTTATTTATTTACTGTGTTTTGTATATGCGTCGTCCTCTAAACGACATTGGCGGAACAGCCCTATTCAAATAAATTGGCGCCAATAATTAACCGTAGTCATTTGAGCGTTTGACGCAGGGGCATTCTCCATTTTATCCGAAGTGAAGCGACAAGACTCTCATTGAACAAGGTTAATCTATGACGTCATAAGTAAACCACGTGTTACGTCACAAGAGTTTATGTTTTCATACTCGAATGAAATGCATTTCTGCTGGTAATGTTCATATAGTGGGTTGCAGCGCAAATGTAATAAACACACATCTTAGGTATAATGGCACGATGATGGGGAAATTAGACAGCTTCTGGACTTAATTTTTCAACTAGATTTTATGACACTTCAAACAAGTATTGTTAACACCAATCTCTAGAGACCAGCTGAAAGTCTTTAACCCTTTCACCCCTATGTGACTTTAGTAGACTCTACCATGCATTGATATGGATGAGTCCATTATGGTCCACAGTTGTGAAAGGGTTAAGTACACATTTAAGGCCTTGGCCACAGATAAAGAACTCTACCTATACGTGATAATGGAAATATTTGATATTTGGCATTTCTCAGCTAACTGACTAAGTGTTTTTTCAACCAAATTTCATATAACTTCACACATGATAAATTGCTTTACTAACAAGGTTATGTGTAGGAAAGTGTTTCCTAATTGTAGTACATTTGTATTTAGTTCTTTTACCATATTATATTACAGATATTTACACTTCAATATGCAATCGTATAGTTTACATGAATTATTCCATCTTTTTCAGCTCAGAAATGTTGTTTACACAGTAACATCACTGTTTCTCTCCTATTCAGTGACCTTTTCTAACATATATATGTTTTACAGACCCATAGGAGGGGAGCCTGATGACAAGAAGAAGAAGCGCCCCAAGCCAAAGGCCAAGAGATGATGACCTGGGAGGTTTGGACTTATCCACGATGATGCCCTGGGCCTGTATGGACTTATCCACGATGATGCCCTGGGCCTGTATGGACTTATCCACGATGATGCCCTGGGCCTGTATGGACGTATCCACCGTGTATTTAGTGCCTTCTGTATCACTGTGCTTTTAATAATTATTACTGGTAGTACAATAGGAGAAAATGTCATCACTTAATGTTGTGCGTACGGAAAAAGACATTCACCATGAACATAAAATATTATTTAATTATTCAGGTCATACTTAAAAAATGAAAGAAAAGAAATTTTCAATAAAAAAAAATCTTACAGCTATCCCAGAAAAACAACAACAATAAAGCAGTTGGTGGCATGAGATAGGGAGCATGTTTTTGATCCATACCACTCATAACTGCTTTTTCCTGGGGCCCACTGTACAAATGTTCACAATTATTTTATACGAAACACCAATAGATCGTCAGTTTAAGTGCCTCCCTCAAGTAAAAGAGGTTGAGACTTATATTCTGTGTTTATTTTATATTTACCATATTTATATGGATATCTTGACATAAATCATGAGGGAACTTTGGAACCATCTTAGTTTATTCGTTACTAATCATTACTAAGTTGGTGGGTATCTATCATGCTACCATGTGGTATACATGTACTGAATACACACATGTTATGGGATTTTTTAAATCAAAGCTTGTTATCATGGAGTATTGCAAATACAGTTACATGTACATCTAGTTCAGTTTGGGATATATTTTGTTTTGTATAAATTGTTCTCAAACAAATAAATATTTTGATTTGTTTTTGCCTGTGAATTTATGCAAATAAGTACTATTTATGAAGAGGTACGTGGTCCTCTCACTATTACCACATGACCATAGTTGTCCTGTATATTGTTCCCTATATTGTATAGTCGTATGTGACGAGGTGGTCCTATATCTGGTTCAACATGACTCAGGGAGTATTCTATGTCATAACTTTTGCCTTATGAGTGCATTTTCAAATGCTACCATTCTTAATGCTTTCACCCCTATGTAACTTTAGTAGACTTTACCATGCATTGATATGGATGGGTCCTTTGTAGTCTACAGTGGTGAAAGGGTTAAAGGCATACAAATGTTTGTCCATGTACAGAACCATGATCACCTTTCTGAGTAGATCTCTGTCACTTCCAGTAGCTTAGCAAGAGACAGGTTGTCTGATTTGTCAGGTTCTAATATACACAGTGGGACAAAGTAGAAGATGGTTTGAACAGGTTTCTAAGTCAGTCTAGACAGGTCTCACTGTATATTATAACTATGCAAGTGGTGGGATAGACTATCAAGGATACAGGAAACTTACTACACTGTATGTTATAATTATACCAGTGGGATAGACTATCAAGGATACAGGAAACTTACTATGCAATGGACTTTGTTTATAATCAAATTTGTCTTGTTTTAGCAGTGATAAATTTACTTAATTTTGTTCATCTGTGAATAATTGGGGCACAGCTATTTTATTTGTATAACTCATAAAACTTGTTGATCCACTTTGTCTGTGATATCTAGTTTATTTTGTTTTCGTATATATCTGTAATACAGTGCTGCTGTGATGCATCTTGTTAGAAAATAGTTTTTTCATAATTTTTCTTATATTTTTTTTTATTTATGCTTGTTAAATAATTAAGTCACTTAACATAACTTGTAGCTGCTGTTGCATTGCCCGACCTTTGAGTCCTATCTAAGTGCCGGAGTCCTTTTCCGTCCGGACCAGAGTCCTAGACCAACTATTATTTGGAATACAGCGTTGGTCTTCTTATCTTTTAAGACAAGACTCCTGGGCTAATCACACTGATAGCAAACTCCCTGGTTTTTGTGAGCTTTCCTGTACAGTCCTTGGTCCCAATAAGAATTAGACTTCCTGGTCTCACCACTAGGTGGAGACTTCCTAAAGGCGTTATTACTGAATGTTACTCGTTTAATTTGTGGCATGTTTCCAAAATGTCCCGGTCATATTTTTAATTAATATTTTTTGTAGTTTTTTTTTTTTGAAGGATTTTGTTTTAAGAAAAAATTATATTTGTGTATAAAAAAATAACCCAAATCACCAGTGCTAATGTTTGGTGCATGTATGTATCAAACTTGTATAATGGTAATTTTATTTAATTGTTAATTTACATCAATTACACCATAACATGGAAGAGTTATAACTTATTTACAGAAATGTTATTGATGTTAACAAGGTAAAGATACACAATAGTGCACTCTGTATATTTTTTTATTGATTCTATATATAATTATATATGTATATCATCTTAGTTATAAAATTGACTCATTTTATTTTAAATGTTATAATACATGTACGTTTATTATTTATTTGATTTAAGCTCTAAAACCTATTAAACATTTCCTTTAGGACTTCTTTGTACTGGGGTACATTCGCTTTTCCAGTTGAAACGGTTGAACCTGTAAAGAAAACAACAGGTATAGATCTGGACCGAGGCTGACCTCAGGAAAATTTGGCACATGTAGATTGAGGGGTCCAGGCCAGGGACAGTATATACGTCCCTGTCCAGGCGTACCTGACCGAAACTAACATGCTGACTATTGCTAGTTTGCGTTATTTCTTTCTAAAACAATGTCAAGCCAAATGTAGTTTTTAAGATACATTATGTAATTCAGTGGACGCATGAAAGAAAGAAGGGCATAATATTCTTGATACATTGTTTTTTTATTCTCAGAAACTGTGCATGTTTACCTCTGCTTACAGAACGGTCCAATTGCGTTCGTTTATCGTGGAAAATTTCTGCACCACACGTACCGTTTCAACCGGATACGCGAATGTACCCCTGACGTCTATCACTAACATAGGATTGCTAAACACCAATGGTAGGACACCTACTTTACAATGCTGTAATCATTGTTGATAATTTCACCATTGTGCTATAGTGTATTTAATATCGCCTGTTCTAAACCTACTGACATTTTTTGTCAGGTTAGCAATGATACTCACAGCGTTGCAATCTGCGACAGGTTTTCCATTTTAAAATTATATGTAAGGTGATGTACTACACTATACATATAATTGTTCCCCAGTTCCACTAGACCATGGACTGGTGAAATTAACAACCAAACTTGTGTTTGTCATCTTTTGGTTTTACAGATAATCTTTTTTCATTAGTTGCAATCAAGATTAGCATGGGGTTTTTTTTAATTCCATGTTACAGTAGTTTTTTAGTTGTACCAGAGTTATGTTCCCCTTGCCTTGTAGGTGTCGCCACACCTCTGTACAGTGTGGCGCTGGTCCGTCCTTGTCAATGCTCAGATACACATTCCTTCCTGCTACATCCATCATGTATACACCACAGCTATTGTTATGTTATTCAAATTCTATTACTTAGGTCTTGTTCATTTAGATAAAATACTGTAAATAAAGAACAATACAACGGGATTAGAACATTCTTTGTTATTTATTCTAATTGAGCTTTCTTTAACTTACATGTATACAAACATTAGGACATATAGGTTCAATTCAGTAACAAAGTTCTCTCACATGCAATCGACTCTCTGACAACATGTGAATTTATTATAGGCAATTTCACAAAGAGTTATCTAGTATCAAGGACATACAAATACTTAAATACTAAAGATTTGTGTAAAAACATTAATTCAGTCCTGGCTTTGACAGAACTTTTACAGAGCCTGTCATTACAGACTAAATTTCGTAATCTCAGAAGGATTCTCAAGGCAGTTTAGCAAATGTTTAGCCCTGTCATTTTGTTTTGAGATACATACTATTCGAGACATCAATAATTTACAGTAGACAAATGTAATACAAACAACAGCTACAACCTATGAGTTTAGCTATTTGAATCCTCGATATCCAGGGGTTATGCTCACTTTGGCTATCTGCACCCCTGGAGATTGTCATTGCAAAATTGAAGGCACACGGCTTGCTATTTGATTGACGTCGGGTAAAAAACCTGACCAATCACTAGGCTGATACTTGGACTTTAAAAATTACAGCGGAGCGATGCCAGACTTCAAAGTTAATAAGTTTTACCGTTATGCGACCGCGAGATTATTTTGATGTACATCAAAGGATCAAACTAGCCTTCTCGTCTCATTCACAAGGCGGTGCACACTGAGCCTTTGATTTTGCTATGACATATTCCAGGGGTGAAGAGAGCGAAAGTGAGCGTAACCCCTGGATTTCGAGGATGAGCTATTTGCTATAAAAGGACATTTATAAGATGTGTAAAACTGTAGATAGCCAACTCCAAGTTCATTTATTAGATTAGGCTTATATACAGCTCATCAGTTGTGCATATATAACAATGCAACATGACAATACATGGTAAACAACAACACAGGTACACACCACTCGCGCACCTACTAAGGGTGGAGAGATTTCTTGCACAGCTAATAGATAATGAACTTTGTAATATAATAACATTAAGGAATGTTTCACACAGATCACAGATCAATATTTTTGATACATTGTTCCATCATGACAATATATAAACATGATAAAACAACTTCAGTACATAAATGGAATTATCAAGGCAAACTGGATTGATTGATTGATTGATTGATTGATAGGTTTTACATCCGCTTCACTACCGGACGTAAAACCAATCACTCAATCAATCCAGTAATCATTCAAGGCAAACTGGAGCAGTTAAACATAGGAACAAAATAAATATCCCCATCAGAGAACCAGACATGGCCTACAGGTAACAAAATATAAATAAAAACACAACTTTTCTTTAAAGGGGAATGTGTTTCACTTACTGGAATGTTCAATGACGTTATTGTATGAAACAAGCATAATATTATCTGGACGGACATAGACTATTAAAAGTAAATCCCAGCTATTTTTTGTTATAAAATAGAGACAAGCTGAATCAATAAATAAATTTGGAATTCTGTAAGATATAGACAAAATGTCGATAAAATATCACAACATAGAATAAAATACTAGTACTAGTATAAAGTCTTTTTGGTTTTATAAAGATTACATCAAATGTTAAGAGATACTATGGATGTAAACATGAAATGTGTACAATTCTACCAGAGTCAAGTCTGAACATCTTAAAACATCACAGTCTCAACTATCTGTGCTTCATAAACTGACAGTAAACCTACAGAGGCCTAGGCTAACTATCAATGTAGAATACTACCTTATATATGTAAATAAAATTCAAACTCTACAGAGAAAATACATCAAATGAACATCACAATGAGGTTACATATGTATATTAATGTTCATTTAACACATTTGAAAGACTCGTATTTGGAGAAGCCGAATAATTCATAAATGACCAATCACATATTACAATGGTTAACAAAACTAAGCATTTCAGCACCTGTAGAGTATGATAACCTGGTAGAAAGGTCAAAGTATCAGCTATAGAACACTGATTTTTTCCACAACCACTGTAGGTTTCCTCACTCATGACCCATAGGATAAACCTGCTAGGAGTTACTAGTGGGTAACACCCTGGACGTGATTTCATTGGTCAATCTTTGCTTTATGACGTCATGTAACGATGCTTTTCAACGTCATTTTCCATTGTGACGTCATGCTCCAAGGCAATCGTTATCCCCATCGGAAACACACATGATGTATTTTCTAAGGGAACAATGTGTTTTTTCAGATAAATAACGAACGTTATGGGAGAAACAGGTCCCCAAACTCGTGATGAATTGTTATCACGTTTATCTAACTCTCGTTAGTTAATTTCAAATTGTAAAAGACACTCGGTAAACCTCGTGTCTTTATACAATTTGAAGACTAAGTAACTCGAGTTAGATAAACATGATAACCAAACACCATTCGTTGGGGAACCTCTAGTATATACCTGATTCCTCATACTGACATGTGGTATCTTTGAATCATCAGTAGAAATATCCACGTATCATTACATCTACATCAGCATATATTACAGCACGTTAACATTCACAAGCAAAAACAATGTAAGATTGGAAAGAAGCAGAGACGGTGACAATCTCACACTCTACAATATCGTGACTTTCAATCCTTGATAAGCATTGTTTATATACTCCATGTGTTGCGGAGTATGTTAGCGAAGTCATCATCACTATCAACAGCTATGCTGAGGCCCTCGTAGTAATCCTCGAACTCCTCGAATGTCACCTCCTCCTGTCTTTTGCTCTCCTGGACAGCATCAATGAATGCATGCAGTGCACTTACAGACGAATCACCGGAGACTGAAAGTACATAATTAGTTGAATTTTAACTATCATAAATAAGTAGCTAACTATTGTCTAAATAACAGAAATGCCCCCTGTCCCCTTGCAATCAGCTGTCATTTTATGTACCAGGTAAGCCGGGGCAGGCAACACATCCACTTGTTTTGAGTTCTTGTTTAACCCTTTCACCACTGTAGACTATAATGGACTTATCCAGATCAATGCATGGTAGAGTCTACTAAAGTTACATAGGGGGGTTAAAGGGTTAAACAATGCATATATAATGAATATGACTAGAAAATAATTGTTAACCAAAAATACCCTTCAATTCCTTCTTTGCTGAATATGGGCCTTATCAACCCAAAGAACACAAATTATTATTTGTAAACCAACATTTTATTTCTAACCTTTGACCCACTGACCTCAAAAACACTCCCAAGCACTCACTCCTCCAAAACAGTATACCTAATATGGGCATGATCGTCAAAAAGGAGCATATATATTTTCTAGAAATAAAAGCTTAATAGATGGACAACACATAAAACAATGTTTCCCCACAATTAACGTGAGGAGAGACGGAATTCCTTATAAATGTTTCCCCACAATTAACGTGAGGAGAGACAGAATTCCTTATAAATGTTTCCCCACAATTAACGTGAGGAGAGACAGAATTCCTTATAAATGTTTCCCCACAATTAACGTGAGGAGAGACAGAATTCCTTATAAATGTTTCCCCACAATTAACGTGAGGAGAGACAGAATTCCTTATAAATGTTTCCCCACAATTAACGTGAGGAGAGACAGAATTCCTTATAAATGTTTCCCCACAATTAACGTGAGGAGAGACAGAATTCCTTATAAATGTTTCCCCACAATTAACGTGAGGAGAGACAGAATTCCTTATAAATGTTTCCCCACAATTAACAAGGGGCAAGACAGAATTCCTTATAAATGTTTCCCCACAATTCACAAGGGGCAAGACAGAATTCCTTATAAATGTTTCCCCACAATTAACGTGGCCAGAAACAATTCCTTATAAATGTTTCCCCACAATTACCATAGCCAGAAACAATCCCTTATAAATGTTTCCCCACAATTACCTTGGCCAGAAACAATTCCTTATAAATGTTTCCCCACAATTACCGTGGCCAGAATTCCTTATACATGTTGTCTTACTTTTTTTGTACATGTATTAATTATAACTCTGCATAGTTTTATTACTTCATGATTTTTTTCACAAAACACAGTTATCACAAGAGGTCACGTCTCAAGATGCTCATAGAAACCTTCCCCACTAAGGGGACATACTTACTTGCTGGGTTAAGATGTGGCCGGAAACTTGAGTTGAAGAATTTCTTGATCTCATTTAGAGTGATCCGACCCCTTTTACTTGCATCAACTTTTCGGAAAGCCTGAAAATGTTTTTAAATACAATGTGAATAAACTCAATAAAAAATGCAAAAAAGTATCTTTGACAAAAATAGAATAAGGATTTTGTAGAAGACTTGCAACATTTAGAGAAATTTTGATAATCGTTCTTCCAACTCTGAACACATAAAATTAAGCTTTTAACTTTAATTTAAATATACCCTTTATTCTTTATCCTTCCTGCATTTGCTACATGTTGAGAACTAGGTCAAGATGCATTTATGTTTCTATGTTTCCCAACTGGGAATTTTAAAGGGGCAAATTGAGAAGAATCACACTCTTTTTCCACTGAGAATGGCTCCTTTAAAATGGACTTAAAAAGTACTCCGATACCATTTATTATAATTCAAATATTTTTCTTTTTTTTTTAATTAATTTTCCAGTCAAGGAAAATCTTACTAATAAATCCTATCAGCTTCAAGTGAAGTAGTAAATAGATAAATAGATGTTACTGCTTGGACGAGCTACATCCCCTACTGATAACATACCTTCCTGACGAGGGTCTTGCGGTACTCGTTCATGGTGCCTATTACTCCATGTACATACACTGTGTAGTCAAGCTCTCCTCGCTCCTCTGGATCCAAAATCTCAAACACACCGTCAAGTTGCTGGAGATAGAAATGAACCGTTGACATGAATACAGTGTACCTAAACTATAGTTAAGTTATTTTCTTTTTGTAATGAAAAAGAAATTACAACAAATTTAAATGCTGCATAAACCTGAAATTAATAATAAAAAAAAAAAAAACCACACCAAAGTAAGATGTACAGTAATCAAATTAAAACTCATGTTAATTAACCCTTTCACCCCTATGTAACTTTAGTAGACTCTACCATGCATTGATCTGGATGAGTCCATTATGGTCTACAGTGGTGAAAGGGTTAATACTAGCTGAAGAGAAACGTAGCTGTCAAATCACAACACAGCTACAATACATACATCAGGGGTGAGGTCAATGTGGAATTTGATGATGCCTTCTTCCAGTTCGTACTTGTACAGAACCCCAGTGCCCTTAGTGTCTGCCCGTCGGTAATGACGTCCCAGACCAGTCATCGTCCTCACACCTCTCTTCTTCAACTTTTTCCTCACCTCAGCTAAAAAATAAATACAAAATCAATCAACCAAATTTACTCTCGTTGAATTGTACCATATATCACTTGACAGTCGATGGATATTGGCAATAAAAATTGTTTATATTTTATTGTAATTGGAATGCCATATTAATACGGCTCTGTTATACTTTCTTTACTGACAAAATGTCTTATTCTAATTTGTATGGCTTTAGAAATGTACATATGTTTATGAAGAAAGAAATATATCCAAAACAGTTGTGTAGAACGGTTCATGTAAAAAAAACAATTAAGTGTTTCAATGACTATTACAATATGTACATGCAGTGAACTTAATAAGGAAAATTGTTTGAAAATATCCGAAACAGGTTTATATCATTTATATCAAGCCAAATGCAAACACACAAACTACCCAGTATATCTATACCTTCTTCATATATAGTCCTTACGACTCAATGAGTTTTGATTGTAAATATATCGTTTTCTTTATTGTAAGACTGATGTTCACATTAACAAACACAACCTGTCATTGCCATGATTCCTCAACGTGGCGATTCAATAGGAATGCACAGAGTTTTGACAAAAAGACACAATTTTGTTACTCACCTTGGAGTTTTGACAAAAAGACACAATTTTGTTACTCACCTTGGAGATTTGACAAAAAGACTCGGTCTTGGTACTCTTGTTTGTTTTGTATATGGAGTTTAGCATAGGCATTCATTCTCGCTGAAGGTCGAACATCACTTAAGCTGGAAACAAAATCAAATTTATGAGTGTTTCAAGTCATGTACGCAAGAATCTATCATAGTAGTAAAGGTATCATTTTTTATTATTGATGAATGATCTGTTATATTATCAGAAAATCACTAACTCGCACTGTAAAGTAATTCTGTCAGTGTAAATGTAAAAACAGAGACAGAGGTGGTAGAGTTTCAACACAGTGATGGTAGAGTGTCAACACATAATGATGGTAAAGTGTTGACACACAAAAATGGTAAAGTGTCAACACACAGAGATGATTATAAGTGTCAACACACGAAGATGGTAAAGTGTCAACACACAGAGATGATGATAAGTGTCAACACACGAAGATGGTAAAATGTCAACACACAGAGATGATTATAAGAGTCAACACACGAAGATGGTAAAGTGTCAACACACAGAGATGATTATAAGAGTCAACACACGAAGATGGTAAAGTGTCAACAAACAATGATGGTAAAGTATCAAGATGGTAAAGTGTTGACACACAACGATGGTAAAGTGTCAACACACAAAAATGGTAAAGCATCAACACACTGAGATGGTAAGTGTCAACACTCAGAGATGGTAAAGTGATAACACACAAAGATGGCAAAATGTCAACATAGTGATGGTAAAATGTCAACACAGCGATGGTAAAGTGTCAACAGTGATGGTAAAATGTCAACACTGAGATGGTTAAGTGTCACCACACTGAGATGGTAAAGTGTCAACACACTGAGATGGTTATGTGTCAACACTCAGCGATGGTCAAGTGTCATCACACAGAGATGGTAAAGTGTCAACACAAAGAGATGGTTAAGTGTCAACACAGCGATGGTAGAGTACACACATAGCTGATAAAGTATTTATACAGAGATGGTGCAGAGCATGAACAAAGATTGTACGGTCTACAAGGAAACCACACGTACAGAACAGTCTGTTTCTCCTCCTCCTCCACGTCGGTCAGAGTGAAGTAAATCAGTTCCTGTTTCTTCAGTGTGTCTGGCAAGGAGTGTTGGCCTTCAGAAGGTATAATGAGAGTCATCCCCTGATAATTAAACAAGTACAATACATATAAATGATGTAAAAAATCAGTCCACTGTTTGTGTTACCATACTGGTATGTTTTTAAAAAATATCCAGACAATATGATCAGGGCTGTCAATGTAAAGTGGCAATCTACAAGTCCAAATAAATATTCTTGATGAAGTGTTCAGCTGAGGACGTATCTCATTCAGCTCTTGTTTTATTGTAATATCAGATACACGTGTACCTCCAATTACATTACAAATGAGAAATGACTTTGAAAATGAATATACATGGTGTATAAGTGTAAAAACATTACAGCTAGTAACTTTGTACTTCCTTGTATTAATTATTTGAAAATGAGCAAGAACATCATCCATTTTGATTTTTTTTATCAATACAAAGTTATATCTATATAAATCTTCAAATATCCTAAATTCAGTAGTTTGTCCTTTATCATATTTAACGGCAGCAGATCATTTTTCACTGCAAAAGTGACACATAATATATTTGGATCATATTATATGAATTCAATCATAACTTACAGCAAACAATAATTTACATCAGATCTGCATTCAAATGCAGATTTGATGTTTGACTTACCATTGTAAAAAAGACCTTTCAAACAAGGGTATTAAAATTATGCTGTGAACATTAAATTGTTTAAAGTCAGAAATTTTAATTTTAAACGCTGAATCATTTTTAACAGGGATACTAGACTTAATGCATTTTTTTGGCCTTTTATGCAAGTAAGGGAGAGGGTAAATAACATTATTGCAGAATGGGATATTTTCAACGGTTAAGTGAACTTGAAAAAAAAGTATGGTTATTCTATGAACTTGTGTAACATATCATCAAAATTATACCAATGTTGTTTTGGAGACGGACTACACGTATCAGGCAAAAGTAAGTGTTTTACATGATGATGAAGATGCCATGTTATATTTGACGTCTGTAAGTTAACATAGCGAAACAACAACCGACAACTTCAAACATGTACATCTTCAGTATTGATCAGTATATATATAGGTATAACTTCTGTACAAAATACATGTGACTTTTATTCACTATGTAACATGTGCAATTACTGACCCCTGTATTCACGCTATACTGACCGACCCTGGCCTCGACAAAGTCAAATGCAACAGTGTGTACACATGCGATGCACTGAACTCGCACCCTTTTATTCCCCCAAAGTCAGGGGACGGATTAAACAGGTTTCAGTGTAAAACCAATAAAACTGACTTTAACCCTTTCACCACTAGGTAACTTGAGTAGACTCTACCATACATTCATCTGGATGAGTCCATTACTAATCTACAGTGGTGAAAGGGTTGCTGTTGGAAATTTGTGGATTACTTTGGAACTTTATTTTATTTTTTATAGAAAATACATAATTTTAATATCAATTGCATATAAACATAAAAATACAGGAATGAAACAGAAATTGCTTTGATGCTTTTTTGTTGCTTTGCTTTTTTTTTTTAATTTGATGAAAGTTGAACTGATCAAGTTTACCTGTACAATGTCTGCCAGGCTGTAGAGCTCCCCCTTCCTTGGACCTTGGACATGGCAGTATTTACCTCGAACAATAAACGGCAAGGCCTTTGCACTGAAAATGATAATTTTCTTCAGTTTGAAAGCATATTTCAGTGAATTGCTAGGTGAATCTTAAACACAAAAATCCAGTATTTTCATAACACTGAGGTCCTGACATGACTTCTTCCTGATGCTATACAATAGGATACAATAGGATAAATAATGGATGCAGGCAGACACTCTGCCTCTATATCCATATCTTAATATATTTTAAACGTATTTAGAAAACATAATTCATTAATTATCATTTCCTGAGATTTCTTTATGGCCGGCCAAGTGATTGTATTTCAGTTCAAGATTTTTCCAATTAGTATCAAGATTAATTTCAAAGTCCTTAATCGTTGGCGATGTAATAACATATTCAGGGAGACTGTACCAGATTCCGACAACCCTAAAGCTAAATGAATATTTCCGAATATCATGCTTGCAATGCTTTTTCCTGATTTTCTGTGCATGTCCTCTTGTTCTAGATGATGTATCTAACTCGAAGATTCCTTTTGTTACCTTCTGGTCATGTTGGTTGTTCATTATTTTAACACCATTTATGATGTCGCCTCTCGATCTCTGGTATGCCAGGGTTGGAATACCTATCCTTTTCAAGAATTATTGCAATCAAATAGACGTACATTATAGAGAAAATAAAGATTTGCATACCTTTTACCAAATTGTCTGAACTCATATATGGTTAATGTGTTATCTGTGCTGAAGAAAAACCCTGTAAGTTCTCTCATCGCATCATGGCCATTTCTAAAACAAACAAAAAAGAATTAATACAGGTTCAAAACTGGACTTCTAACACCTTTAGTAATACACTTTACTGTTGAATATAAAAATAGTAACCAATATTGAAAATTAAATGTTTTACACAAAATCAAAATGAAATACTGTGTGATTTTTGTAATTGATTATCATCTTAATTTCTAGTGAAAATGGAAATAAAACACATAACTTTATATAATTTTTGATGAACTAAATTCCTGACCCTAAATACATTGTACAGTCAACATGAAAGTTCAATGAAGACTAGTAATAGTTTTACAATGCAACCTGTCAGGTTATTCCCCACCCTATATCCTTAGCTGGCACCCTATTACAACCTACCAGGTTGACCCCCCGCCCCAATCTGTTATAGCTAGCACCCCTGTTACAACCTACCTCATTAACCCCTGCCCCCATCCCCCATAGCTGGCACCCCTGTTACAACCTACCTCATTAACCCCCCCCCCCATCCCCTATAGCTGGCACCCCTGCCACAACCTACCTCATTAACCCCCACCCCCATCCCCTATAGCTGGCACCCCTGTTACAACTTACCTCATTAACCCTTGCCCCCATCCCCTATAGCAAGCACTTCTATTACAACCTAACTGGTTAACCCCCTGCATCCATTTGTTATAGCGAGCACTCCTGTTACAACCTACCTGGTTTACCCCTCACCCATCCCCTATAGCTAGCACCACTAAAACAACTAACCTGGTTAAACCCTCCCCATCCCATATAGCTAGCACCCCTGTTATAATCTAACTGGTTAAACCCAACACATCCCCTATAGCTAGAACCCCTGTTGTAATCTGCCTCGTTAACCCCCACCCCTTATAGCTAGCACCTCTGTTACAACCTACCTAGTTAACCCCCGCCCCCATCCCCTATAGCTAGCACCTCTGTTACAACCTACCTGGTTAACCCCAGCCCCCATCCCCTATAGTTAGCACCTCTGTTACAACCTACCTGGTTAACCCCAGCCCCCATCCCCTATAGTTAGCACCTCTGTTACAACCTACCTGGTTAACCCCTGCACCCATCCGTTATAACTAGCACCCCTGTTTCAACCTGCCTCGTTAACCCCTGCACCCATCCCCTATAGCTAGAACCTCTGAAACAACCTACCTGGTTAACCCCTCACCCCCAATAACTAGCATCTAGTTTTACAACCTACCTGGTTACCACCCTAGCACCAAAGCGGATCCTCTTGGACAACAGATTTTCTGTGGCAGTACCGTTGGTCCTCACTCTGAAACAGCGTCAGTAAATGTTATTATTCAACTGAATTCTACAGCAGTATAAATAGTATACAAGTGCTGTGTTACCAATTGTTCTTTTGCTTCCAATGACACAGTAGATTGTAAGACACTGCAGAGAATTTCTTTTTATCATTTGCAAAAATTATAGTGATATTATTCACCCTTTCATCCCTATGTAACTTTAGTAGACTCTACCATGCATTGATCTGGATGAGTCCATTAATGGTCTACAGTGGTGAAAGGGTTAGCATGCCATTTACTACAAAGGAGAAATTCAGTTGATATTCACACTGATTATTTTGACAGTTAAGTCTCAATTAAAAAAAAAAAAATCATTTTAATAAAAGTAATTTGTAATTGATAAAAAAAATACTTTCAAATGATCAAAAAGGTTCCTTGTATATATAGACATGTTTTTGCATACAGTGTCAAAATTATGCACGAAAACAATCATAGTTGGAAATCTATTGTTGGAAATTCTTAAAAACAAGTCTTTCAAATAGATTATTCCACTTGGCCACACAGGAGACTTACTTATACATTTAAGGGATCCCATTGGAATTAAGCCACAATGTAGCTTTATGGGTCATCCCAGGTAAAGGCCTAAATTAATCTAATCCAATCCAGTTCAAACACCTGACTGATTACTAGTTTTATGGCATAAATAACTTATAAATAACATCTTTGATAATATATATATTTATGTCCAATCTGCAAAATGTGATAAACCTGTATTATTTGCCTTTTACCTGAGTAAATATTATTATTATTATTACGTTTACACAAAATAAATACATTGTACATCAATTATCATCTGGAGCTGGTGTGGAATTTCGTAAGCAACATGTCGTTGCACTTAATATCTGTTTATGTAGAGCTATAGTTATCTTCATATTTACAGTACATTACGTATACATGAAGCTAAACGAAGGCTGGAAAAGTGAGGCAACCTACTTTGAGTCATGGAGAGATCTGTTGGAGCCTCGAGCACGGCGGGAGTCTGCCATCCTGCTGGAACTTCTTGTATTCTGATCCGGGTCACTAATCACAGCCCTGAGGAGAAAACCAGCAGATCAGATAATCACTAAATTGCTATTTACTAATTCATTTGACAATGAAGCTGTTACTGATGAATAAAATGTTGATATCTTCTCCAAGAACTTAACAATGATATTTCTTAGTTCATAAAAAGTAAACACATGTACATTTTTACTAGATAGGATCTGGCCAACAATAAAACCTAAATATTGAAATCCTTTCAATGAAATCCTAACCTGATACAGTATAACAGTCAAAAGTTATCTCTCAAGACCAGTTTATATTAATTTTTGGTTGTCACAAAAGTGCTACATCTATTTCAAAAGAGTTTGTCTCTCATTGTTAAAGTCTTTTATAACAGGTTAATACACATTCTCGATATCCAGGAGTTACGCTCACTTTTGCTCTCTGCATCCCTGAAATATGTCATAGCAAACTTGAAGGCTCGGTGTGCGCCACCTTGTTGATGAGACAAGAAGACTAGTTTGATCCTTTGATGTACATCAAAAGAATCTCGCGACCGCGGAACAGTAAAAAATTACAGGCTTTGAGGTCGAGTGAAGCTCCTTTGTAATCTTCAAAGGACAGGTATCAGCGTAGGGATTGGTCAGGGTTTTTTACCCGAGATCAATCAAACAGCTATCTTTGTGCCTTCAATTTTGCTATGATATATTCCAGCGGTGCAGAGAGCGAAAGTGAGCGTAACTCCTGGATATCGAGGATGGTTGATACAGTACATACCTGGAGAGCTGGTCCACCATGACCGTCTCAATCAGTTTCTGCTTTTTGTTGTATTCAAGCATTTCCTCCTGAAAAGCAATAATCATCTTAACTTTATTCACCAAGTACAGAAAGCTATCATTTTTTTTATGAATTTCCACTGTATACATGAACATAAACCTTCTAGCATTTTTGTATTTATTTGTAACTCTTCATACCATGGTCCAGTCTCTAACATAAACAGTTAATGTTCTATATCCTGAGTCTCTGCCTGTTTTTCAATACATACAAAGGACATTTTGTAATGTTTAAAATAAGAGTAAGCCAAGACTGCTATAGAGGATACTACAGTATCCAGTTTCTACAGTATCCAGTGATTTTCCAACCTAATTTTTACAACAGCCTATTCTTACATGAATTAGAAAAATAAAGCATGACTTTAATTGAAACTGGAAAGATATTCCTCATTTTTTCTTCATTTTGGGAAAATAAAGCTCTTTTTAGCCCCATTTCTGTATCCACTTCTGACAAAACAATTCCTTCAAACTAGCTACACAAACGGACGGATAAACCCCATTTCTATATCCCCTGCTAACAAAACAATTCCTTCTCACTAGCTGTACAGACAGATGGATGAGCCCCATTCCTATATCCCCTGCCGACAAACCAATTCCTTTTATCTAGCTGCACAGATGGACGGATGAGCCCCATTTCTATATCCCCTGCTGACAAAACAATTCCTTCTCACTAGCTGCACAGACACAGACAGATGGATGAGCCCCATTTCTATATCCCCTGCCGACTGTGTTGATGAGTAGTAGATAATAAACTGAGAAAGCAGGTAATCCTTTAGCTAAATTTACATAGACACAGTTTGGTGACCTACCGCATCCATTTTCTTCAGAATTTGTTTGGTAGAGTAGGATTTCTTATTTGCCCATTGGTAATCAATGACATCATCTTCATCAGCACTGTCACCAATGTCTTCTCGATCCACCTCGTCCCGTACATCCCCATAAGTTACTGGACGTGTGTGTTTCATCACTGCCACCTCTCGGTCAACATCTGCCTGGAAAATGACAATAAATATGTAAATATAATAGGCGGGGTTCCAATCACAACACAGCTATGATCAGGCGTCACCAGTTAGTGGAGTTTTATTGGCTGACTAGTTTCGTCTCTTAAAGCGAGTCTTCGTCGGGACCTAAATATATATATAAGACTCCAGTAGTAGAAAAATTTTACTTACAATGTATCTTAAACAGGATTTAATATGATCTGTTTGACTGTGGTCAAATTTGTATTAACTCATAATTTGATGAACATTTCTTCTTTGTACATTCAAAATAACAGGCACATTATATAGTCCACCCAATCAAACTCGTGTATACATGGTCTGTACCTGTCAATCATTACATAAGTCATCACAGTAAACATGCCAGTGGAATTTCAATGTTTTGATCTTTTGAGACATTTACTGTTTGAGAAATCATGCAATGCTGCAAAACATCCATCAACAATTATGAATATTTTTGTGCTTGTGAATAAACAATTTTTTATGTTGTACGCTTGAAATAATTGTTTCTTGTTAATGGTTTACTTTGGTAAATTCATGTATTTTTTACCAATCTGTATCACACCTAATATATATAGGATCTTAAATGAGTTTTCATTTCATAAGAGGTTTTATGGAACGAGTTTTCAGAGTTTGTATTTTTGCGAGCCATGGCAAGTAAAAATTAAAACTTCAAGACGAGTTTCATAAAAGCTCATATGAAATGAAAACAAATTTAAGTTACCTTTTATCACATACCTAAGAAAACTTACATTTTGACAGGTTTTAAAGCCAAAATGTAGAGGGCTTAATCAAAGGGAGACATTTTGTTGCACCATCACGTCATTGTCCCTATTATGACATCACAATCGATTTCTGACTGGCATAGCCAATGAAAAATGCTCCAGGGTATATTACACTAGTGACATATGTAAAAATATTACACGGGAGAAATTCACTGGATAACAGACAGATTATGTGATAAATATATGTCTCATCCAAAAAGGGATTATGCAGTGTTAAGGTTCACATACATTTGTCACCTGGCCTTTAGTTCTATAGGAGTGCTTCATTTCATTCTCATACTGTTTGTACATCTCTTTGTGTTTGGCCGAGGGAGGAGGCAACTCGTCTGGGAGGGGAACCTTGTCCCATGCAGATGGCTGAAGCGAGCATGGACATACTGATAAAATGTATATTCCTAAGACATGTCAAATTCAATATCAAATGTATTCATAATTATTCGAAATAAAATTCACATTATCATTCTGATATTAAGATTAAAATGTAAAATATAACTTAAATGTTCCAGGAAAAAATAGTGTAGCCATCTTGAATTTGGAAAATATACAAATTGTGATGGTGTTTCCTGTGTAAACGGTAGATTCTGTAAATCGTATCACTGACATACAACAGCAGAACAGATTACTCTAGTTTTGTTAATATCCATCCCCAATCAGTAGAGCTAGCTGATCCCCCACCAATGACATCATATGCCATCATCTTCATCGGCAGCATTTTCAAAATTTTTTGTCAGTGGTCATATTGACCCCATTTCTGTCAATGCCTGTGGTCATATTGACCCCATTTCTGTCCATGTCTGTGGTCACATTGACCCCATTTCTGTCAATGTCTGTGATCACATTGACCCCATTTCTGTCAATACCTGGTCACATTGCCCCATTTCTGTCCATGTCTTTGATCACATCGACCTCATTTCTGTCAATGTCTGTGGTCACATTAACCCATTTCTGTCAATGTCTGGTCACATTGACCCCATTTCTGTCCATGTCTGTGATTACATCGACCTCATTTCTGTCCATGTCTGTGGTCACATTGACCCCATTTCTGTCAATACCTGGTCACATTGCCCCCATTTCTGTCCATGTCTGGTCACATTGAGCCCATTTCTGTCCATGTCTGTGGACACATTGACCCTATTTCTGTCAATGCCTGTGGTAACATTGACCCCATTTCTGTCAATACCTGGTCACATTGCCCCCATTTCTGTCCATGTCTGTGGTCACATTGACCCTATTTCTGTCAATGTCTGTGGTCACATCGACTCCATTTCTGTCAATGTCTGTGGTCACATTGATCCCATTTCTGTCAATGTCTGTGGTCACATTGACCACATTTCTGTCAACAACAGTGGTCATATTGACCCCATTTCTTTCAACTTGCCAGTGCCACGATGGTTACCTCTTTAGGTGTTTTAGGTGTCTTGACCTTTGACCTAGGTTGTATATCCTCCTCCAGCTGAAGTTCTGGGACGTCCTGGGGTCGACTGCTCCTTCCACTGCCCCTTCCCCTTGACACAGGTTCACCCCGCCCCCAGGACTACAGGTAAGTAAGACAGGTTAGAGTATTAGTATGGAAGTCAGAGAAGTAATCCAGACACGTCTGTCTGTCATATTCCCTATGAATCATGGAGTGCAGTGTAAAATCTTTCAAATTTGATGCATGTTAATTATGAGGTGTAATGTTTTAATGTGTGAATATATGCTTTAGTGAGGTTATATGCCCTGTTAAATCAAACTAAATGTACTGGTCAACAGTAGAATACTGTGATCTTGGTCAATCTATTAAACATATCTAAACATTTTGAAAACAATTCATGACCGATACATCTAGAAACTTACAAAATGAATTTCACTTGATTTCACTCCTGTCTCTAAACTAGCAACAGCAACATCTAAGATTGTTTTTATTCCAAAATAGTTGTACCTTCTGGTTGTACAACAACAAAATAGAGTTACCAATTAAAATAGATAACAAACAGAAACAGTTCTAAAATAAATTGTTCATATCACTTTGAATTCAAGTAGTAGTCTAGGATATTCATAGTACGGTAGATTGAACAGAGCTCAGCTATGAAATCTCGATCAGGTTACTGATGCTCACACCGAAATATGTTCAACCCTTTCACCCCTATGTAACTTTAGTTAACTCTTCCAGGCATTGATCTGGATGAGTCCATTTTGGTCTCCAGTGGTGAAAGGGTTAAAATGAAAGTTACATTCAGGATTTAAATTACCAGCACATAAAACTAAAACATTAATAATAAAAACAAACACATCACACAAATGTGAGACTGAAATATCCCTAATTAGCTTCTAGAGTAAACTAAGATTTGAGTATGTTAGTAAGTTTAAACTCACAGGTAGTAGGAATTACTGTTACATAATACATGGTACTTACATCGTACTGATAAGGTGCTGAACCCCGGGCTGACTGGCGCTGACTTCTGTCTGTTCCGCATGGAGTACCCCAACTAAAAAATAAAAAAATAAATTGTGTAAACAATGTTTCATTTTTACCTTCTTTATATATCAATGTCACAGGGATAGAATTAACGTATTTGCTTTTATGTATGCTTGTTTACTAAGTCCGTCCATGGCGTGCCGACTGTCCATGTTTATATTTCGTACTCTGAGTAATGTTACTACCGTGTCCGTGTGTTGTATTCTATGCTGTGATGTTATGTCTACAGGTGTATTGTGGTGTTCTGCTCGTTACGTATGTTGATACGTTGGGATACCATACAGTTGTTCATTGGTCAGTGTTACGTCAAGTTGTGTATACGTTTTCACTGGTTCTTTCTGGGTGGTCAGTTTTGGCCGTGTTTCTTTGTGGGCTAATAAATCACGCTAGTACCTTTTGAGGACTCATAGGTAACGGACGGAGAAATGTAATGTAAGCATTTATAGACCGAGATATCCCCATTTCCGGCGGTGCTTGAAAATTCTATCCGACCCACGGGTCTAGATCGCTTACACGTGCAGACTGGCGGGGGAATTATAATGACATTTCGGGGTCACGCTATTGTTTGTGACGTCATTTTATGACGTTTTGGGGTCAGTCAGGGTCATTGACGTCATTAACAATTGTCATCCGTGCTGCATATGCACAGACATGCGCAGACAGTTTACAACTTTACAAGAAGAGCAGCTGTTTTTTACAAGTTTAAGGTAATAAGCAAGAGATAGAATTCATCCCTGATGTGAGGTATAGACAAGGAAATTTGAACAGGACAATTTTTGTTTTATGAACACCCTAGTCAATTCAGAGAAAAATGCTGTTCTCGAGTCAGAGTACTGTACATGGTCAAGAGGTTTTCCACATGGGCATTCCACATGGAATATATCATGTATCTTGCATACATAGAGGTGGGAGAAAAGGATGAACAAAATTTAAGGCAAAGGCAAGCTGATGATTTTCCCAGTAAAAATATTCATAATAATAATAATAATTTGAGGTTCTTATATACTGCTTTATCACAACCTAGTTTGTGGGTCGTCTCAAAGCGGTTCCCAAATTATTATCCGTGGTTATAGGGCCTTTGCAACCAGCCAATATCTTTCTCAACTCCCTGGGGAGCATACAGCCAGTGCTGCCATTTCGGCGCTCACAGCTAGCATTCAACAGTTTTAGCTCTGCCCAACCATGTACTCATTTACAGCTGAGTAGACTGGAACAAGCGGAGTAAAGTATCTCGTTCAAAGATACAACACAGTTCTGTGGCTCGAGTCGAATCCGCAACCCTTCGGTCACGAGCCCGGTGTCCTACCACTAAACTACCGTGCATTCATAACCTGTCCAACTCTCGTGTTTTTGATAAGTATATATATATATTATAAACAGAGTACAAAACTTGTTCCAATTTTATGAAACTCACTTAAGGATGTACTCTTCTGAGGTTTCAGTCACGTTCAAGTCTCGTTTTGATCTGGTGTAATGGGTTTTTGTAATATTGAACATATTATGATAGGTTTAATAGCAAACACACATCTGAAAAACATGTAAAAAAACTAGATGTCTGTTGTGTGTAGAACATTTTTTACAAGAATTTGAAAAGAATGACCAATTTGGCGGCCATTTTGAAAAAGTGTATTAAAGCAAAATTTCACCTTTTTTGACACTAGATTGATCACTTAAATTGTCATTGTGTCACCATTGTTAAATGTAGCAGGTTCAATTTTGCTGTAAAACTTTATAATGTTCAATATGATTAAAATGATATGCAAAAAAGTGGAAAGTTATATATTTTTTTTTTTTTTTTTTACATATATGGGTAACTGAAGCACTTTGGATTTTTGACCCCGAAAAAGGTGAAAAATAACACAAATAATAATGGGACAAAAAAAGAAGCACACCGACCCCCCATTTTTGTGGCTGTTTTAGAAAGAGAAACACATTTTCTTTTGATTCATTGAATGCTAAAAAAAGATTAATACAGGATTTTTTTATATCAAGCGTTTAATCTGCAAAAAATGGTGAAAAATATGTATTTTTTCATTAAAAAATAAGGGGTAGGGGTAACTAAAATCGCATTTCTGAGTAAAATGAATAAGATTAAGAAATTTTACTTCCATAATTTAAAAGAAAATAATATTTTTATCAATTCTACAAACATTCATACATATCTGATAACACACTTGGAAGAAATTGTATGAATTTGTCCTGCAAATGGTTAAAACCCGAAAATTCACCTAAAATCACCTATTGTGTTATATTGGTATCTTTGACTGATCATAGCGCAAAAACGAACACACGGACATATATTTTTTTTTGCATTTTCTACTATGCCATTATCTCCTTTTTCCAAAAATCAATATAAGAAAAAAAGTTTATTACAGGAATTTTTTGACTTCTCAGAGGTGTACATCCTTAAGTTTGTGTCATTAAAACTTATATAATCCTTTATAATTTAAATGCACTAAAAAGGTTACAATTAATGTTTGTTTAAACTTGTTTTTTTAGAGTTTCTTTAGATGTGGTGGATCCCTGGCTGACAGGCGCGGACTTGTCAATATGATTGTATGGCATGTATTAGCTTCTAAATCTCTCATATAGCCTTTTAATGCAAGTTTCTTTTAAGTGAAGTGCTTTTACATGTAATTTAAATTATTTTTAGTCTCTCATAACTCTTTTAGAGTGGCTTGCGTCATATGTTTTATGTATGTTTTATGTAATCATTGTATATATGTATGCGGATGGTGAGACTCTAATAAACTATCTGTATCTGTAACAGGAAATCACAAATCATGCAAACAATACATTTATACTTAATTTTTAACGACACTATATCAACAACAGTCAAGTCCAGCAAAAACACCTTTGTGTTTACACCTCACAACCTGATAAATTGATCCTACCTAACAGCAGTCCTGGCAGAGCCCGGTGAGTCTAAGTAGTCATCTACCTGTATGGGACGAGTCACCTCTGCATCTCTTGTAAAGCAATTCAAATTCAAAGCTGGAACACTAAAACAAAATTTGTTTAAAAATTTAATATTAAACTGTTAAGTTTAAGGAAATTACATGTGATATATGTATACATACATATACATGTACATTGTTTATTTAGAATACTATATCATATAAACATGTATGTTGTTTATTCAGAATACTATATCATATATACATGTATGTTGTTTATTTAGAATACTATATCATATATACATGTATGTTGTTTATTTAGAATACTATATCATATATACATGTACATTGTTTATTTAGAATATTATATCATATATACATGTATGTTGTTTATTTAGAATGCTATATCCTTAGTAATCCTTAGTATAAGGACCATGTATTATATGGTGTTTTTAAAACTTGTTAACAATCAAACTTAAACCAACTCTTATTTACCCTTTTACCACTGTAGACCATAATGGACTCATCCACATCAATGCATGGGAGAGTCTACTAAAGTTGCATAGGGGTGAAATGGTTAAACCCTGTTAAAATTGAAATGTATGTCACCTAAACATATCTCAAAGATTTAGTGGTGGTTTTTTTCAATATTTCATTTATTATTGTAACAATGTATCATGCATAAGATTGGCTCCATGCCCTACTTCAGAATCACTGCAGAATGTGTCTTAATCACTTAGGACACATACCCCTGTGGACGACTTTCTGGTCTGGAAACTTGTCTTGATGGCGGCTCTGGTCTGGAAATTTGTCTTGATGATGGCTCTGGTCTGGAAACTTGTTTTGATGGTGGTGGCTCTGGTCTGGAAACTTGTTTTGATGGTGGCTCTGGTCTGGAAACTTGTCTTGATGGTGGCCTGTAATCGTATTCTTCTCCCTGACCAAGACAAGAAAAAATGACATGTAGAATATGTCACCTAGTCCTTAATAGTGTAATAACTTTTAGTGATACAAGCAGATCTAGACCAGTTGAACAACTAATTACAACCTTAATCACAGGTACATTTATTTGAAATTTAAGTATTATAATCACATCTGTCTTCATAATTTAAAAATATGACTTATTGATATCAGAACTGATATAGCAAATTAACAAGAGGCCCATGGGCCTTAACGGTCACCTGAGTCTATAGTATTTATTTTTGTTGTTGAAATATGTACCAATTTGAGTAAAAAATAGTATAATGTTAACTTAACTTTGTCAGGACCATGAGCTGATCATTCCTACCAACTTTCAGTTCGATCGGTCCAGCAGAACTTGACTTTAAGTTTGAAATGTAAAATGTTAACGGACGACGGACGACAACGGACGAAAACGGATAGCAATAGGTCACTTGAGCTAAAGCTCAGGTGACCTAAAAAAATGCTTTCACTTTCAAACAAAATGAAAAGTGATCATGAATGACTGAATGTAATCCTAGTCTACATCATGAATAGTTATATTTGACTTTGATTTTTTTAATTTCTGTTAAAAATTATGTAGCATATTGTTAACTTGATAAACTTTAGGTTATACATTGTAAACTTTACCAATTAATTCATGCAATATAGTATTGATTAGTAAAATCCAAACATTTCATATAATGTTTACTGTGACAGGGTTGTGTAAGGTGTTGTATGTAATGTATACAGTGACAGGGTTGTGTAAGGTGTTATATGTAATGTATACAGTGACAGGATTGTGTAAGGTGTTATATGTAATGTATACAGTGACAGGGTTGTGTAAGGTGTTATATGTAATGTATACAGTGACAGGGTTGTGTAAGGTGTTGCATGTAATGTTTACTGTGACAGGTGTTAGGTGTTGTATGTAATGTATACTGTGACAGGGTTGTGTAAGGTGTTGTATGTAATGTTTACTGTGACAGGGCTGTGTAAGGTGTTGTATGTAATGTTTACTGTGACAGGGCTGTGTGGGATGTATATAATGTTTACTGTGACAGGGTTGTGTAAGGTGTTGTATGTGATGTTTACTGTGACAGGACTGTGACAGGGTTGTATGGAATGTTTACTGTGACAGGGCTGTGTTAGGTGTTGTATGTGAAGTTTACTGTGACAGGGCTGTGTGGGATGTATGTAATTTTTACCGTGATTGGGTTACGGGAGGTGCCCGGTCTTCCACTAGATGGTCTTCTAGCACTTCCTGGGATATTTCGTTGATGCGTGAAAGGAGAAGGCGAGCCACCCAAAATAGAATTCATGGTTCTAGTTGTTAACTTGTAGCTTTACTCCATTTCAACCTGAAACATCAGTATCATTGGAAGTATTTGTAAACAATAGTTATCTGACCCTATGTTACAATTGTCACAACTTGACAGTACTCCTTTGGCATAAAAATCTACTATCGTGAGAGGGAGAAGCACATTTTTCATATGTTGCGAGGGGAAATAAAAGAAAAAGAATATAAACATATAATATGAGTAATAATATTAATTGTTAATATATTTCTAAATGTTCAGATTTTGATGAAAATTAATAAATATTTTGAATGAAAAAAAGTACATTACATAAAATTCTGGCATACATGAAACTTCTTTCAGAGATTATCTAATTTATCTTTATATGACGTCACAACCATGTCATACTCAATTGTCCGTCATTGGTTCTTTCTGGGTGGAAGAAAAAATAAGCTGAGCAGATGTCTGTTGCATTATCTTTTTACTGGTGCATCAGGACTTATTGTTTTTTATCTCTTTTTGCCAGTCTCAAAAAATTAAAATGTGAATAGCTTCTGAAGATTCTTTTTGTCATCAACCAGGTTCATATTGGTCATATAACAGCATTAAATGATAATGGTTTTACAGACGTCTATTTTTTCAAAGTTAAAATTTCATCAGCTTTTGATTCCAAGACTTTTTTGTAGTCTTTACATAATTGATTTCAAACACTTGGATTGTGTTGAAAGAATGATGCCCTTTTATGTTTATATATAAATGTTTATAAGAACTTTGACTATGTGGTTTTATTATTTCTACATTATTCCCAGTTTTAGGAAGGGTACATTCGTGTATCTGGTTTAAACAGTTGAACCGTTTGAACCTGTAAAGAAAACAGCAGACACAGATTTGGACCAAGGCTGACCTCAGGAATATTCGGCACGTGTAGATTGTGGGGTTCAGACGTACTTGACCGAAACTAAAATGCTGACTATTGCTAGTTTGCATTATTTCTTTCTAAAACATTATCAAGCCACATGTAGTTTTTAAGATACGTTATGATATTCAGTGGACGGATGAAAAAAGGGCATAATATTCTTGATACATTGTTTTTTATTCTCCAAAACTGTGCATTTTTAGCTCTGCTTATAGAACAGTCCATTAGTGCATTCGCTCATCGTGGAATATTTCTGCGCCACCTGTACCGTTTCAACCGGGATACGCAAATGTAACCTAATAAAACTGCTACTCAAATGGGTGACTGCAGGATTAGTACCAATGTGGGTCACTGTGTCCAACCTGTTAAAAGCTCATTACAGTAGAGCTTGTGCTGTATTGCTATTCCTGAAATTGACGATTTTGAATAAAACTTATCTTCTTCTGAATAAGTTAGTAAATATAAGAGATACTCAAAAGCTTCGCTCTTTTCGGGTTTTTTCTTTTCATATTATACTACAATGTAGGTAGGGTTGCGAAGACTCAATTTCATATTTTGACAAAATTCACAAAGCAGACGCAGATGCCTGTGCCCAGGTAACACATGACTATGGATTAAAAACTTCTTGTCGAATAGGACACATGCAAGCAGTCGTACTCGAAGGCAAACTATCTTCATATGTACCAGTCAAGTTGGGGTCCCCCAGGGGTGAGTCCTTGGTCCAAGTTTATTTTTGTACTATATAAATGACATGCCCCAGCTGGGTCTCTCATCTTTGGTCAGACTGTTTGCTGACGGTACAATTCTATACAAAACTGTAACCTCCAGTGAGGATAACACAATACTGCAGAAGGATTTAGATAAGCTCGCAGTTTGGAATAAAGGGTGGAATATGGAATATCACCCACAAAAATTGTAACATTTAATCCATTTTGAAAAATAAAAATTCAGTAAATTATAACTATTTTCTTCATGGTCATTGTCTAGATCATACTGATAAAGCGAAATATTTGGGTGTAACATTGAAAAAAGATCTGACATGGGATTCGCACATTACTGAAATAACTAGTAAAGCTAACAAGACTCTTGGCTTCATTCAGCCTAATCTAAAAATTAATTCTAAAACAATAAAGGAACAAATCTTTAGTGCGTCTGACTTTGGAATATGCTTGTACCGTGTGGGACCCAAACCAAAAAGGTGACATAAATAAATTGGACATGGTTCAGCGTAGGGCTGTGCGGCTTGTCAGTTAGTGACATGCTCGACGTCCTAAACTAGCCCAGCCTCGCTGATAGTAAGGATGCCCACCTAACTATGATATTTAAAATCATTTCTAATCATCTGAAACTTTGGAAACCTTTAAAGGTCGTCTCTCCTCTCTACAAAATTAGCTCTATTCTCACTCTCTTTTCCTGTCCATAAATACAACCAAAACATCTACATGATCTTCAATATGATGAATTAGGTCGAATAGCAGGTACAGTAAAAGTAGCATGTCCATACTGCCCACAGACTCCTTTGCTCAGTAAAGTAATGATTCGTGAATCTTACCTACTTACGGCAGCTGTGTTAGAACGTACTTAATTTAAAGAACACGATTTTGAAAAATCACGGATAGAATAGTTTTCGTTTAAAGGAATCATACTAGGCCTGTATAGTGTTGTGAAACAATGAAATCTCTATGCAGTCGGAGTCGTCAGTTTTGGTCGTCCATTACCGGAAGTAAACAACGGTATGCAAAACAGGCTCACTGTTAATTTTATACAAATAAACATCAAATTTTGATAATCATAAATAGGCTTACTGCAATCTTTTTAAATAATAATGAAAAAAATAAAATGTATAAATATTAAAAATAATGAGAATTCAGTACGTTCATTTATTTAGTGCAGGCTAACAGGAAATGCAATACTATATCTAAAATAAAAGCGGATCAAGGACATGGAACTTTTATGGAGGACGCTACCAATTTTTTTTATTCAACTCAGGTTTATTTTTTGTGTCCAAATCAAATAGATTAATCTTAACACAAGTGTGACATCCTTATTCATATTTTTGACTATAATAAACTTTATTCGTTTTACAACAATTGTGAAACAAGTTATTTTAACTTATATATAGGCCTATATATATATATATCGCTTTTGTTAGATGCTATCTAAGTCCGTGGTTATATGGGAGTAAACTGGAGTACCCGGAATAAACCCTAGTAATCGGGCAGGTGACTTTATACCATTTTTGACTCTCACAACCAAATATCAACGTTGCTCAAGTGACAGACATATGTTTGTTCCAACGGTTCCGCAGTAGAGACCTATCTTTTGCCACGGACTTAGATAGCATCTAATCTAATATTCCGTGGTTTAGCTAATACATCTGATTTCCTGAATATTTCATTTGTTTGTCATGTGTAGGACAATGGTTACTTCAAGGATACCACAAGGTTCTGTCTTGTGTCCACTTCTTCATGTTATTTTCGTTAATGGTCTCCCAAGCTTGGTGGATTCTGATATGTATCTCTTTGCAGACGATACTAAAAATTTTAAAGTAATAACTAAGGACGAATATTCAAAGATATTGCAACGAGACCTGGATAGCATGTGCAAGTGGAGTGAGAATTGGCTTACGAAAAGTCACACACATGCACATCGGAAAGTCCGCGGGAGTCATGTCAAATATAAATCTAATGATAAAGAAGTACTAACTACAACTGGTGAAAAGGATATTGGAGTAGTGATAGAGCCAGACCTAAATTTTGAAAATCATATAAGTGAAGAAAGACAACTCAATGTTTGTCATGCTAAGAAGAACCTTTCCTTTTATGCGGGACATAGAATTACTTATACCTTTATACCAATGTCTTGTCCGGTCGCAACTTGATTATGTAATCTACCACGTGTTATTACAATGCTGCTAAAGATTGGAATTCCGTACCAGAAAGTATCAGGAAGATCAAGAGTAAATCATCATTTAAAGTTGCGATCAAAAAACATCTTTTTGAAAAACTGAAAAAAGAACAGGATCAGACATTGACGTAATGTGTTCTATATACATGTTTGTGTATGTGTTTTTGTGTGTATGTGAATATGTGATTGTGTACACAATATGGGTGCTGTATTATCAATGCAATGTGTTTTAGGTTACAACCTAATATATTAACATCAGTTTCAACATAAAATTAAGTTATCTTCAAAATATATAAACTATTATAATTTTTACTTAAGTAGTGTTTATGTGTCTTTTAATTCCGTCTTTGCGTATTGCAGAGTTATCTTCTCTTTGGAGCAGGTATTGATTGTTACGTCATTGGTCTGTGTGAGAAAATTACGTTGTTTTCTCAAAAATTGATGACGTTATTCTCACAAACAAGTGACGTAACAATCAATACCTGCTCCCAAGAGAAGATAACTCTGCAATACGCAAAGACGGAATAGACCCAAGTGGAAAATAAGCTTCAGGGCTTTCTGGGTAATCCTGTGTTTTAAGGGCAACATACGAATAACCGTTACCTAGCTACCTTGTAATTTATAAAATTGTGAATACTTTTTTTAGAGACTAATATAATTTTACATTAATATGTTTTATAATGTAATCAGAAATATAAATTATTTGTGCCAAAACATATATTGGGTACTGTATGAAATTGTTATGTTGTTGTACCTTTTTACCAAATAAACTTGAATTGAATTGATGCAAGTGCAGTCTGGTATCCATATAAATGCAAGCATATTGATTTAATCGAAAATGTTCAACGCCGACCACTACTGAGATGCTCACCTGGACTACAAAAAATATCATTTGTTATCTTAGTTCTGTAATTATAAATAATTTCCTGGCCAATCCAGAGTATATCGAATCTGTTCTCAAATGCATTAAAAATTTCCTTTTTTTGAAAGAACAATTTTTCCTTTTCCTTATTCTATCTGTGCGTTCGTCTCGCGGGAAATCAATATAGATCTAACTAGAATTGTTAGTGTAGGGTTTTTTTTGTAACAACACTGACATGATCATCTGTTCTAAAAATTGACGTTTTGGTATAAGGTTCGTAAAAAACTTTATATTGTATTTATTAAATGGTTATTTAACATCCGGAAAATTCTTATCTTCCACCGGACCGTTGTTTATATTTACTATCTCGCGAGAACAACAAAGCTTCCGCCATTTTCCCGGCATCGCTTCTTCAACGTTTTGTATTGTTTTATATTTGTTTAACACACAACATTAGCCATGGCTTACAAAGGTGGACCTAAAGTACAGAAAGTGATGGTGCAGCCCATCGTATCCTTTTGAATTTTGCATTGTTGACACGCATTTATGTATGATCATTGCTGGTGGTTGAACTCACGTGTTCCTACTGCAACAACCCCCCCCCCTTTCCAAAATCACCGCTGCGTTTACGTTCTTTTAAAATTAACTAGAGCTGTCCCCTGAGAGTTAGAATGTGTGTTCGTTTGTACGTTTATTTGCAAATTGTGTTTCCACAGTTTTGCCACATTGACATTATAAATATTGCAGTTCCAATAGCTTTTGGGAATTATTTTTGAGAAGATCGCGCGATGTGATCATATTTAACACATTAATGGCATTACACGATGTTCTCCTTCTTCCGTTTACGGGAAAGACTCCGGTGCCGGAGTGTGAAATATCCCGGTTCACCTACTCTTTTGATCCAACGTTTTAATTAAATCCATATATCCGATTAGCTGTATTTATATAGTATCCGGTTAGTTATCAATATCTTGCCATAAGCTATAGAATGTGAAGAAAAATACAAGTCTTGTGCTTTATAATTACCAAATGTAGCCTTGCCCAACAATTTTTTTGGAAGGATGTGATTATTTTAATTAGTATTTTTTCAAGTATTACCATCTGTTTAATAATAATAATATTTATTCAGGTAAAAAGCAAATAATACACGTATATCACATTTTACAGATTGGACATAAACATATATACTATCACAGAATGAGATCTTATTTATAAGTTATTTATGCCATAAACTAGTAATCAGTCAGGTGTTAAAATTCGATTAGATTAATTTAGGCCTTTACCTGGGATGACCCATAAAGCCACATTGTGGCTTAATTCCAATGGGGTCCCTTAGATCTAAATCAATCAATTTAATTCATAAAAATATAGTATATATTGATAATTTGATAAGACTCTAAGACACTTCTTTCATAAAAAAAAAATTGATATAAAATGTTACATGTGCTATAATCATTAAAATAATGCTGGTAATTGAATGATATAAAATATGAAGAGATTAACAATATATTGGAATTTTAACAATCAAAGATATACAGTATTATCTTAAAATGTTACCTGCCAAAGGGCTGGTGGTTGGGCCAATCCCTATGGACCAAACTCTCAGACATTGATAACAGAACACCAATATATTTACCTAAAAAACTGAATTCTTGAGAGCTGTTTGAAATTTTGAAAAAGTGTGTATTGAAGAAATTCTCCAAAAAAAGTGTACTCATCCTTATTTTGGTTTAAAAATTTCTTATACGATTCACAACAATATCAAGGAAATCCTTTTCTAACTTCCATTTGCAGGCCAAATCTCCCAGTATTTTCGCTTGCCTAAGAGGGGGTGTCTCGGTGATCGCTAACGCAACCAGTTATTACTACTGTGCAATCAAGAAATATGAGCTTCAGACCACTCACTCTCCCAAGAATTTCGGTTAGATCCCACTCAGTGGCGTATAAAAGAGTGATGTCTGATAGGATTAGTTGTTATCCCTCCGATGGCACAGTGGTTTTCCCCCCATGAGTTTTCCTCCATCACGAAAACAACATTTGTTCCCTTAGCGGCGGCGTTATAAAAGCTCTACAGAGCTAATGATTGTTGTTAATGTACAGGACGTTAAAGAAAGATTATTTATTATATTATTCATTATTATATGTGGCCATAACTTTAGACAGGAATAGACCTGTTATTGTTATTAAAAATAGCCTGATTTAAACAATGCTGTATGCACATTGCGCTTTGCTAATTCAAATATTAACATATAAAAAATTGAATATTTTCTAAAATCCATGAACAATTTCTTAAAATTTCCCTAACTCCTGAACAGAACTTGATTTTCAGATATTTACAGAATGTAAGTATGAAGTGTAATGGTGTATGAAAATTAATGGTACAAACTGCAATATGTAAAGTACACATTTCTACATGTTTTGTCCATGGTGATATCTGATTATGAGTACATCATTCATATCTGACACAGGTTATCCTAACTTGTAGTAGCCAGATTTTAGATAGGTAGTGTTTGTCCAAACAAAAGATACTGATGTTTAACTGACAGATTGCCATACATGTAGGTCGGTGTAAGTTATAAAAATAAATACATGAATAATGATTTTTGTTCTTTCTAAATCATTTGAATCCCCAAATCTTTTAATAATGAAGCAGAGAGCTCTTTGCTTATACATACAAATCACATGTGTAGAATGAATAATTTTGTTACGGCATCATAATAATTTTCTGCTTCATTATATTACTGGGAGTAAATTCAAAATGTTCTCTCTGAAAGGCCTCTGACCTATACAATTGATAATTGTCTTAGTATGTATAGGAGGAAGTAAACTGTATTCAAATAGAGTGAATTACATTCATTTAACAGGAAAATAATGTATACTGTAGAGAATTGGTGAGTAGAGAATTGGTAAGACTCCCTGCCATAAAAGATCTCTTTTTCTGTACACCTCCTTGCTGTTATTTTTCTAACTGGATGCATATGTTTTCATTATATTTACAGTGATATAAGTATTTATGTAGGAGACTGGTCATTCAGTTCACTTTCTTTTAACATTGCAGAGGTCACGGATTCAAGTTTGGCTATATGAACAGACAAACCTTAGGATAGAGGGATGCATTGTTGTAAGTATTCAAGTAAAACATTTTGGCAAAATAATGACTCGCCAAATGCCCACAAATTATTCATATCAATATAAAAATGTGACTTCAAACTCTTATTTTCTATTAATTTCTGGTTGTTGTAATCGTGAAACAATATATATTTATATATATATAGGTCTCATTGTTTGTTTTTCTCTGTTTTATGTTGTGATATGTAAATTTTCATGTTCCTGTTTCGATAAAAGGACAGATCGACCTGAAAATTTGACAAATTTCTTTGTCTGCACCACTCGTCATAACGTCTTTGTCTTTATTTATATAGTGGCCATATTGAAAAAATTGACGAAATATTGAAATATTGAAACATTTTCATTGTCAATTCAGTTATCCTACTTTTATTTCCTGATAGTTCAGTTCTTGTGGATTTAATACTGACACTTTTGTTCAATATTTCAATATTTCATCAAATTTTTCAAGTGAACCTATAGCTAAAATGGTTAATTTGTTATTAAATAAGACATTATTTGGAGAAAGCATATTTGCCCAGTCTCAATATTTTGGAGTTTGCCATGTCTTGCGTTTTACTCAAATTCAGTACATGTAATTCTTTTGTATAGACGAGGTTACACTTTGGCTTGTGTCATATATATTCCGATAGGGGTCATTGTTAATACTTTTAAACAGTTTCAGATTTTGCAATCTCTTCATGCAAAATTTCAGAGGTTGGTAAGTACACAGATATATATGATTTTGTACTGTGATTTCAGAATTCAAAAAGTATGCAGGTTCAATTCTGAATTCTATTTTGTAACAGGGATTTGACGAATACATGAATCTAGTGTTGGATGAAGCTGAAGAAGTTCACATGAAAACAAAGTCAAGAAAAACACTGGGTAAGGATTTGATATCCTTGTGATGGTTGTAGCATGTCCATAAAACTTTTGAAGATAGTAATTGAAAACATTTTTATCAATGCATAGAGAAACAAACACTTGAATCCTAAAAATAACCTTCTTTTCCAATTTTACTGATTTGCATTTGATAGAGAAAAGAAGTGATTAAAAAAATACTACCGGGGTATTATTAATTTTGCAGTTCATTCTTCCATCTGAGCACTCATATTGCTAAATGTTTAGAAACATGAGCTTAAACTTAGCATTTGCTTCTATTTTATTTGGCAATAAGTTGAAAGATGAACTTAATCAGAGAACAGTCATCTCTAAAGTTCTTTAGATGCGTTGTCCCATTTCCAGACAAAATCTTCCCTATTTATTATATCAGAAAGAAATTGTCAGGAAAGTATCTATGGAATTTTGCCAAATTGTTAATGCATTTGTATTCAGGAATGCAAGTACCCAGCAGTTAGTGTATGGTCTGAGGCCATTCGTACCTCCTGATCCACCCCAGCAGTTAGTGTATGGTCTGAGGCCATTCGTACCTCCTGATCTACCACTTTGGTGTTTCTGTGCATATATGCATATTTTCACCTTTGAAATATCGTTGCAAGTCAATATCCAGAGAAGTGTTGAAGATAGGTGGGATCATTTTGTACTTAATGGAGTTTCTAGCACTTCCCCATTCTGATTATTTGTTGTGGTCTATCTACATGTACATAGCCAGACATTTACTTCAGATACAAGCACATTGGTATGGAAACATTAATTCCACAAATTTGTTTAGATCAAGTTTTAATATGATCAATTGGTCAGAAATATCCTTTTAATTAATTGATGTCAGTTTTTGGTCTGTACTTAACTGTATATAAAGTAATATACTGCAATATAAAGTAACAAGATGTAGTGTTTACTAATGAATTGTTTTCTATTTTCAGGACGAATTCTTCTAAAGGGAGACAACATCACATTGATACAACAAGTGCAGTGATATATTTATCATGACTCACACATTTAATGAGAACTGGACACTAAGAAGGCTGGAGAGTGAATCTGTGAATGGAAGTGTGAAGAGGGATACAAGATTTTATATGGTAAAGTCGAGAGAATCCTGTTCCTAAAGACATGTCTTGCGATTGGAGACAGGACAACGTGTAGGAACTAGCAGCCAGCACAGCTACCAGGACCCACGCCATCATCACCTAGCAGCAAATCACATCATCTTGTTCATAAAACTTTGTCATTGTATATTTCTGAGAAATAATGTGAACCAACAATTGACTTGTGTGGATTTCATTTTCTTGACTGCATTGTGTTTGTCAAGCAGACTAAAACTGTTTGTTGCATTGTATTCAGAAGTCACCGAGACTTTGCTTGGTAATCTACATGTTATACGTTATTTTTCACTTAAGAATATATCATTATTTGAGAAGGTGCAAGAATATTTCCACAAAAAATAAGTCAATACTTCATGTTTAAGAATTTTATACATCATTTATGTTATCTTCAATGCTTAACTCTGTGTAAATCAGAGTATTAAACACTAATACGGTCTGTGAGTGTGAAAAGGAAAATTCTGAAGGTGGTCCTTACTGCCTATTAAAATTATAAAATCATGATTACTGGATAACTAAATGAAACTATTTGATGATATTTTGATATCTTTGTTTTTTATTGTGTACACAATTTTTGAAGATGTAACAATAAAATGTAATGTTTTCCGTTGTCAAGTAAAAGTAAATGAAAAAGGAACTTTAATATTATTTTTATTATTTCTCTCATGTCACAACATGTTCAGATAAAACATTTAATTATCATTCTCTTAGCTGACACTAAGTTGTCCTCAACTTACAGCAATGACTAGCTACCTGTTCAGGAAGCATACTCCAGTACTACCGTATTTATCTGGAAATAAGCCCACCAATATATATTGCTGTTTGGAAGAAATGCCAACAAAAGCTTTTCCATTGTCCTGTAATAAGCCCCCCCTACTTTCAGTCAGAGATTATGTATGCCCCCCTGGGCTTATTGCAGGATAGATAAAGGATAAAGAGGAATGTTGAATACAAAGCTGAAGAAAAATATCACCCAAAGACACAAAAAGTGATGTCACTGTTAATGCTACTTTGGTGTCCCAAAGATGATGTCAGTTTAGTGATATTATGTCAATGTGGTGATATTATGTTGCTTTGGTGTCTTAAAGATGCCACTGTGACTTCAAAGATGATGTCACAGTGTACAGTGTCAACCTAACATCAGGATATTGTCGATAACTAGAAGTTGATGTCTTTGGCATCTTAGAGATGATGCAACTGTAGCACCCTAATGATAGGCACTGTTATGTTGTAGGTATCAATGTATTGTCCAAAGATGATGTCTCTATGACGTCCTAAACTTTATCACTAGTGTCATAAGTTTGATATCACTTTGTTGTGATTAAAATAATGCCACGATTGCTCTACTGATGACGCTTGTGTTTATTATTGTCTGCTGTTTCTGGTCGTGGTGCTCGACTTGGAATTGTGATGTCATGGTAGACGGGGTCATTCATGCTCAGTTCCAAACCTTTTGGAGAATTCAGGTTTAACTTTCTACTCCTCTGGTGATCAGTCGCCCCTTGGTTACTTTCTTTTTGTTCGGTTTTCACTCTCCCCTGCTGTTGTTGTTTGGGTTTGGCCTGATGACCACCTGGTACCTGTCTCGGCTGCATTTCATTGTTCTGGTGCTTAATTCTCCTCCTATAGTCATTTAAAGCATCTGCCTTCAGCTTGTCAGACCTGTGGGAAATAAGAACCAGTCACAGCTATACAGTACTACCAAACTTGTTTTATAATGTGCATATACATGTAGATAGGTTACGGTTATAAGACATTCCTTACTAACTAGTTATCCCTAGACTATTACAGTAGACTACAAAGTTGAACTGGAAGTAAATCTGGTTAGACATTATAATGTGTATATAGATAGGTTACGGTTATAAGAGAGTGTGACAAACTAGTTATCCCTCGACTATTACAGTAGACTACAGAGTTGAACTGGAAGTAAATCTGGTTAGACATTAAAATGTGTAGTTCTGCACAAAGTGCTCATAAATTATCATACACAATATTTTAAAACATCTTTTCACTATAGTTCATTCTAATCCTAGCAAGGTCAGAACTAGAGATTGCTGTTATTTTAGAAACCTTTCATATATATATAAAAAGAATTAGGTTTTTTTCAGGAAATGTCTGGATGGTGAATCCAATATACTTATGTTCATGATAAAATATACAACACAATTAAATGAAGCTTAGTCATTTAATGCTGTCAATAAGAAAGTATGATATATAAGCTACCTGTTTCTGCGCCATCTGCAGACAAAGACAACAATGACAAAGAAAACAAAGACAGACCCACTGGATACTCCTACAACTATAGCCATGATGTGATCAGTTTCTGGAAAAGAAAAAGATATTGCAAGAAAAAATCTTCATTGTAAAAACTGTTGAAGGCGACAAACAGTATACATCACCTATAACGCCGTCAGTGAGAGATAATCACCATACGTAACGCCTGTATGCCGTCAGTGAGAGATGATCACCATACGTAACGCCAGTATGCCGTCAGTGAGAGATGATCACCATACGTAACGCCAGTATGCCGTCAGTGAGAGATGATCACCATACGTAACGCCTGTATGCCGTCAGTGAGAGGTGATCACCATACGTAACGCTAGTATGACGTCATTGAGAGATGATTATCACACATAACGCTAGCATGGCGTCAGTGAGATATGATTACCACACATAACGTTAGCATGGCGTCAGTGAGAGATGATTACCACACATAACGTTAGCATGGCGTCAGTGAGAGATGATTACCACACATAACGTTAGCATGGCGTCAGTGAGAGATGATTACCACACATAACGTTAGCATGGCGTCAGTGAGAGATGATTACCACACATAACGTTAGCATGGCGTCAGTGAGAGATGATTACCACACATAACGTTAGCATGGCGTCAGTGAGAGATGATTACCACACATAACGTTAGCATGGCGTCAGTGAGAGATGATTACCACACATAACGTTAGCATGGCGTCAGTGAGAGATGATTACCACACATAACGTTAGCATGGCGTCAGTGAGAGATGATTACCACACATAACGTTAGCATGGCGTCAGTGAGAGATGATTACCACACATAACGTTAGCATGGCGTCAGTGAGAGATGATTACCACACATAACGTTAGCATGGCGTCAGTGAGAGATGATTACCACACATAACGTTTTAGCATGGCGTCAGTGAGAGATGATTACCACACATAACGTTAGCATGGCGTCAGTGAGAGATGATTACCACACATAACGTTAGCATGGCGTCAGTGAGAGATGATTACCACACATAACGTTAGCATGGCGTCAGTGAGAGATGATTACCACACATAACGTTAGCATGGCGTCAGTGAGAGATGATTACCACACATAACGTTAGCATGGCGTCAGTGAGAGATGATTACCACACATAACGTTAGCATGGCGTCAGTGAGAGATGATTACCACACATAACGTTAGCATGGCGTCAGTGAGAGATGATTACCACACATAACGTTAGCATGCTGACTGTGAAAGGTGATTACACCACACGCAATTGAGAGGTGGTTACCAGATATATCATCACTATGTCGTCAGTAAAAGTTGTTTTCGAGATCCTAGAGACAAGGTATGTTATAAGCTTTTTGCCACCGTGTAATCTTACCACATTCAGATGGCATTCATGTAGGCTCTGCATGTCATTGATCGATTGTTAACATCATAATCATCATGACGTCAAAATTGTTACGTAGAATACCTGACTCTGCCTTGACAGATGTATGTTTAATCATACAACACATACATTATTTGAACTTTCTATGGGATAAACATATTTCAAAAATGGTAAATTTAAATATTCAACTGCTTTCAGTTGGCATTCATAGGCGATATGAAAGGCAAATCAAATGTAAAGAGCCAGCGCTTCACTGAATTTGCCTTCGTCCAGTTGGTATTCATAATGCCTATGAACGGCAACTGAAAGCAGTTCATTGTTTATATAAACCCTGTTTATATTTTCGTTCACGATGAAGTGTAACTTTCCATTAAAATATAAAATCGCCAATATTGACAGTTATCAAAATACATGTAGGTCCAATGTAATTTGCATTTAAGGGGTTGAATTTCTTCATATACTAATTTTATCAAGATCACTAAAAGAAAATCAGGTTGTCTTGTATGAATGCTGTTGTAATTTTCATTTTGTGAGTTAAATCTAGCCAAAATCTAATCCGTACGTAATTCACAATGATGAATGGCCCAATAAGAGACATGTTACCGTTGTTTGCTGTTTGCGTGTTGTTGCCAGCTGGTGACGGTCTCCTGGTAGACTGACGGGTCGATACCCCAGGTGCGGTCACTTCAAGCTCGTTGCAGCTAACGGTTACTGTCGTGGTATTTTCCTTACCTGTTCATATATTTCGTTTGCAGTGAGTCATATTATGCTGGAAGTGCTAGTGGAATATCAGACATGTATGAACATAAAAGGGAAAAGTATATCACGAATCAAAATGTAAAGTTTTGTGGACCTTTAAAATATCCCCGTATCCTACCCAAAAACTGTTTAAAGTCTTTAATTTTCGGCATTACTTTAGCCTTGATGAATCATTTATGAAAAGAAAATCATACCTTGCAGGATATTTATGAGAAATAATATAAATAAAACGAACAATATATGATCAACAATGGTATTCTGAAGGAAACAAAATCAGCGGGGCTAGACCGGGATTCGAACACAGGGCTATCGCTCTAACAGATTGAGCTATACCAATCCTCGATATCCAGGGGTTACGCTCACTTACGCTCTCTACACCCATGTAGTATGTCGTAGCTAAATTGACGGCGCAGTACCTTGTTGATGAGACAAGAAGACTAGTTCGATCCTTTGATGTACATCAAAAGAATCTCGCGGTCGCGTAACGGTAAAAATTGATTGACTTTGAAGTCGGGTGTCGCCCCTTTGTAATCTTCAAAGGAAAGGTATCAGCTTAGCGATAGGTCAGGGTTTTTTTTACCTTGGACCAATCAAACAGCTATCTTTGTGCCTTCAATTTTGCTATGACAAGGGGTGCAGAGAGCGTAAGTAAGCGTAACCCCTGGATATCGAGGATGAGCTATACCTGGATAACAGAGGTGTTTTCAAACGGAAGTTAAGGGGGTTACAGTTTATAGGAAAAAACAATGTAGTTGGACATGGATCCTGGTTTTATTTTGTTCCACAGATGGCATCGACGGACACGTTCAGAATGACTGACTTACCTCGAACCCCGAACCAAACCATTTGCGGACGAGACCCGTTATCGCGCTGAAATATGAACATCATACTGGACTCAATTGTGCTGAAGATCACTTGATACTGCCCTAGAACGGTGTCCTCCTTACTGACAAACGTTTTATTATGTTTTCCATCCATGAAGGTTAACGAATGGTTGCCTATGCATGTGCCGTTTTCGTATCCAATATAGCATTCAAGGCGTATGTCCAACGCATAGATGACCAGTCCCGGCTGACCACTCGTGACCGTACACAAATTGTCCTCACGTGCATCCTCACCTCCAATTAATGGGTACATTGCGGAGATGAATTGACCAGACAGTGTGTTAACAGTTGTCATGTCGATTGTGGCAGCATCTGTGGCAGGAAATAAACCAATATAAAATACTAGTTTAGTGGCATACGATAAAACTAGTACAAGACAATGAAGATTGACGTGTTTTTTTTGTGTGACGATCAAACAATTAATAAACAGCAGAACTTCGTCTATCTGGACGTACACTTCGTGTGTATGGATCGCGGCCTTAAGCTTGTACCACTTTAAACTCGGTGTCATCCTCAAATACTGTAAACGTACGACTTTTAATGGTAGTGTTATTTTGGCGCTGTTCGCGCTTTGTAAATTGCGCCAAATAATAAACATGCCAACTGAACTTCAAGTTTACTGTTATTTACTGAATATTTTGTGGTTGTGCCAATTCATTTTGTTAAAATGCGCTAAAATGAGTATGTTTTACAGTAGTTGTTTCGTGGATACAAAATTGTGATATCAGAAAATGCTATAAAATGGGATTACTAGTACAATAATGTTTACAAAATCTTAGCCAAGAAAATGAAGGTGTTGATGCTAACGAGCTCGTTACATTACTTTTTGTGTCGCGAGGCGACATATAGGTATTACTTTGTCAACGTCGCCGGTTGCGTCGTCCGAAACAAGGTTTCCGTGCGATAACTTGAGTTCCCTTGAATTGATTAAACTCAAACTTGGAACACATATTACATACCAATATAACTCAAATAAGTTCGCATTTCAGAAGTTTTGCATTTTTGGTGGAGTTATACCCCTTTTATTGCCAAATAAGGGCATTGTGTAGTAAATGCAAGATTTTTTTGATTTTTTTAAATCAATTCCTTTCAAATTTTGTACGGTAATGCTAGAAGCAATATTGTTCAACATATATTACGGGGTTTTCTGTCGAGTTTTAACTTTCCGCGTTTTTGCATATCTGTTTACGCGATAACTCAAGCCAAAACACTTAAAGCGCTGAGCAGGCGACACATCCACTCACGTAGAATTTTCTTGTATACATCATATACGCCGATCTTAGTTTCTTCGATACAGGCTAATATCATAAATGCGCACATTTCCGATAAGTGACCAGTTGAATCTAAGCGTGAATGATAGGTTTTGTAGCGAAACTCTTTTGGAGGTACATGTAACAGTATGGTGCATGTATCATACACCCTTAAATGATAACTATTAGGTGTTGATTAAAGTTACAAGTTGAAGATTTTGATGAAGATAACGCCTCACGTACGGTAGTATTATCACCTACCTGCAATACACCGGTAATCCATAGATACAAAATTAGAGAACGTTCTTTCGACTGTACAGTTGTCGTTGGCCACGATCCGTCGCCACCCTAACTGCGGTTGATAAAGTGGTACTGTTTGGGCGGAAAAGGCAGCATAATATCTGTGTATGTCAGTGTATTCCATCATTGGGACCAAACAGTCGCCTGGTTTGTAGGAACAACACGACACATGCTGATCCACAGTGGTCGTGGTCTGGCTTGGACAAACGTCTGATGGAGTTTTCACGCCATATTTCAGATCGAAGATAGCCATTTTTGTACCATCAGTACAGGTCGGAAAGAACAACTTGGCGTAACACCCATGTATTTCATGACGGCCATTACTGGTACCTTGGTCTGAAAATATGTTATAATAAACTATGTAACCAGGCGATGATAATTTCTATGGTTATTCACGAAAACAGAATATTATAGTCGATGAAATTCCATTCACACAAGAACGATCACCATACAATGTTAAAAACCATAGTTGAACACATCTGAATTGGTCTTCATTAACAATATATGCCATTAATAGGCGTAGCCATGCCTTCAGGTCTACCGCACATCTCACTTCAAGGTTGAAGTTACAAGGTGAGGTCAGAGTTCAAATCAACTTTTGCTTCTTCAAACCAGAAACATTATTACATTTACTAAAAGTAAAACATAACTTTGGATGGTTTGTCATTATCTGGGACTAATAATGGTAGATGGTGTGTCGTTATAATGGACTAATAGTGGTAGATGGTGTGTCGTTATCATGGAATAATAGTGGTAGATGGTGTGTCATTATCATAGACTAATAGTGGTAGATGGTGTGTCTTTATCATGGACTATTAGTGGTAGATGGTGTGTCATTATCATGGACTAATAGTGGTAGATTATATGTCGTTATCATGGAATAATAGTGGTAGATGGTGTGTCTTTATCATTGACTATTAATAGTAGATGGTGTGTCGTTATAATGGACTAATAGTGGTAGATGGTGTGTCTTTATCACGGACTAATAATGGTAGATGGTGTGTCTTTATCATTGACTATTAATAGTAGATGGTGTGTCTTTATCATGGACTAACAGTGGTAGATGGTGTGTCTTTATCATAGACTAATAATGATAGATGGTGTGTCATTATCACGGACTAATAGTGGTAGATGGTGTGTCTTTATCGTGGACTAATAGTGGTAGATGGTGTGTCTTTATCATGGACTAATAGTGGTAGATGATGTGTCTTTTTCATTGACTAATACTGGTAGATGGTGTGTCTTTATAACGAACTTATAGTGGTAGATGGTGTGTCGTTATCATGGAATAATACTGGTAGATGGTGTGTCATTATCGTGGACAAATAGTGGTAGATGGTGTGTCTTTATCGTGGACTAATAGTGGTAGATGGTGTGTCTTTATCATGGACTAATAGTGGTAGATAGTATGTCATTATCATGGACTAATAGTGGTAGATAATATGTCATTATCGTGGACTAATAATGGTAGATGGTGTGTCATTATCACGGACTAATAGTGGTAGATGGTATGTCATTATCATGGACTAATAATGGTAGATGGTGTGTCATTATCACGGACTAATAGTGGTAAATGGTATGTCATTATCATGGACTAATAGTGGTAGATGGTGTGTTTTTATCATGGACTAATAGTGGTAGATGGTGTGTCTTTATCACGGACTAATAGTGGTAGATGGTGTGTTTTTATCATGGACTAATAGTGGTAGATGGTGTGTCTTTATCATGGACTAATAGTGGTAGATGGTGTGTTTTTATCATGGACTAATAGTGGTAGATGGTGTGTCTTTATCACGGACTAATAGTGGTAGATGGTGTGTTTTTATCATGGACTAATAGTGGTAGATGGTGTGTCTTTATCATGGACTAATAGTGGTAAATGGTGTGTTATTATCATGGACTAATAGTAGTAGATTATATGTCGTTATCATGGACTAATAGTGGTAGATTGTGTGTCTTTATCATGGACTAATAATGGTAGATGGTTTGTCATTATCATGGACTAATAGTGGTAGATGGTGTGTCTTTATCATAGACTAATAGTGGTAGATTACGTGTCTTTATCATGGACTAATAGTGGTAGATGGTGTGTCATTATCATGGACTAATAATGGTAGATGGTTTGTCATTATCATGGACTAATAGTGGTAGATGGCGTGTCTTTATCATAGACTAATAGTGGTAGATTACGTGTCTTTATTATGGACTAATAGTGGTAGATGGTAAGTCGTTATCATGGACTAATAGTGATAGATGGTGTGTCTTTATCATGGACTAATAATGATAGACGGTGTGTCATTATCACGGACTAATAGGGGTAGATGGTGTGTCTTTATCATGGACTAACAGTGGTAGATGGTGTGTCTTTATCATGGACTAATAATGATAGACGGTGTGTCATTATCACGGACTAATAGGGGTAGATGGTGTGTCTTTATCATGGACTAATAGTGGTAGATGGTATGTCTTTATCATGGACTAATATTGGTAGATGGTGTGTCATTATCATGGACTAATAGTGGTAGATGGGGTGTCATTATCATGGACTAATAATGGTCGATGGTGGGTCTTTATCATGGACTAATAGTGGTAGATGGTGTCATTATCATGGACTAATAGTGGTAGATGGGGTGTCATTATCATGGACTAATAATGGTCGATGGTGTGTCTTTATCATGGACTAATAGTGGTAGATGGTATGTCTTTATCATGGACTAATATTGGTAGATGGTGTGTCTTTATCATTGACTAATAGTGGTAGATGGTGTGTTTTTATTATGGACTAATAGTGGTAGATGGTAAGTCGTTATCATGGGCTAATAGTGATAGATGGTGTGTCTTTATCATGGACTAATAGGGCTAGATGGTGTGTCATTATCATGGACTAATAGTGGTAGATGGGGTGTCATTATCATGGACTAATAATGGTCGATGGTGGGTCTTTATCATGGACTAATAGTGGTAGATGGTGTCATTATCATGGACTAATAGTGGTAGATGGTGTGTTTTTATCATGGACTAATAGTGGTAGATGGTGTGTCTTTATGTGTGTCTTTATCACGGACTAATAATGGTAGATGGTGTGTCTTTATCATGGACTAACAGTGGTAGATGGTGTGTCTTTATCATAGACTAATAGTGGTAGATGGTGTGTCTTTATCATGGACTAATAGTGGTAGATGGTGTGTCATTATCATGGACTAATAATGGTCGATGGTGTGTCTTTATCATGGACTAATAGTGGTAGATGGTATGTCTTTATCATGGACTAATATTGGTAGATGGTGTGTCATTATCATGGACTAATACTGGTAGATGGTGTGTCATTATCATGGACTAATAATGGTAGATGGTGTGTCTTTATCATGGACTAACAGTGGTAGATGGTATGTCTTTATCATGGACTAATAGTGGTAGATGGTATGTCTTTATCATGGACTAATAGTGGTAGATGGTGTGTCTTTATCATGGACTAATAGTGGTAGATGGTGTGTCTTTATCATGGACTAATAGTGGTAGATGGTGTGTCTTTATCATGGACTAATAGTGGTAGATGGTGTGTCTTTATCATGGACTAATAGTGGTAGATGGTGTGTCTTTATCATGGACTAATAGTGGTAGATGGTGTGTCTTTATCATGGACTAATAGTGGTAGATGGTGTGTCTTTATCATGGACTAATAGTGGTAGATGGTGTGTCTTTATCATAGACTAATAGTGGTAGATGGTGTGTCTTTATCATGGACTAATATTGGTAGATGGTGTGTCTTTATCATAGACTAATAATGGTAGATGGTGTGTCTTTATCATAGACTAATAGTGGTAGATGGTGTGTCTTTATCATGGACTAATATTGGTAGATGGTGTGTCTTTATCATAGACTAATAATGGTAGATGGTGTGTCATTATCACGGACTAATAGGGGTAGATTGTGTGTCTTTATCATGGACTAATAATGGTAGATGGTGTGTCATTTTCACGGACTAATAGGGGTAGATGGTGTGTCTTTATCATGGACTAGTAGTGGTAGATGGTGTGTCTTTATCATTGACTAATAGTGGTAGATTGCGTGTCTTTATCATGGACTAATAGTGGAAGATGGTGTGTCTTTATCATAGACTAATATTGGTAGATTGTGTGTCTTTATCATGGACTAATAGTGGTAGTTGGTGTGTCTTTATCATAGACTAATAGGGGTAGATGGGGTGTCTTTATCATGGACTAATATTGGTAGATGGTGTGTCTTCATCATGGACTTATAGTGGTAGATGGTGTGTCGTTATCATGGACTAATAGTGGTAGATGGGGTGTCTTTATCATAGACTAATAGTGGTGGATTACGTGTCTTTATCATGGACTAATAATGGTAGATGGTGTGTCATTATCACGGGCTAATAGGGGTAGATTGTGTGTCTTTATCATGGACTAATATTGGTAGATGGCGTGTCTTTATCATAGACTAATAATGGTAGATGGTGTGTCTTTATCATGGACTAATATTGGTAGATGGTGTGTCATTATCATGGACTAATAATGGTAGATGGTGTGTCATTTTCACGGACTAATAGGGGTAGATGGTGTGTCTTTATCATAGACTAATAGGGGTAGATTGCGTGTCTTTATCATGGACTAATAGGGGTAGATGGTGTGTCTTTATCATAGACCAATAGTGGTAGATTACGTGTCTTTATCATAGACTAATAGTGGTAGATTTCGTGGCTTTATCATGGACTAATAGTGGAAGATGGTGTGTCTTTATCATAGACTAATATTGGTAGATTGTGTGTCTTTATCATGGACTAATATTGGTAGATGGCGTGTCTTTATCATAGACTAATAGTGGTGGATTACGTGTCTTTATCATGGACTAATAGAGGTAGATGGTGTGTCTTTATCATAGACCAATAGTGGTAGATTACGTGTCTTTATCATAGACTAATAGTGGTGGATGGTGTTTCTTTTTCATTGACTAACAGGGGTAGATGGTGTGTCTTTATCATGGACTAACAGTGGTAGATGGTGTGTCTTTATCATGGACTAATAATGGTAGATTGTGTGTCATTATCACGGACTAATAGGGGTAGATGGTGTGTCTTTATCATAGCCTAATAGTGGTAGATTACGTGTCTTTTTCATGGACTAATAGTGGTAGATGGTGTCATTATCATGGACTAATAGATACGAAATACTTTATTTAAAAAAAAACACCACGGTAGATGGTGTGTCATTATCATTGACTAATATTGGTAGATGGTGTGTCTTTATCATTGACTAATAGTGGTAGATGGTGTCATTATCATGGACTAATAGTGGTAGAAGGGGGGTCTTTATCATAGACTAATAGTGGTAGATGACGTGTCTTTATCATGGACTAATAGGGGTAGATGGTGTGTCTTTATCATGGACTAACAGTGGTAGATGGTGTGTCTTTATCATGGACTAATAGTGGTAGATGGTGTCATTATCATGGACTAATAGATACGAAATACTTTATTTAAAAAAAAACACCACAACAGTGACAACTTGAATTCGTTATATTGTCGTTTACAATCGAAAACGGAACACGTGCCATTCTTATACGAATCGGTCCAGCATAACACACGAGATATGTTGGTACACAGAATACAACGATCAAAGGAGGATCTGCTCCGCACTGGCCGGATTCCGCAGTTTGAAAGTGAACGTTTATAAATGGCCCTTTTTTTTACTTTAAACTGGCAGAGAAAGCATTATAAGTACAAATGTTGTATCATGTTAGTATTATTTACAGAACAGTTCTTGAATATGGCTTTATAAACGACCTTGACAAACTGGCGAATTGGTCCATTTCATTAACAAAAAATAATATATAAGCTATGTTATTCAAAAGATCTGCAATTTTTCTATTTCAATGTAGCATAGGTCACGGGTAAACATTATTGTTTTTCAACCGATTTGACAGGCAAAAAAACCTTTTGCTTCACGATGTCAAGACATTTTCAGCTCAAATATATGAACATATGATACATAGATGTAGGTTTGTATTTAACAACGTATGTATACAATGTTTAGACAATAATACGGACGGATAATACTATAGATGGATGAAAACAAAAAAAAAGGTGTTTACCTACCTCCGTATACAGCAGTGAACACCAGGTGTAGTATAAATAATAAATAGCGATCTCTGTACACAGCCATACTTTCAGCAATTAATGTGAAGCATGTTATCAGCTGGCTTGTACCCAAGTCCAGTCTCCTGTGGAGCTGTCACTGTAGTGTAGATACAAATCAAACCTACTAAACAGGTAGCTCTTCAATCTTGTTAGTAGTCAATAGACTCCGGAGCAACGAATTTTGTAAAAAAAAATACAACACTCACCGGTTATAAAATTTTGAAATTAGACACTAGACTCTTGCGTTTACAGACTGAAGATTTCAGTCTACACAAAATAGTATTTGAGGAAATGTTATGCTAAACTTATCTTATCGCCCAATGTTGTATCGGCGCAATCTGCACCCGTGATAAAACAGGGGTTAATATAGGACAGTGTTGCAAAGTTACAGCTAAACGGCCCAACATGTCATATTGAACGCTTGTTTTTATTTCACGGGCAGGTTTATATGTGCCGTTTACCTATTTCTTCCGTTTCAGATATATACGAAATGAAATTCTCGATTAAAAAATAAACAAGCCTTTGCAAGAAGAAATAGTTTTCCCTTGAATTTTCAGCTATATTTTCCTACTGAAAGTTTGACATATATTACGAAGCATATTGAGGTTGTTTTTCAGCATAAGTCAAACAATTTCCCAAGTTTTAATAAACACCATCAGTCCAACCAGATTAAAAACATAACATTTTGGCTGGAACAACTATTACCTATCACTATATCACCTATGGGGTAACTAAAAGGTATACGCTCTCAGACCAGATGGAAAAGCAGGGTAATCAACCCTTAATTTTAAACCTTTTGAAATCCGTATACTTGTATTCTACTACATATAGAGAGACCTACATATATAGAAGGTTTGAGAAGTGTTTCAGATAAAAATTGAGTGCAAGTAAGCTATTTCGTAGATCAAAGAGAAAGTACGTGCATATAATTGCTGCTTGTTCAGTGTTACATTGAAGAACAATACAAGTTTCCCTTTTATAGATAATTTCCGTTGATATGTTAAAATCATTGTGATAGAGGAACAATATTTAGTGGTTCTAGCTGCAGGAACCGTACATATAGGCTAGCTCAAGGTCCGATCGATTCTATTTCATTTTCATTTTTTTAATATTTTGTTTTTGTTCATGATGCCAGCTTATAGTGGTAAGTCCGGTGGCGCAGTGGATATAGCGCACTTGCCTTTCATCAAGGCGACCGGGTTCGATTCCCCGATCGGACGTGAAAAGGTATGGGGTCACCTGCCCGACCACAAGGATTTTCTCTAAATACTACGGTTTCCCCTCACTAACTCATCCCCGCGCTAACATCCGGGTCAACAAGAGTGATTAATAGAAATTCAAATAACTTGTTTCATACTTGTTGTAAAATAAATTAAAGTTTACATTTATCTAAAGTGGTTCATGTACAAGATTTTGTTAATAGTTATACGACTTACTGGTATAGGCACAATAATTGGGGATGTTGGCACAAGACTAAGCAATGTAGGCATAAGAAACCTTGTACTGCAGACTTAGCTATGAAAGCAAAGGTCCAAGTGATATGACCACAAATGATATAGGCATAAGACTCGAAAATGTTGGCCAAATACTTACTGATATTGGAACAAGACTTGGTGATGAATGTACACATCCTAGAGATAAGGTCACAACATTTAGTGATGGTGGTTAAAGATCGAACAATGCTGGAATAACAGATGTAGTGATGGTGGCACAAGACTTCATGATGGCGGCACAAGACTTTATGATGACGGCACAAGTCTTTACGATGGTGGCACAAGACTTTATGATGACGGCACAAGACTTAATGATGGTGGCACAAGACTTTAATTTGTGATGACGGCACAAGACTTTATTATGACGGCACAAGACTTTATGATGGTGGCACAAGACTTTATGAATGGTGGCACACGACTTAATGATGGTGGCACTGTACTTTATGATGACAACACAAGACTTTATGATGGTGGCACAATACTTTATGATCAGAAGACTTTATGAATGGTGACACAAGATTTTATGACGGTGGGAGTAGACTTTATGATGACGGCACAATACTTTATGATCATAAGACTTTATGTATGGTGACACAAGATTTTATGACGGTGGGAGTAGACTTTATGATGACGGCACAATACTTTATGATGGTGGTACAGGACTTTGTGATGACGGCACAAGACTTTATGATGGTGGGACAAGATTTTATGATAGTGGGACAAGACTTTATGATGGTGGCACAAGATTTTATGATAGTGGGACAAGGCTTTATGATGGTGGTACAAGACTTTATGACGTGGGACAAGACTTTATGATGGTGGTACAAGACTTTATGATGGTGGCACAAGACTTTATGATGGTGGGACAAGACTTTATTATGGTAGGACAAGACTTTATGATGGTGGCACAAGACTTTATGATGGTGGCACAAGACTTTATGATGGTGGCATGAGACCTCAGTAATTCAGACTCAAAACGTAATGATGTTTGCACAAGACTTAGCAATGCTGGCATTTTAGACTTAATTCAGTAGGCTTAAGACACAAGACTGGAAAGGACATTAGCCATGCAGTAAGAACAACATAACACTTAAGTCTGTTAAATCTTTTATTCAAACCTTTTTAGGCCCTATACAGGACATAAGTGTACCTGTTATCACATGTGAATTATCTTAAAATCATGTGTGCATAATTACACAACAACCTTCCATTCCATTGAATAAGTTAGCCATTTTTATGCAAACAGACACACACAATATGTTCCATATTATTCATACTATACACTCGGGCTGCTGTGCAGCGTAATAATACAATTGTTATTCATAATATAACAGATGTAATACATCCCATTATAGTAACAAACTAATGTATCTTACACACATGAGATATTTTTTATTAAGTAACAAACAAATGCATCTTACATACATTAGATATGTTATATAACTATACTAAATGTTTCCTCACTCAAGACTCGTTGGATTACCTGCAGGGAGTTGTTACACGTTTTTGGTTACACACTAGTGGGTAATACACTCAGACCATTGACATTATTTCATTGGTCCATATTTGAATTATGGGGTCACATCACAATGTTTTGTGCTGTCATCTTCAAATATGACATCAAAATTCATGGTAATAGTTTATTTCCAAGGAAAACATATATAGTTTTCTAGATTCGATATGAATGTTATGAGAAGAAAAGGTCCCCAGTGATGGCTGGTTATCATGTGTTTCTGACTCTCACTAATTATTTTTCAAATGTAAAAGACACTTGGTAAGCCTCATGTCTTTACACAATTTGAAATCTAACCAACTGGAGTCAGATAAACATGAGAACCAACCATCACTGATTCAGGAACCTCAATTTAGACACATTAGATGTGATATATTAAGTTCCAATGCCATCACATATTAAATTACAGTTCAATCTATACAAAGTTGTAAATGTCCAATTACTTTTTAACCCCTTGGTAACTTTAGTAGACTCTACCATGCATTGATATGGATGAGTCCATTATGGTCTACAGTGGTGAAAGGGTTAATGTGTCTGGTGAAAGAACAACTATTGCTACATGTTATTTTGTTTCATTGTGTCTTGCAAGATAACTTGAAATCATGATTGTCTCCCCTTACAAATTCCTAGGAGAATAAATATCTGGCAAACTATATATGATTCACAGTAATTTCAATGTTTTTCACTAACATTTTAACTGGAACGTGAAAAGGTATTTCATGATTATCAAGTGTTGTTCTAAAGGCTTGAAGGACAAAGAATGTTTGTTTCCAACTCCTCACAAGTCGGTCTTACTTGTGGTCATAATCTCATACCGACTAATGATAACAAAATTTACCAAAATCTCATATTCAACAATAAAAGTTATTTACAAGTACAATCCTGATTAAATATCCAATCAGACATAGTGCTAAATATCACATTACAAAATATATACATTAAACATCAAAATAAAGTGCTTGCTGTAGTTACAGAGTTCCAAAACCCAAAGTAACCAACTTACCTTTAAAATATCCTAATACATCCTCGATATCCAGGGGTTATGCTCACTTTCAATCTCTACACCCCTGGAGTATGTCATAGCAAAATTGAAGGCACGAAGATAGCTGTTTGATTGGTGTCAGGTAAAAAAACCCTGACCAATTGCTAGGCTGACACCTGTCCTTTGAAGATTACAAAGTAGAGACGCCCGACTTCAAAGTCTGTCAATTTTTACCGTTACGTGACTGCGAGATTCTTTTGATGTACATCAAATGACCGAACTGGTATTCTTGTCTCATCAACAAGGTGGCGCACACTGAGCCTTCAATTTTCTAAGACACATTCCAGGGGTGTAGAGAGTGAACGTGAGCGTAACCCCTGGATATCGAGGATGATCCTTATAGAACTGGTACTTATCTTTTAATAGTTCAGCCAATCAAAGGCCATGGCAGCCATCTTGAATCGCGAAATATTAAAGTCGGTCATCTGATCTACAGTATACCACATATACATCACTCCTATGATTAATAAAACACAAGTTATAACCCTAAATGTCTTAGTTTATCTGAGAACACAGAAAAAAACTTAAATATATGGTAAAAAAATAAAGTTAACGTCACATATCACGGATAGTAGACAATACCATATGGTATACAAAAAGGAAGAAGAAGTGTAACTACCATATGGTATACAAAAAGGAAGAAGAAGTGTAACTATCATATGGTAAACAAAACGGAATAAGAGGTGTAACAGGTTCAAATACTGCAAAGAATCAGTAATATTCATCAAACTTTCTATAAAAAGTTTTGATTGATTCAACCTAATTAAAGGTTAAAGCAAGTCATATCATATAACAGGGGTGAAAACCCCAGAAATATCACTACATCAAGTACTGTGAATTCAGTCACAACTGAGCTACTGAACAATTAGCCAATTACAAACTCTACTTAAAAACTAGCAGATGCCCACATAAACCAATTCTGAAACCTGATAAATATCCCCATCAAGTTAAGAACAGAAGAGTTGAAGGAATGTTCCATATTTAAGTGTTAATCCTTCTAGATCCTCTCCACACAGAGGGCTATACCCATACCCCCACCCACACACAGAGCAGCCACACCCTTTCTCGCCCCTGTCCGCTGGAGGGCGTGGAGGAGGGTTACCAGGATCCTTGACCCAGAAGCTCCAATAGGATGACCCAAGGCTATAGCTCCACCATTGATGTTTACCTGGAACAAACCATATTAATAAGCATAAACATTTACCTTTAGAGAACTGTCATTGTCATAGCCTTGTAATGGTCACGACCCCTGTAATGGTCACTAGTAATGGTTACTACACTTGTAATGGTTACGACCCCTGTAATGGTTACGACCCCTGTAATGGTCACTAGTAATGGTCAATACCCCTGTAATGGTCACTACACTTGTAATGGGCACTACACCAGTATTGGTTACTACTCCTGTAATGGTTACTTCCCCTGTAATGGTTACTTCCCCTGTAATGGTTACTACTCCTGTAATGGTTACTACTCCTGTAATGGTTACTACTCCTGTAATGGTCACTACACTTGTAATGGGCACTACACCAGTATTGGTTACTACTCCTGTAATGGTTACTTCCCCTGTAATGGTTACTTCCCCTGTAATGGTTACTACTCCTGTAATGGTTACTACTCCTGTAATGGTTACTACTCCTGTAATGGTCACTACACTTGTAATGGGCACTACACCAGTATTGGTTACTACTCCTGTAATGGTTACTTCCCCTGTAATGGTTACTTCCCCTGTAATGGTTACTACTCCTGTAATGGTTACTACTCCTGTAATGGTTACTACTCCTGTAATGGTAACTTCCCGTGTAATGGTTACTACTCCTGTAATGGTTACTACTCCTGTAATGGTTACGACTCCTGTAATGGTTACAACTCCTGTAATGGTTACTTCCCCTATAATGGTTACGACCCCTGTAATGGTTACGACCCCTGTAATGGTTACTTCCCCTGTAATGGTTACTTCCCCTGTAATAGTTACTTCCCCTGTAATGGTTACTACTCCTGTAATGGTAACTTCCCATGTAATGGTTACTACTCCTGTAATGGTTAATACTCCTGTAATGGTTACTTCCCCTGTAATAGTTACAACCCCTGTAATGGTTACTACTCCTTTAATGGTTACTTCCCCTATAATGGTAACAACCCCTGTAATGGTTACTTCCCCTGTAATGGTTACTTCTCCTGTAATGGTTACTACTCCTGTAATGGTTAATACTCCTGTAATGGTTACTTCCCCTGTAATGGTTACAACCCCTGTAATGGTCACTACACTTGTAATGGGCACTACACCAGTATTGGTTACTACTCCTGTAATGGTTACTTCCCCTGTAATAGTTACTTCCCCTGTAATGGTTACTACTCCTGTAATGGTAACTTCCCATGTAATGGTTACTACTCCTGTAATGGTTACTTCCCCTGTAATGGTCACTTCCCCTGTAATGGTAACGACCCCTGTAATGGTTACTTCCCCTGTAATGGTCACTTCCCCTGTAATGGTAACGACCCCTGTAATGGTCACTACACTTGTAATGGTCACTTCCCCTATAATGGTAACGACCCCTGTAATGGTTACTTCCCCTGTAATGGTCACTACACTTGTAATGGTCACTTCCCCTGTAATGGTTACTTCCCCTGTAATAGTTACAACCCCTGTAATGGTTACTACTCCTGTAATGGTTACTTCCCCTATAATGGTTACGACCCCTGTAATGGTTACGACCCCTGTAATGGTTACGACCCATGTAATGGTTACTACCCCTGTAATGGTTACTACCCCTGTAACGGTTACTATCCCTTAACATTGCCAGAACTGTACCTACTTTACTAGGGTCACAGCCCAAATCCTTCACCACTGCCAGAACTGTACCTACTTTACTAGGGTCACAGCCCAAATCCTTCACCACTGCCAGAACTGTACCTACTTTACTAGGGTCACAGCCCAAATCCTTCACCACTGCCAGAACTGTACCTACTTTACTAGGGTCACAGCCCAAATCCTTCACCACTGCCAGAACTGTACCTACTTTACTAGGGTCACAGCCCAAATCCTTCACCACTGCCAGAACTGTACCTACTTTACTAGGGTCACAGCCCAAATCCTTCACCACTGCCAGAACTGTACCTACTTTACTAGGGTCACAGCCCAAATCCTTCACCACTGCCAGAACTGTACCTACTTTACTAGGGTCACAGCCCAAATCCTTCACCACTGCCAGAACTGTACCTACTTTACTAGGGTCACAGCCCAAATCCTTCACCACTGCCAGAACTGTACCTACTTTACTAGGGTCACAGCCCAAATCCTTCACCACTGCCAGAACTGTACCTACTTTACTAGGGTCACAGCCCAAATCCTTCACCACTGCCAGAACTGTACCTACTTTACTAGGGTCACAGCCCAAATCCTTCACCACTGCCAGAACTGTACCTACTTTACTAGGGTCACAGCCCAAATCCTTCACCACTGCCAGAACTGTACCTACTTTACTAGGGTCACAGCCCAAATCCTTCACCACTGCCAGAACTGTACCTACTTTACTAGGGTCACAGCCCAAATCCTTCACCACTGCCAGAACTGTACCTACTTTACTAGGGTCACAGCCCAAATCCTTCACCACTGCCAGAACTGTACCTACTTTACTAGGGTCACAGCCCAAATCCTTCACCACTGCCAGAACTGTACCTACTTTACTAGGGTCACAGCCCAAATCCTTCACCACTGCCAGAACTGTACCTACTTTACTAGGGTCACAGCCCAAATCCTTCACCACTGCCAGAACTGTACCTACTTTACTAGGGTCACAGCCCAAATCCTTCACCACTGCCAGAACTGTACCTACTTTACTAGGGTCACAGCCCAAATCCTTCACCACTGCCAGAACTGTACCTACTTTACTAGGGTCACAGCCCAAATCCTTCACCACTGCCAGAACTGTACCTACTTTACTAGGGTCACAGCCCAAATCCTTCACCACTGCCAGAACTGTACCTACTTTACTAGGGTCACAGCCCAAATCCTTCACCACTGCCAGAACTGTACCTACTTTACTAGGGTCACAGCCCAAATCCTTCACCACTGCCAGAACTGTACCTACTTTACTAGGGTCACAGCCCAAATCCTTCACCACTGCCAGAACTGTACCTACTTTACTAGGGTCACAGCCCAAATCCTTCACCACTGCCAGAACTGTACCTACTTTACTAGGGTCACAGCCCAAATCCTTCACCACTGCAGCTGACTGGGCAGCAAATGCTTCGTTCAGCTCATATAAGTCCACATCATTAACGCTCCATCTAGCCTTCTCCAACTAGAAAAGAAACATATTTATGAATAACCATTATGAATTCTTCCTCAACATGTTATCACTGTTTTTATTAGTCTTTATAACAGTTTATATCGCTTAAGTCGACAATGTGTTTACTACCCTGACAGCTGTTACATAGACCAAGCCTGGGTGTGGAGTCATTTGTTTCATTTTGACATCACATTAAAGACCATGGCCATAGACACAATCATTTGGGGACAGAATAACAATTGATAGGGATACATTTAATAGTTACTTCAGATGCCAAATACTAGCAAGAGTTAAATGCATAGTATACTCCCTCTTACGTCAGCACTGTCTCAACTTAACTCTGACAACTATTTTGGCATAGTAGCTATAAAATACACCACCATACAACACTGTTATATAAGTATTGGTATAATATCCTCGAGAAAAACTACTGAATACCGGGAATTTTTCGCCACAGTTTTACTTTCAGTTTTCACCGTCCGTAATGTGGGCGAAGTTATCATAACAGTGAAAATAAGTACACAACATAGTATACATAGTAATAGCATATAAAGGGCGAAATTAACACTGCGTGAAAACAGAGTTTACCAGTGAAGGGCGAAAAATTTGATCTGGCATAAGTTTACCGGCATACAGCATGCAAAAGATATTACATTTGCCTTCTTCATGAGAAATAATTTAATACCAGTACTAAGCCTCGTAACCCTAACTTACAAGGTACAAGAAGATTTATGCAGAGTCGTACATGTTAAACAATGAACATTAGCTCTTTAGAGCTATTAACTTAACCCTGAGTCGTATTGTCTTAGATTTCACATGTGCTTATCCACATGTACAATCAACATCCACCTGTGTAAATATATTGAATATATGTCTAATGACTGACCGCCTTCCTGGTGGCAGGTATTGGTCCTGTCCCCATGACTGCGGGATCGACCCCAGCTTGTCCCCAGGAAACCACCCGGGCCAGAGGGGTGAGGCCTCGCTTTACTGACTCAGCTTCCTCCATCAACACCACACAGGCAGCACCATCATTTAACCCTGTGTAAGAGCCAGACTTGTAACAATGAAATCATACAGAAACAGTTCAAAGTCATATAAAGTTAACTCATTCACCCCTGAAATTTCATAATAAACTAGTCCAACCTTTGAATTGGAAGAATTCAAATATGTCTTCAGGGGTGAATGAGTTAAAGGAGCTTGAATAGTCTGTTGTATTATTCTTGCTGAAACTGCTGTAATTCTCGGTGGGAATGAAGTCACTTTCATCAGATATTTATATCATCTGACAAAAGAGTAAGATAGAAACAATAGTTTGGTCCTTACCGGATGCATTTCCAGCCGTGACTGTACCAGTACCATCCGTTACAAATGCTGCACGCAACTTTCCGAGTCCCTCCAGTGTACAGCCTGCCCGAGGAAACTCATCCTTTTCAACCACGGTAGGACCTGTAAGTAATATGTACCTGAAATACTGTGTATTAACTTCCTTAAGTAATTAGATATATCAGCAGCACAAAGCTAAGATAGAAATGCATGAGAGGTATAGTGTCACTTATCTAAAGAGAATCTATGGATTTTCGTTGATCTAGAGCTGCCAGTTGTGTCAGGCCATAACATACTTGGCAGAAGGTTGATATTTTGATCAATGTTTAACACAGCGTTTTACTTACAAATTAGAACTAAAACTAGGATTATATTTTTACCTATGAATTTCAAACAGATAAAAATTGCACAATGGCCTTAGAATCTAAGATGATATTCAAATACTGCTTCCTGTGTGAAACAGTCAAATAGGAGCAACTGGAAAAACCTACTCCTATAACCTTAGAGGCTGCTGGTAGGCTCTTTGTTGTTGGGTATGAATGTGCCGACTGTTACACAGTGATTGTCAAAAGTATTTAGCCATGATAAACCTCTAACACTGTTTGATTAGAGATAACCCAGATTTATATCTACCACCTCCTATATAATATGGTAGGCATAGATCTATAGATACTCAAAGAGAAGCAATTCGAAGAAAGCTTGCATCTTGTCACTGACAAAAGAATTGTCACTAATGCCCATGTGTTGGTAGGCAGGTGATTTTGGTTCATATTGCCTGTCAGAATTAAGCATGTATTTCCTCATGAGCAGAACATAAATGGGAAACTCTGGCAAGTCAGGGGAAACTCATATCACCTCCGAAAAATGTTTAAGATACTTCCCTAGTAAAGAAATATATCATTTACATAGCAAAATGTAGTAGTACTGTATACAAAATAATGTAACATTCCCAATAAATAAACATAAGGGGGTATATTTAGCATTACAGTACAATGTGATTTACACAATTTTGTTTCGTACAATTTTGTACCTCTCTGACCGTATAAGACAGCAGCACTGTGATATATAAGAAATCTCTTGACTCTTTCATTTAACACATTGGGCAGTGTAGTATTGTAGTGTGGTTATAATGCACAATTCAGATAACTTTACATTTCAGTATTGGTCACTGCTATAACAATCAGAAATTCTCTCGTTTTAATTCAGTACTTTTCACTTTTACTTTTGTTTTGACAGAAAAGTTTGTTTTCATACACGCAAGTAAGGAATAGAAAAATTCAACCCTCAATGTTATGTAATCGATATAAAGTGTTCTCACCAGCTCTAGTTTTCACGGTTACTGGAACAATTTCTTGGTTAAAATGGCCTGCCTTCTGAGCAGCTTCACACTTCTGCTGAGAATTGACAGCAAATTTATCCTGGTCCTGTCTGGTAACTTCCCACTGTTTAGCCACATTCTCAGCTGTAACAAGAACAGCATCCATCATTGCAGAACCATCCACATGCACACGATTTTATACTGGTTTTAAAAAAAACCGTTCACGTGATTGTGTTACTGTCAATCAAAATGTTTATTACATGTACCTACCTTATTACTCACAAAATCCGTCAAAGAAGGCAAAATAAAATAAATCTGTGCCAGATGGCTGGTGTTTAGGAACAGAATCACGTGAGTTTGTTATATATAACAAACTCACTTATACTCCCAAACATGTAAGCATTGGGACACATGCAAGCTGCTATGCAAGTTGATTTTATGACTGATAATTGGTCAAAGCTGCTTTAAAATTATTTCCCTTTTTTTTTAAATTCACCAAAATTTTACAAATTTACAATAAAATATCACGAAGACAATTAGCTATTTAACAAACTAATAAGTCTATTTGTTTTGTTTCTAATAAAAAGCACAAAAACAATAAAAATATGTTTATCACTTAATTCCTTCTCATTTAAACTATGAATATATTTTCCTGATTTTTTAAATAAAAATAAATAATTAATCGATGGTATAAAAAAAAGAGGGTTTACACTGACTGATACCATACCCGTGTGATATTTGTGGTGGAGGTTTATACCTGTGTCTGTTATATCTAGGTGGTGTTTGTGACCAGGGCTTATGTTGATAACATACCTGTGATGCCCATGTGATATTTGTAACTATTCTTACCTTTGAATTGGAAGAGTTCAAATGTGTCTATAGGGGTGAATGAGTTAATACCTATGTCCGTTGTGTCTAGGGGGTGTTCGGACCAGGGCTTATGTTGATAACATACCTGTGATGCACATGTGATATTTGTGGCAGAGGTAAATACCTGTGTCTGTTATGTCTAGGTGGTGTTTGTGACCAGGACTTATGTTGATAACACACCTGTGATGCCCAAGTGATATTTGTGGCGGAGGTTAATATCTGTCTGTTATGTCTAGGTGGTGTTTGTGACCAGGACTTATGTTGATAACACACCTGTGATGCCCGTGTGATATTTGTGGTGGAGGTTAATATCTATGTCTGTTATGTCTAGGTGGTGTTTGTGACCAGGGCTTATGTTGATAACATACCTGTGATGCCCGTGTGATATTTGTGGCGGAGGTTAATACCTGTGTCTGTTATGTCTAGGTGGTGTTTGTGACCAGGACTTATGTTGATAACATACCTGTGATGCCCAAGTGATATTTGTTGGCGGAGGTTTATATCTGTCTGTTATGTCTAGGTGGTGTTTGTGACCAGGGCTTATGTTGATAACATACCTGTGGTGCCCGTGTGATATTTGTGGCAGAGTTTAACTCATTCACCCATGAAACTTCATAATGAACTATTCTAACCTTTGAATTGGAAGAGTTCAAATGTGTCTATAGGGGTGAATGAGTTAATACCTATATCCGTTGTGTCTAGGGGGTGTTTGTGACCAGGGCTTATGCTGATAACATACCTGTGATGCCCATGTGATATTTGTGGCGGAGGTTAATACCTGTGTCTGTTATGTCTAGGTGGTGTTTGTGACCAGGACTTATGTTGATAACATACCTGTGATGCCCATGTGATATTTGTTGAAAGCGTCAACTAAACCATCTGACAGCATGGTGTCAGTCATAGAAACATCACCAAACTTTGTCCCGGTACGCATATGTACACAATGAGGAGCCTAAATGAAAAAGAATATTTTTAGTTTGTTTTATGTACTGTAAAATCATAAATTTTTGTGGGACATTAAATTTCGTTTATTTCGAGGATAACCAAAATCCACAAAATTAAATCCCCACAAAAACATATATTTGGTATGATATGGATAGGTGAAAATTAGAAATCAGCGAAATATATGTCCTTGAAACAGGCCAGTATATGAAAACCACGAAACTTCAACCCCACAAAAATAAATGATTCTACAGTAATTCTATATAGCTTTGTTACATGTCAGATTAATATGATTCAAAATAAAAAGTTTGTTCATTTATTTATTCATCTACAACATATTTTACTTGTGATCACCAACAGGTGAGAAACAAGAGCCCAGAGTGTATGCTGCAGATAAGTGGACAGGTAGCTGGCAGAGGTATCTGAGGTGTGCAGAGGCAAGATGAGAAGAGATAATGGATTGAAAAGAAAGGCATACATAGAAATCACTATATCTATGTACATATATGCAATTTGAAAATAGTTTTGGTGTATCAGAACTAGTGTTGTCAGCTTGATGAGAAATTTGTGTACCTTCTTTTCCCCAATTTTAGTAACAGCGACTTTGAATTTGAGTTCATGTTTGCCCGAAAATAGTAAAGGTCTTCAGAAAGTGGTATTCCTTAAAGAATGATTAGCAAACATATTTAGATTGAAAGCAATTATCACCTGTTCGGGTTGAAAGCAATCGGAAACTGAATTTATCACCTGTTAGTTTCAAAGCAATAAGAAACTGAATTACCACCTGTATACAAAGTTTTAACTTTTATTTAATTTTGTTTATATTTTCATTGCCAGTGGCTTCGACTTGACCTAGTTTCTTCCTGAAAGTAATGATCAACACACAGTTGAAATGTAAAAATTATCAGGCGATCAAGACTTCAGTTTTCTCCCAAAAATGAATTTGTGTATGGACACTGTGATTACAAAATACACTCACATGTAAATGTGTAGCCTCAATTACATATCGTACATAAAGATTCTTTGTGATTAATGTCTATTTGGATACAAATGTTTAAGTCTCTACTGGTCATCAGTATACAGCTCTCACCTTACCCATCAGTATACATCTCTCACCTTACTCATCAGTATACAGCTCTAATCTTACTCATCAGTATATGGCTCTCACCTTACTCATTAGTATACAGCTCTCACCTTACTCATTAGTATACAGCTCTCACCTTACTCATCAGTACACAGCTTTCACCTAACTCATCAGTATACAGCTATTACCTTACTCATCAGTATACAGCTCTCACCTAACTCATCAGTGTACAGCTCTCACCTAACTCATCAGTATACAGCTATTACCTTACTCATCAGTATACAGCTATCACCTTACTCATTAGTATACAGCTCTCACCTAACTCATCAGTATACAGCTATCACCTTACTCATCAGTATACAGCCCTCACCTAACTCATCAGTATACAGTCCCCACCTAACTCATCAGTATACAGCTATCACCTAACTCATCAGTATACAGCTATCACCTTACTCATCAGTATACAGCTCTCACTTAACTCATCAGTATATAGCTCTCACCTTACTCATCATTATACCGCTATCATCTTACTCATCAGTATACAGCCCTCACCTAACTCATCAGTATACAGTTCTCACCTTACTCATCAGTTTACAGCTCTCACCTTACTCATCAGTATTCAGCTTTCACCTTACTCGTTAGTATACAATTCTCACCTTACTCATACTCTCCTGTCCCCCTGCCACTACCACCTGAGCGTCGCCTGTCTTTATAGCCTGTGTCCCCATTACTATGGCCCGCAGTCCTGACCCACACAGCATGTTCACTCCACAGGCAGGTACAGATACTGGGATACCTGCATTAACACTGGCCTGTCGGGCTGGGTTTTGTCCCTGTCCTGTTATATAATTTACCATCAAAAATAACAGAATGCCAACCTATTGAAATCTAACTTATATCAAATTCAAGCTTTAAAGCAGGGAATTGTTACTTTATTACACTGTTTCAAAAAGATTCCCTAGTTAAATAAATTTGAAAAAAAGAATGAAATATTCACTTGAACCTTGCATTTACTTTGACAAATGGAACCTTTCAGGTTTTCAACCAGTTTACTCTATCAACAGATGTTCTCAGTTATACATGTAATTACATAACAAGCAAAAATTCTTCATAATAAATTTTATAATATGTTTTAAAACACTGCTTACTGCGGGTACCTGGATATTTAATACGTTTGTAATCTCATAAAGCAAAATTAAATACTTTAACATTTTAATGAAATGTACATAATGTATATTAAAAACATATTAATAATGTTTAATGCTGAATTATTTTCCAAATTAAACACTATTGTTAGTGCCACAATTATAAACTTGTGTATGTGACATGATCAACTATAATATATGGATATAAAGCTGAGATGAAAACATACCCATTGCTAAGTGTTTGAATCTTACACCGAATATTTACAAATCAATTACACACCAAATTAAACATAAACAGATATTTCCAACTTCCCAAAGAGTCTCTGCTACATAGAAATACATTTCAAATGCCTTTGGCCATGATTACTTAATCACAGAACTTCGTAAGAGTCTATGAGCTAACCAGAATATTGTGCTATTGCTACAGATAAAATTTAAAAGAACAAGGCATCACGATAATGCACTTTATAAAGATACCCACCAGCTGATAGTGCTTGTCCCAAGATAACTTCCGACACATCCTCTCCTTTTAAATTGGCCCGTTGGAGAGCCTCTTTGATGCATATAGATCCTAAGTCATGTGCAGGTAAAGTGGAAAGACTGCCATTGAAAGCACCTAAAATGAATGGTCCACAAATTCAATAAGTCGTGAAAGTATTAATAGAAACTGACGTTTCTTACAAACTACCAACTTCATTACTCTAGTATATGTGCATTAATTAGGTTGTCTACAAGCGTCAGCTGTAGGGAACTTCCCTTTAGCTCAGCGGTAGAGCATCGGGCTGGAGAGCCAAGGGTCGCGGGTTTGAGCCCCAGCGACGGCACTATCTTCATCACTATTCCTCGTCCTATTACAAATTGGTGCCGTTGACCCTCCTCGTTCAAGGAAGGAGAATCCTTGACAGGGAGTCAATGAACCTGGGTTGGTGTTTGAAAAAAGGGGGAAATAGTGTAAAAGATGTGGATTAATTAGGTTGCCTTACAAGCGTCAACTGTAGGGAATTTCCCTTAAGCTCAGGGGTAGAGCATCGGGCTGGAGAGCCAAGAGTCACGGGTCACGGATTCGAGCTCCAGCGACGGCACTATCTTTATCACTATTTCTGGTCCTACTACACAATCTGCCCAAAAGGTATAGATTACATGTACAAGACCCAATATCAGAATGTGAAAGTCTGCCATCATAAGAGGTAGTTTACTTGCATACAAACTTTGGCAGTTGAATATGTGCACACTTCCAGACAACATGACACACACTGAACAACAGGCTTTAACCCTTTCACCCCTATGTAACTTTAATGAACCCTACCATGCATTGATCTGGATGAGTCCAATTTGGTCTACAGTGGTGAAAGGGTTAAATCTAACTGAATAACAGGCTTTAAATCTATACAATACTTATATAGGGACTCAGGACCTGATTACAATATGCAACATTCTGCCATCCCAAGAGATACTAACATAAAACAGTTGTTACTTTCAAGTGACAGAGTGCGCCCTGGACTAAGTAATGTATGGTAGTACATATCAGTGAGCGGTACAATACACGTTCAGCTGGGGACTAACATGCATGGCAATGAAATGTGTTGATATAAATTTAATCCTGATTGCTACGTGCAAATTACTGGTGTGTTCACTTTTGTAAATGTAATGTGCCTGCAGCACCCACATAGTCACTGACCACAATCAAAGTTGTTAACTAGTGAGTGTTTTATACTGCAGTATTTTCCCCTTATGTTCTTTGTCTGTTGCAATACTCTGCACTCTCAGAAGTCTCGTCCCAAGACCAGGCCTGGAGAATCCTGCGAGTCCCCAGGCCTATGTACCAATGCACCTTCCCTAACCACCAGGACTTGCCCTTAAATGGTACCCAAGGGTCATGACACTGCCACCAAATGCAACGTGCTGGTGGGCATCCATTAAGACATTGACCATGTGCTCGCTCGACATTGCTGACCTAGTGATTACATACCAGACCAGAGTTATACCCCCATCGCTGGAAAAGCTAGCTTGTGTTCCCCTGATGTTTTTTGGCCGTTACATAAATAACAGATTGTGAGCCTTTTTTTCTTTTACATCACAGCCTTACAGGTTGCAGTTGTTACATCATCAATTTTACAGGTTATTCTTTACCCTGTATGACATTCCAATTTACAACCATAACACATGAATTGATATCAATGGTGGGCTCATTTTCCATCAGATATTATTCTGCTGACTGTGATTTCTTATTTCCAAAAAACTGTTTCACATTTCAGGTATCTTGGCGGCACAAATAATTTACTTAATGACAACGTTTACTCACACTTTCTGTAATATAAATCCCATATATTTAATTGATCCAAGAACAATCATAAAATTATTTCAATAGCAAATATTACACATAAAACACATTATGTATATGTGCATACATGTCTGGTACTTAACTTTGAAACATGGCTATCTCCATTGAAAATACAAAACTATTTTTTAATGGAACAATGATCTGTGAATTTTCTGCATTTTACTAGAGACATGAAAAGAGGGAAATTCGTAACTCATATTAACTCATTCACCCCTGAAGACACATTTGAACTCTTCCAATTCAAAGGTTAGAATATTTCATTATAAAATTTCAGGGGTGAAGGATTTAATGCGATGTCAACCTCGTGCCAAAACATGCAATGTTGGTTGGTTAAGCAAAAAAATGGCTGCGCTTCCAGACAATCACACCACAGGTTTCGGCACGTGGCTGAAGTTAGCCTCATTAATATACAAAAAAAAGTGGCACGTAGACTACAAAAAACTTTGAAACTCTGAAATGGCTTTTTTTTTTGAGGAAACGGAGATCATGTCTGGAGAAAACATTTTACGTGCATATTAGGATTTAAAAAAGAAAATTATCCATATCTTTTCAGCGGTACTAAGCAATTTTCCGTAGATCAACTAGAAATGTTGCTTTTGATGTAAGAAAGTAAGGTGGGGTCGACTTTTTGACATCGAAAACTTTCCGCCCATTGTATCTTATGAATATCGTGGGTTGTCAATTTTACGGAAAGTCTATCACAACTTCTAAAACGTGTCCAAAATATGTCCAAATATAGCTGTAACAATATTTAATTTGTCATCTTAAACATTTGAAAACCGTTTAATTTTGGCAAAATCTGAAATAAGAAAATTTGCGCGTTCGCCTAGAATCGGGAATATCAGATAGGGGAAGTTAGAGATTACAAGACGCCTCAGCTTGTCAATAAGTGTATCTAGATCTCGCGACCTTGATGTATCGATATTTTGCTGTCAATATAGGCAGAGTAAGACACCAAATAAAATATCCGAACCGGACAGGGGGTCAAGAACAAGTGATGTTTAAAAAACAACAACGACGGGTACTTATGAAAATGTAGATATAAGCACACCTATCGGCGTTCTGACTGCTGAAACTATAACAACATCCACACGTGCCATCTCTGCTTTCGATTTCGCCAAACTTCCTATCTAGTCTGTGTCAGTAACATGCTTTCCTCATAAGCATTGAAGCGAGTTTGCTTACAAACATCTGACAGACAAGATTTAGTGACCTGCGCAAGTTCACTTCCTTTTTCTAACCAACCTGCAAAATGGTGAGAAATGAAATAGAATATTCCTATCCTTATCCAAAGTCATCGCCTGTAGTTTCACACCAATTTCTCCATTTATACGTTAAAATTAAAGATATAACTCTCAAGTTTTTCACCATACCTTTAGTTTGTGTAAATGTTGATGATTAGTAGTTTTATTCCATTTATTTGCAACGTGATATTTGTAAACATGCACCGACTCCTTGTAAATAATCTAACTACAGTGGCGTAATAATGACTTAAGGCCTATTCGTTACGTGCACATTCAGTAAAACACACGACTCCTTACTTTAAAAGCTTGTTTCCGATGTAACTTTTATCATGTAGTTATTCCAAATGAAGTAGTTATATTTTTTTCGGTGCACATGATCATCACTGACATCAGACAGTAGCAGGTAGCAGTGTTCTCCGATATTTTTTGCGGTATATTTTTTAAATTTTGAGTCTATACCTCCATGTGCTTAGTTGTGTAACAAAGTTCATTATATTGTCAATGTATAACGTACCCAGTGACTGAAAGTCTAACAAGATCAATGTTAATAGTAGTTGCCTGTGGTTCAGAACACTAGCTACTGTCCGACTAACTAAAATAAAACAGTGGTTTTCCTGGGCTGTAAGTACTGGAGCACCTGCAAGTCTGGCTATATATAGTCCCCTTGCCAAGCTTTGGGTTGGCAATCTCACTAATTTCTTAACGGGAGAAAGAAATGCGGCCAGAGTGAGTTCCCAGACCGGGGTTCAAATCCTCCATACTATTTCGCTGTAAAATACATCGTTGTAAGCTTTTTAGCTTTTGGAGTTGTCTTGATTCTATTTCCTTTACTTATATATAGTGTCCAACCAGTTGCGCATAAATGATAAAAGTCCGTTATTTACACATCGATGTTTTGTGGCAGTATATCAGTCTTGTTGCTCACACATTATACTTGACAAAGACAGTTCTCTCTCTATATAAAACCTACGTCTATTTACACACGTACCGTTAAAAATTTGCACTCGTTGATTTGGTCTCGAATGACCTGTTAAGTTCAGCTAATTTAGACACATGTGATGTACAAGGTACTAATTGTAAAAAGAGGCCCGGGATTTGGACCTGTTGGTAATGTTATGATTGTTCAGTAATGTTTTGAAGCTGTTTAGGTTCATTGCTGTAGCAATCACTTCCTGTAGATTGTTCCAAATTGTTATTGTTCTATTGCTGAAGACATTTTTGTTTACTTCACTCTACCAAATGAGCAATCTGGTTGCCGACGATAGACCAAGTCTAGTCCCGCTACAAAAAGAAAAATGTTACAATGGCATTTATAAAAACCATTTATGAAACAATAATCTATAATTTCACGCACTCGCCTGTTTGGTCCACAATTTTATTGACATGCCTGCCACTCGAGATGATATAATTGACCAGTAATCGTTCGTTTGTGTGCATTCATGTACATATACAGTAGTCATATTTGACTATACATGTATAGTCAAATCTGCCTATATTTGCTGGCACTCCAGTACCTGCCTAAGGATATAGCTAGCTCATGTTAAGATAAAAGGGTAAACTTTGTTGAGGATTGTGTTTTAGGCCATGTAACGGAATAATCGACTACATATGCTATGATCAATTTTAGTGGGTAGAATTGTGTATACTGTATAGATACTGAATGGGTTTCCTAGTGCAATTTTAGGTATAATGTTGCTCAAAGTATTTGTTTTTAATATCTTTTGATGTAGTATTTTATTTCTTTGACTTTTTTTCACCTTGTCTCTAATATTTTAATCGGACTTGGTAAAAACTGGGATGTGTTTTGAACACAATTTGCCATGACATTCCCACTCCTAGGTCATAAAGGCAAAATAAAATTTGGTTCTGGTTACCCTACCTACCATCTAAACTTCTTTTTTTTTGCAGTTTCCAAGGAAGCACTGTTAAAATGCAGATAATTCCTATATATATATTCTTTGTGAGAGAAAAAAAGATTGATTGCTTACCTATTTGATGAATTATTTCTGTCTAGAAAATACAAATGTCCATCTAGATCACACTTTGTATAGTTGCACCAAGGTTGATTAAACATTTTAAGTTTTAACATTTATTTCTCCACTAAAATACAGTCAACTTGGTGTGTATTTACCACTGGCTGTTTTTATGTCAATAATGGCCATTTGCCATTTAGTAAATGTGGACTCAGAAAAATGTTGCTTATTATTAGTTAACTGATCTTTAAAATTTCATGAACTTTTATCTGATTACAAAACTTTTTTTGTTGCAGGTGAACATTCCGAAGTCACGGAAGACCTTTTGCAAGGGTAAAAAGTGCAAGAAGCATACCCTCCACAAAGTTACCCAGTACAAGACTGGAAGGGCTTCTCTTTATGCCCAAGGTTAATATTTTTTATTGACAAGAAAATTTGATTTGATCATGACAGTGTACATGGTATGAAATTTAGGTTGCATTGAATATTCAAGGTGAAGCGGAGGACTGATAAACCCCTTGCAAATGAAACTTAATATCGTATTAATCTGGTAGAGTAATTTAGAACAAACTTACCATGCTAATGGACATGATTGTGTCCACAATTCGCTTTGAATTATTGTTTTACAAGGAGTCTTGATATTGATATGGATTGCAAGACTCCAGGCAAACACTAGAATGCTCCATGATATAATATTAGTGATATGCAAGACAGTATAATCTAGCATGGAAGAATACGGTTGTAGTGTAGGAAAACTAGGCCATCATGCTCACCCAATCTTGTATCGAATTACAAAATCTTGTTCAAGAAATAAATATTTCTCTTGAGTATGTGCATTATCATACATAGTTCATTTATATATTTTGGATGATAACATTCAATGCCCTACTTGTGTACCAACATGACAAAACAGGAAGTAACTAATAAGCTGAAAGCTTTCCTTTATATGCATATTTTTTTTTATATAAAAACATTAACTGTTACAACAAAACTAAAAATAATCTCTTTAATACACCTTCCTGCACAAATGGACAATTCTGTAGACCATGTCCTTGGTGGAAGCACAGAAGCTGGGGACTGGTCATTGTCAGTAAGGGTCGTGCAAAGGAAGGAGATCAAACAGCAATCCATGGAGTATGGGCTCTAGTCGAACCTCTTTCTTAATGTTCAGTGACTAGGCCTTTCTATGGATGTCACAAATGATTGGATATATTTAATGCAGTACCACTTTAACTCATTCTTCATTAACTGTTCAATAATAATCCTTTGTAAAAATAACTTAACATGCATTTTTCTGCTGGCATTGTCAAAAAATAATTCACATTTTATTTTTGCAGGAAAGAGAAGATACGACAGAAAACAAAGTGGATATGGAGGTCAGACCAAGCCTATTTTCCGAAAGAAGGTGATGACAAAATAACAATAGCAATCAGTGATTTTTTTCTACTTTCTTTCCTTAGGGGGCCTGTGTCTGTTGATTTGGGAAAATATCACCCACAAAAAATTGTGATTTTTTTTCATTGATTGGGGGGGGGAGGGGGGGGGGCAGCAGAAATTATCTGCCTAAACAACCATATGATAGATTTAATATGGGTTCAGTTAAACCAAAGCAAACAATTTTTTGGTATATTACAAGTATCAAAGGTTATAGAACTGATCAATTGTTCTAGTCGGAACCATCTGTGTGGAAGGTGTGCATGACTGTTGCTAAGTAAGGTATTGTAAGGGAAAATCATTGTTTAAAATGATTATACCTATAACAATATTATTCTCGGTTGCCAGTAATACAAATTATAAATTTCTTCTTTTTTAAAATAGTCAGCATTTATTATCAACGTGATTTTTAAATAAGTACAATTGTTCACCTATTTCGTTTTCTCAATTTAGGCCAAGACCACAAAAAAGATCACACTGCGTATGGAATGTACAACGTGCAAGTACAGGAAACAGTTGTCACTAAAACGTTGCAAACACTTTGAGTTGGGAGGTGACAAGAAGAGGAAGGTATGAATCATTTTAACATATAATTTAGATAATGAAGGCACATAGTTGAAAAATATTATGTGGGCTCCCTTTCGTAACGTCCGATTCCATACTCATATTCCTTTATAGATGATTACCAATTCTGAAAGCTTGATGTATTTATCTAAGTTCTTTATTAAGCGTTGAGCATTTTGCTCATTGGCTTATCCTTCCAGTAGATGATAGCAAACTGGTTATTTCCAAATTTTGTATGCATCTAAGGAAAATCCCTAATATTTTGGAGGGTATATGAATTCAAGTTAAAGATTGCTCATCAAGAAAAAGCAGACATAACTTATTATAATTGCAAGTACCTCTTGGGACGGCAGAAAGGTTTAGTCGTATGGCTCAGTATATATACAGAATAGGCATGGCCATTTGTACGTATTTGATACCAAAGTTTCTCCTGAAGTGGGAGAATTTAGATTAGTTGCAATTCTTTACCCTTATTTCATGCTATCCTAATTGCCATGAAAATTGAGTTTTTGTATTTTTCACTCCATATATTTCCTTTAAATACCAAATTTAAATAGAAGAATGATTGGAATAAATATTTTATGGTGTCCTTGCTGGGGTAATTTGTATTAGGCAGCTTCAGTATAACAGTTCTGGTTATAATATAGCTAGAGGGCAACAAGAAAGTGTTTTCAAATTTTATTGATCTGCACAGCCGGATCACTTGTTAATGTTGCAATAAGGTGTGTTCATTAAGCTGGCACTTCTCAAACCGTCCGTTACATTGATAACTTTCAAAGTTGGTAGGTCCTTCCTGCACAAATGGACAATTCTGTAGACCATGTCCTTGGTGGAAGCACCGAAGCTGAGGACTGGTCATTGTCAGTAAGGGTCGTGCAAAGGAAGGAGATCAAACAGCAATCCATGGAGTATGGGTTCTAGTCGAACCTCTTTCTTAATG